AAACCTGAAATGATTCATAAAGAAGGCCAGTCAGACAAAATCTAAAAACTAAAATTTTCCTCCTGGGTCGCTGTTGAAAAGAATGTGTTAGCTCAATGTGTTAGCTCAATAGGCCTTACCGGAAATAAACTCATTGACTGACTGACTCTCAGTGTCAGAAAAAAAAACTAGACTTATTTCTTCAATACACCTAATTCTGGTGGACAACTTCACTAAAGCATTAACCGTTTACAATATACATGTAACGCCAGAGTTTGTTGACACAATACAGTTACAAACATTTTCATTGTCCTTCCCGTATCAACCAGGGCCCAGTCTGTTTATAAGAGATAACTAGAGTTGAGTTCCCACAGAGTGGTGCTAATTTTATCGGCCTTGCCAGGGTGATGGGCCATGTCGACCGGAGCCTTGTCAGGGTGATGAGACATGGTGACCCCAGCCTGGAATTTTGAACTCAAAATGTTCCCATTGTGAGTTAAATCAGCTAACCAAAGTTCCACCCTGCCAGAAATATAAATGTTATCTTTATTATACTGTATGAATGTATAATACTGTATAAATGTATTATACTGATTTAAAGCTTTCGTGACTGCAGGGATTCATCTTCTTGGTTCTTTCGGTAAAGTCACGTAGAAGGGAAAATAAAACATAATAAAATATTTTATTATGTTTTATTTTTATTATTTTGTTACTTCCCTTCTACGCGACTTTACCGAAAGAACCAAGAAGATGTATTATACTGCATACATATAAACATTTAGTAAATATATACATTCCAGAAACATAAAGCAGTCAGGTCGATTGGCGGTTAGTCTCTCTCCTCATGCTCTTCAATTGCTACAACCTTTATAACTGTTCCTGTGAATTCTAGATTTGAAGCTTTCGTGACTGCAAGGATTCATATTCTTAGGTTTTTTCGGTAAAGTCACGTAGGTGACCACCTGAAGACGGAAGCTTGTGTTGCTTCCGAAACGTCGTGTTTTTATTTTATTTTTATTTTACTTGCATTAATTTTAATTTTTTACCTACGTTACTTTACCGAAAAAACCTAAGAATATGTTCCTGTGAACTTGATTGTTTGTTTCCTACACCCATGTTGAGGCCTTCCAAACTGACTCTTTCCTCTCACCCACACTGCATTCAACCACCACGCTGCAGGTCACAACACTTTTCTTTCTGCCTCTTTCCTCGCACTGCTCCACTTTGGAATTCCCTCCAACTGTCTGTTATCCAGAGTGCTTACAATAACCTCGCTCAATGCAATACACACATTCTCTCTGGGATAGTATACTCTCAATCGTGCCGTTTGTTGCTGGCTGCTTGGAATGTTTGACCTTTAGGTCTGTGCTCAGTGTAATTGTAATTTTAAAAAATGTAACGGGGGGGGAGGGGGTGTGGTAGTTTAGTGGTTGGTGCAACACGCTATAAACACGGTGACCTGAGTTTGATTCATGGCTCACATCAGTAGTGAGTGATATCTGAGTTGATAATGTTACATCCGCCTTCCCTGTGGGTCAATTAACCCCTGTAACCAGTGTGGTGTTCACTGCTAGGCTTTCACCTTGCAGTGCATTGGACATGGGCTCTCAATTATTATTATTAAACATGAGCTACCTTGATAAATAGTTAATTCATTAAAATGTTAGGTATTGCACTAATTAAGACTGTATTGTTTATTCGAACAAAAAAGACAAGTGAAAGGCACACAGTGCAGATAAAAAGCACGGTAAAAAAAGTATGCAGGTGAGGTTGGAAACCCACGAGAGCATCTATGAAACTCACACAAAAAAGAGCAATATATATACAAAACAGATTGTTCAATCAATGAAACAAAGCATACTAATTACAATTAAACATGTTAAACTCAGTCTTAAAAAAAACATGTTGGTTTTTGTATGCGTATGTATGCGTGAGAGTTAGGCTAAAAATCAATGCCCCTCTTTAAACAAACTATAATTACCTTCTTCAAACATTTTATAGTGGATAGTCAATTTGTATTTTTGATCTGAGCCCAATACTATCTAGCTGGTTGTTAACCTACGTTTCTTGCGTACAGATGCGACTCGGTAATTATTTCGTGTATTTGCTTTAATCATTCTGCCATAATTATGTTTTGTATACTTTCCACTTAATTGTGCACTGTAAGAGTCTGCACATTCTTTGATCCCTGCGAGTGCTCTGTTATTATAATGTACTGCATGTACAGTTTTTGTTGCAGTCAAAGTGCGTGCTAATTTAAGTTATTTGTTGCTGAACGACACTCTAAAATGAACCTGGATTACCACCTTAGGTGTTTTTTATTGGTTTCGTTTCCCCACAAGGTTTCTAATTCACCACGTTAGCAAGTTCTCCCAGGGTACAGGAGCAGTGCTGCCAACTGCTTAAAAGCAGACACTTGCCAAACAATCCTCAGCAGGGTTACTCGATTGAACTAGATGCAATACAATTTAGATTTGCGCAGTGTCTAAATGCAACCGCATCTCCAGACGCTTCACAGGAAAATAAACAAACATTTGCGACATGCATATGAAAACAAATGGTGTCTTAAGTCTTGATTTGAACAAGGGCACAAGAACCTCAACCGCACAAAGTTCAAGAGGAAGATGATTTTAGACAACAGGAGAAGAAGATGTGAAGGAGCGACCTCCCATAGATAAACATTATATAGTCAGTGGACAATTTACCAAGTTTCGATTTAAAGCTTTCGTGACTGCAGGGATTCATCTTCTTGGTTCTTTCCCTTCTACGTGACTTTACCGAAAGAACCAAGAAGATGAATTTACCAAGTGTTAAAGATGGTAAACTGATCAAATAAAATAAAAATCCTAAATACACACAAGCAACCCTCTTATAACTCTATATCATGCCCTTATTCCAGAAAGTCACTAGATTTTGTTTCAAGTTGCTCTGGCAATGTTTGTTGCCAGGGAAGACCAGACATTTTCCAGATCTAGTGACAACATCTATTAAGTTGGCGACTCTGCACAGGGACCGTTTGCAGAGAGAACAGAAAAATACGATATACCGTAAGCCACCTATGATAGTTTATCGATGGATATGTTGAGTTTTTAATCGATAGCCTAGGACCCCCTAGGCTATGGATTATCACCATAATTCATTTCAAATTCATGTTATATATGGTAAGAAAAATATATTAATTAGAGGCATTGAAACCAAACATGGACTTACACATTTCATTTTAAGTACAGTAATGTGCTATATATGCACTACACCAGGTGGATGGCACCAGTGGAAGAGCTTCCGGTTTACTATCAAGAGGTTTTGACATAATATCCTGGTCAGAGATTAACTCAGCCTCTCTTTTCTCCTAGGTCAATAAAATTAGGACCACTTTGGTGTTAAATCCATGGTGGATATCCGGTGGATATTCTGCCAAAGGAAAAATGAAATTTCTGCCATCTCCTCAAACCTGTGAACAGAATACGAATGTTACTGATGATTAATTGAGCGGGAAACCACTTTGCCTTTTTTGCTACAAGATACTTTGCGCCATTGCAGAGCATTAACATATTATGTTTTAATATTATTGCGTGTTTAAAGTCAATGGCGTCAAAGCATTGCTCACGTTAACTCGGTGGCATTGTGTATGTTTATACCTCGCCAATAGTTTCCATTGCCCCCTTGTAGTTCTGCTTTTTATCGAAGGACGAGCTTGAGCAGAGTGTTACAGGCGTTCACCATTCGTTTGACGCATCTACGATTGTATTTTCCTCGAAAACAAAACCTTGTTTATAAGCAAAGGCTGATTTATTTTTATTATAAGATTCGCACAAACATTGAGCTGAAATTCATATCAAATGCTTAGGTCGAAGTGCATGTGTGAGTAAAATACAAATGTGTGTCGTACACCCTCTCCGCCCGACATGGCTAAATAAATTAAATTGTCACGTGAACAAATGCGACAGTTTTTATTAGTTCAGCACACCGGTGAAAATCACATTACAAATTCATTCATTGGCTGTGTCAGGTTGAGAAAGGTGTACAACATACACTGGTATTTTATTCATAATAATCGTTTTTGGGTTAGATCGCGTTATTTATAAATGTGTCGTAACCCTCCACCACCCGACACGGCCAATCAGCAAAAAAAGTGTCACGTTGACAAAAGACAAATAGTTCACTACTTTAGCCCACCGGTGTGTTGAAGAGTGAAACCACAACATTTACATTCTTTAAGTACGACGTTTCGCTGGTAATTACATCCAGCATCATGGTGAAATTTTCCAGAATAGTGAAGCCCTCACTTGCTCCCGGTCTTTGTCAACGTGACACTTTTTTGCTGATTGGCCGTGTCGGGTGGTGGAGCGTTACGACACATTTATAAATAACGCGATCTAACCCAAAAACGTTTATTATGAATAATATTGGTCGCGAAAGCCTACGTGTTAAACTGAATGGTGTTTTACTCACGTGATGTGGCCCAAAATTCAATTACGAATCATATTTGTTGCGAAGTCCTGCGTGTTAAATCATACGATGAGGCACGTGAATATACTCTACGTCATTTCTGGAGAATGGATGCGATTATCTTGATGTAGCAATATTTACCTCGTCCAATGTACGCAGCAAACGAGAAAACCATATCCAGCTTGATTTTTTTCATGAAGAGATCCGAGCAGGACTTGCTGTATGTTTGGATATGATTGATTCCTAACGCATGGATAAGATTGCAAACATATTTGAGAAAGGGCATGGCACATAGAGAGAGATTATAGGTGTAAGGGATTATTTTGTATCGATCATTATTCATATTATTAATGCGCTTGTTTATCTAGCAAAGGCCTCACTGATACTCATGACCTTTCTGTTCAAGAGGGTCCTGCCAATGCATTGTTACACGCATAAAGCTCAATCACTCAAATATCCTGCTTTCAAAATATACTTCGTGGTGTCACTTGCGAGGTTTGAAGTTGACGTTACTTGTGAACAGTGTACAATCCTTGTTTCTTGTATTAATCATTGGGCCTCTTGTTGTGCAGGGAATGCCAGGTCCGCATGGAAACCCCGGACTCCCTGGATTTCCTGGTTCCAGGGTAAGTGCCTATCACGCTGGAGGTGGCTCAAGGGTCAGGAGGTCACGGGACTGGGTCGGTCACCGCTGGGATCCTTGGTTCAAATCTAGGTTTCAGCCACTTGTGAATAAACTAGGCTCTCAAATTGTAGTGAGTTCAGCCACAGTATGCTCACCAATGAATCCGTTTAAACAAAAAAAAACATTCATCTTGATTTTAACTTAATCTGGAAAAACTCCAGCCTTTGAAAATAAAAATGTTTGTTTTAACTGCCATGTCACAAACATTTCTACAGAGCAAATCACGTGGGAAAAAAACACCCACGAGTGTGGACAAAAGAAGAGGTTACTCAAAGGGACCTCAGAAGCAGTTTTGTGATATCTCCTTCAACAGGACATTCTGTAACACACGGGTGTCGACTGCACTGCAACAAATCCGAATAAATACTTCTCGTAACATGACGCTCATAGCTCAATTGGAATAAAATTGTGAACAAAAAATATTAAACAGAGGCTGCTACCGTGCCGTTTGGCAGAGTGCTGCCGTAATTGGGAAAATGCAAACCACCTCCTATAAAACAGACCTCAGCTCGAGGCTTTGAGCCAAATTTGATGCTGCGCTTGCCATACAGAATTTACGCTGTTGTCGTAATTTATCCCGACCCTACCAAGTGAAATACGTTCGTGCTGATTTTATTTAAGTGGGGGGGGGGGGGGGAGGCATTCATTGCACTTTAAACAAAGAATGTAGCACAACATTTATACGAACCAAAGATGTAGACCTAGTGGAACATTTTTCTAAGAGACAGCTAGTGTTTGGTTGGTTATTATTTTTCTACACAGTTTTTTGGAAAAATGTACATTGAATTCATACATGTACAGTATATTGAACCACAAGGTGAAACTTCATTGTGTTTTTTTATTTGTTTGGGTGTTATAGCTTCAGTCTAATGCTTCATAAACGGCATCATTCGCCATCACATTCGCTTCTCAATTTACAAAATCCACAAAGCATACTTGTAGACCACAATGTTCCACCGCTCAAGGCTGCCCATGCGATAGTTGTCAACCCATGCTTCGCATTTCCACCCAGCGGACTCACAGCTTCTTATAAAACACACACACAAATCCATTACTGCTTCATGTCGTCACAGCACCTGTTGGTGGCTAAAAAAGTGTTGCCGCCGCACCCCATCATAAATAAACATTGGCACACGTTGGGACGGGTAATTTTAATGCTAGCCCTGATTGTATCCTAAACTTTCATGGCACTGTGAAGTCGTCGGTGATGAATAACCGGCCATGCGGAGACGCTTGACATCCCTTCTCTCACTCTTTGTTCACTGAAGCCGCCATTGATGCTCCACTTTCCACTGATGCAATACACCGTGGATACCCGCACGGACATGCGCATTTTTGGCGATGCTCTCCCCTCTGTGTACGGCAACTGGGATTTTTTGGTTCGCTCCCAGGGAAATGAATGCGCACAAACTGCACCAGATTTGTGCAGGTGGTGGAGATTTTTTTTCCCCTTTTGCTAATTTTTTTTCTACATCCAACTGGAATGAGTTTGCTGTTTCCTGTCTCCGTCACCCCTAACTCAGCACAACTGACAGCCGGGGGGCCTCTTGCCAAGTATTTCCAGGAAGAAATATAGTGCATTCTCTCTAGGGCCACTGGCAAGAAAATGGGAGAGAGAGAATCAGGTGTGAATTAAGGGCTGCCGCTCAGCCACGGAGGCAGCTCACTCGCCTCCTCCCGGTGCAGCCCACGGTGGAGTTGAAACCTTACCCCGTAGCCCAGTGCCGAGTCGCATGGCATCATCCAGCACGCATCCTCTAAGGGGGGGATATTAATTTGAGCGTTAAGCCAGTTGCGCTGCCTGCTTGTCCACATTCAAGATCCCACTGACGTTTGTCTGCAGCACAAGGCCAGTGTTTGTATGCGTGTGCGCTGGTGTCGGCTATAAATCACACGCCATCTCCCTAAACTCTCACCCTGCCAAAAGAGTGCGTGATTGATAAGGGCAACCCTTGTACTCGTATCCTGCCTCAATAAATCCCTAATGACAATCGAATCCCAATGTAAGCACCAACTCTCTATAAGTAAAGTTTTGTTTGTCATTGACCTTGCAATTTGCAAAAAAAGAGCCATTGTGTGCCAGTGTTTTGGCCCAAATCCCACATATGACTATGACTCCACGATTAAAATATGGAGAATTAGTCGCAGCCTTCCCCTGCATGTTTTCCAGGATCTGAGGACCCTTTTATTGAAACACAATCTGGCGCGCTTGTCCTCATTGGCCACACTTTCACAAGTCAATCACGATGTGTGGATGATGGGATGAGGCATAAACAGCTTGTTGTGGGTTGACCGTACACGTCGCTCGGTATTGCAATTCGCAGAGGAGGAATTTGAGGACAATAGAAAACATTTTCTCACATTAAGATTCATCATCAAAGTCATTGCTAGTTATTGCAGTGGTTAGCATGGGCCCTTGTGCGAGGAGTGAAAATAGGGCTCCCTGTCCAATTTACCTCCCTCTTTGTCGCCTGGCCCCAGTGCCACTCTGACCCGTGGAGGCCGGGTGCACACTCAATATCTACGCCACTGACTTCATTTCTGAGTTGGATGCTGCGATCATTGCTGAATGAGACTAATTTATCCAAAACTCCATGATTATCCTAAAGGTACATATTTTCTGTGTTGCCTTCAATCATTGATGAAATTATGGTCAATACCTCATAAATATGTATTATTTTTGAGCATTTATGCTACCTAATCTAGTGCTGTGTTTCTGTATGTGTATATACACGTATGCATAAATGCATACACACATACATATATATACACACTGCTTAGTAGCTTGTGTTATACTAAAACCTGGCTTTAACTCACCCCGGCAGCTTTAGTATTGAATGTTACCACTGCAGCTCCACCAGCTACACCAGCCACACACACGTGGTGCTCAGACTCAAGGACACATTTACTCACATACTCACCTTCTCACACAGTGCACTCATGAAGCAAAAGCATAAAAAATAGACTTTTTTATGCTGTGCCTAACATGTGCCCTATGTTCAAATGACGTCGTCTCATCCACAGCTGTGCTACTGCTTCATGCCGCTGCTGCGCTAATGTCCTCGCTTGCGCTCTGCCCCTACACCCCCCACCACCCTGTACATCCCGCTCCCACCCTAACGCTCTCCAATGTCCAGGGGGAAAAGGGCGACCCTGGTTTTTCCCCCCCCATGCAGCTACCTGGGGAGAAGGTGAGTTGCGGGCAGTGTGCCGGCCCGTGTGTGCAGTTGCTTGCGCCGCGTGCGGTGGGAGACCTCGACCCACTTTGCCCCCGTTTACACATCTCGTTAAAGTTTACATTCGTGGAGGTGGCTATGGGGAATGGTCGTTGACTGAGATCCTGGATTCGAATCCGGGTTTCAAGCCACCCTTGATTAAACAAACTGCGTTCTCGAGGGTTGATGGTCTGTGTCAGCCTGGTCACCAATGCCTGCACAAAATGAATGTCTGAGTTTGTTGGGTTTTTCACTTAATTTGCCAAATTATATTTGAGATCATGAAAAATGTTGGTACGATTGACATGCGACGGACACTCTTTGTAGGCAGCCTCTGCTCCTATAGTGGATAAAGAGGCCTCGTTAAGTAACTTCAGAACCATTTCTATAAACCTGTTCTAATACACAGGGTGGTGAACTGCTAGCTCCTACAGTTTCAAAATTACATGATGCCCAGAGCTGAAATGGAATGTATTTGGGGAAAAAGGAAAAACAATGGTGAAAAATTACATTTTTAAAAATAAATGTTCTGGTTAAGTGATTAACCCTGTGTTAAGATAACTGTCCCAGACAGTGCTTCATTTAGAGGGCATGTCTAACATTATTTAATCATGAATAATTAAATTGTAATTTAAATGGTATGAATCAGAAAACATACATGGGGTTTTTGTTTTATTCAATATGTTTTTAAACATCGCTGTAGAAACCTACGTGTGTTTTAAATTATGCACAACCGTACAGCAATTTTTCCGTGTATTCTAGGGGCGGGAAGCTTGATGGCTCACAGGACAAACACCGGCGTATTTTCCTGCCAGAGGCAATCGTGTGCCTCTTGAGGCTTCTCGTGGAAATCGCTGATGGACCCCCACATAGTTGTGTAATGTGCCGCTACCCCAGCAACTCGCTTCAATAGCAATTGCAGCATGTGGCCCTCGCATGATAAATATAATGGGCCGCAGTGGAAGTAGTGTGCAGTATTAGCATGGGCTGAAAATATATCCTTAGGTTTTTTTCGGTAAAGTCACGTAGGTAAAAACATTAAAAAGTAAAATAAAATAAAAATCACGACGTTTCGGAGGCAACACAAGCTTCCGTCTTCAGATGGTACCGTCACAGCCACGACAGCTGTATCAAGTAAATGAGAGATTTCAGGAGTTACCACTGCGTTTATATAATGGTTGGAGAAGGTGGTGGGGCATGGGCCGCATCTTTATTATTAATATGGTAAGGTGAGGCTTGAGACTAAGACTAGACTGCATAACAAAGGCTGAGCCTTGTGGGGAGGTGCGGTTTGTGACTCAACCTGTAACGGGGAGACCACTATTATTATTATTTGCAAGATCCGACCATGTCCGCTCAGTGCTTGCCAAGCTGCATTGGTTTCCGGTCGCCAAACAAATACATTAGAAGGTCGCACTTATCACACACAAAGCGCTTGCCACAAACGAACCACAATACCTTGCCGATCTTTTTCGATTTAAAGCTTTCGTGACTGCAGGGATTCATCTTCTTGGTTCTTTCGTTAAAGTCACGTAGAAGTGAAATAATAAAAATAAAACATAATAAAATAATTCTCACGACGTTTCGGGCACAACGCAAGCAGCCATCCTCAGGTGAAGAACAAGTCGGAAAGACATGCAAGACCTGGTCTTGTCCGTTAGATGTCATGGAAAGACAGACCTGTTCTTCACCTGAGGACGGCTGCTTGCGTTGTGGCCGAAACGTCGTGAGAATTATTTTATTATGTTTTATTTTTATTATTTTATTATTTCCCTTCTACATGACTTTACCGAAAGAACCAAGAAGATGGACTTGCTGATTTTGTCAAGGAGCATAAACCATCATCACGCGAACTCCGATGATCCTCGCAGCGGCATTTGGGTAGCCGTCGAACAAAGACAGTCACTGCATCGCCTTCTGGAATGCTCATCTGATATTAGGAAGCCACTGAAGCTATGCACTTTTAAACCTAGATTGAAAACTCATTTCTTTAGAACTGCTTTTTGTGTTTAGTGTTGTTGTCCTTCGTCCGCACGTCCGATTAGCGCGGTTGGCTACGTGCGGTGCGAAAGAAGTTCAACGTGCGTGCACTATTAGCAAAACAATTCGTCAATGCATGACAGACACAACTAACTTACCAAAACATATTCTTAGTCATGTTTGCATAGAGCAGTAGTGCAATACTCAGCACACTTTGCTATGAAGCTGGAAATATTAGTGTTATGATCCCTTAACCGTGGCTAAAACCATTGACAATTACCTCTGTTGTGATAACTTTTTTTGTAGTTTATACCTTTGCTTTTATACATTTCCTTGATTTGTTTATAAATAAAAATATTTTCTGAGGTTTTCATTTATTTAATAATAGGATTGAGCACTGAGTGTGATTATGCATGCAGTTATTGTACAGCATTGTGAGATGCAATAAGCATGCATGATGATATATAAAACTGAAATTATCATAAAATTGGAATTTGAACCAGCTCACGGCCTACACCGTCACCATCCCACACTGACCACATTAGTGAGGTCAATCTTATCCCATAATCGACACAGGGTTGGGTGATTTGGGGGGGGGGGGGGCTCATTCAGCAGTGGATTTACAATGGCTGCAAATAAATAATGTAAAAAGGGCACGCACTTAATATCTCACCTAACCCGTCGTTCATATTCTTAGTTTTTTTCGGTAAAGTCACGTAGGTAAAACATTTTAATTAATAAAAGTAAATTAAAATAAAATTAAAATCACGACGTTTCGGAGGCAACACAAGCTTCCGTCTTCAGGTGGAACCGTCACAGCACGATAGCTGTATCGTTCATAATTGCGCATGCCATCGTGCATTTAGGGTGGATTATAGACATCGGTAACTGCTTCGATGTTCGTGCAGTCAAATCAGTGAAACTTATTCGGGGCAAGTCGCCAGTGTGCCTGGCACATCTCAATCAAGCCGTTGATTACAGTTTCGGTATTAACACTTTTGTTTGGTGATTTGCATTTGTAAACTGCTTTCCTCCTAATTTTCTGACAGGGTGACTCTGGCTCAATCGGTCCACCTGGGTTGCATGGGCCGCTAGGTTCAAAGGTAAGGTGAACACACCTAAAAGCGAAATACAGCAAACAATAATACAGTACTGTTAGTGTTTTTGTAAACAGCAGCACAATGTATTGTATGCTGTAATACCTCTTGGCAGACTAAGAAAAATAACCAAGAAATCATAGATACGCTTAAACATTCAAATATGAAGAGAGGTGGACATTAAACAGTTCCTGATACTCGTTGTGTTCAGCAGCAATGTCTGTTGGCAAATATGCCAAATCCATGCTCTATAAGTGTACGCGATTAACTTGAGATATTCCAAAAATGGACAGGGCTATTTTGGTAGCTTTTCGCGAATAATTCTTCGGCACCGTGCCTAGCGTTGAGCCTTCGCATGTTTTATCGCGCTTGTCAAGTCCGATTTGGGCCATTTCTCAGCAGACTGCGCGCAGCGCGCACTGCCTCTCTGCCAGATCTCGAGGCCAAACATTTAACTGCGAGTTTTGGATGCAGCGCTTCAGTTCGACTCAGGTGGTGACAGATGCGAAAGCGTCAGCGCCCCGGAAAAAAAAACCCGCATGGCCTAAATTTACGGCGCATGCAAAAGTACAAAAAGCATCTCCAAGTTTGGAGGGAGAGGGGGTGGGGGGGCGCAGGGGGGCAGCACAGAAATATGATGATGATGATGCTCGAGGATGGAGTGGGGAACCCTGCCACGATCACTTGAGTTATCTCGCTAAGCGGGGAGTCGTGTGGCTGCCACTTTGCCTGGCAGACGAAACTTGACTCTGGCCAGCTGCCAAGCACGCAGACAACTTTAGGAACGTACGGACAGACAGAGCGGACGACAGCTTAGAGCACATGGGCAGCTTCGTTCTTCGCCCTCTCGTGCGTGGGGGTGGATCTGCCCCAAAAACATTATTGCATCATGCGTGGGCTGCTGAGGGTGTACAATAACATGTTAAGGAAATGCAACTATAGTAATACTTTTATTGGAAAAAGTTATTGCACTTTAAATGAGTATTGTGGAAACATTTATGAGCCCTGGGCTTTTTGCTATAATGTGTAACAATTCTGGTGATGTTTTTTACTCATACGTTTTCATTTAACACAATATTAATACAATTTATTTATCCACAAAAGCTTAAACTTATTTTCTTTTTACATTTTCTGAAGCTTAAACTTCATCCAGTGCATGCACGTTCAACAGAATTTATTTTTGTCAGCGTTTTATACTGCTTTTGGAAAAAATGAATTATAGTTTCGTGGCTTATTTTGTACCTTTTGTTAACAGGGTTCCAAAGGTTACCAGGGACAGATGGGACACCCAGGGGAGCCGGTGAGTCCAGTCACATGCACCTAGCTTCTTCACTCACACTTGTGTGCAATAGGGCCAGCCCCAATGCTGAACGATGCACCACGTTTCAGTGATGGGAATTAGCGTTGTTTGTAAACTCATTATGTGCACGGACAAGTCAAGAATGAAAAGAACAAGGATTTGCAATGTTAGGTAACTCAATGCATGTCACAATCTAACTTAAACTCTTAATATATAAATTTGTAGATACATATTCACAAATGCAAATCTAAATATATGCATGCAGGTGCTAATTATAAAAGTGTTATGGTTTTACATGTGCTAAGTTACAAACTCATAAATGCTTTTGTTATCAAATTTCAAGGGATCTGACACCTTTTTAATGAAAAAGGCTAGCCGATAATAAGCAAGCAGCATTAAATATGAACTGAAATAGTATGCATTTAAGAGTGCCATTGGTCATCCAGGTGTATGTGAGTGCGTAGTTAATTTCTGGCCATTAAACTGTCAGTCAATTGAGCCAAGGTGCCCTTTTTAAACGGCAAACCATTTCGGTTAACACTGGGCAGCTCAGCCGTGCCTGTTCGTAAGACTCAGAGGTGTACCGTGTTCTGAGAATACCTGAAAATTTTGGTTGCAGAAGGTAACCGCTCTCATGTTCTCAGAGGAAAATGAAACAACCCTTAGTGTCTTCTTGGTTCTTTCGGTAAAGTCACGTAGAATGGAAATAATAAAATAATAAAAATAGAACATAATAAAATAATTCTCACGACGTTTCGGCCACAACGCAAGCAGCCGTCCCTCAGGTGAAGAACAGGTCTGTCGATAACCCTTAGCGTGATATATAGCTCGAGCTTACATCCTTCAGCATAGGGACAGACGGACGCAGAACACCGCCAATTCCCACTGCCCTCCCCCCAGAGACCCGGGCTCTTGTAAGGCCACGCAGATTTCTGCGTAGATCAGCGACGCGGCACTTCCGCGCGTGTGCTGGCCCTGTTTTTCTTGGCGTGCTGTGCACTCCTTTGGTTGGAAAAAAAAACACAGGAATTTTAATTGGAGGGGGGCCACTCGCACGTTTGGGATGCCCCTTGCCGGCACAGACGCGCGAAAGCCGGGGCGCTTGGTGGCGCAGACGCTCACTTCAGTTTCGGCTTTTGGCTTTTCCCAATGGGGTTTGGACTTGGAGCCAGAGCAGAGGAAGAGTGTCCGTACCTTGGACCTAATTTCCCTGTATCTCCGCTTTTTATTCGTGTAATCCACAGCAACCCAGCTGGGTAGTTCAAGGGAAGCCTCATTAGACACCTAAGTACAATGATCAAGTCCTTATATCGATCCCACTGTTTGCTATGTTATGGACAAGGTTTTAGGATGGGTTATTGCTGGCTGTTTTGAAAGTTGCTTGTTTTGTCATTTCCTTATTACACAATGAATGCCGCTCTAAAGGCAAATTAAACATTCACAAACATGGCCAATGACCTCAGGTAATTATTTATTAATTATTCATGGCTTCCTTGATGATTGCATATTCAAACGTTATGTAATTGATAAATAAAGTACGTACATATTTTTAATATTTGCACAAGAAAAAATTACATGCTCTCGCCTTCCTTTGTTTAACACATTTTTGGTGAATAAAAATTTTAATTACAAAAATCACTTCAAACTATTGAGAAGTAGCTTTGTCCACATACATTTTTTTTTTATATTTTTAGGCTGTAAGGTTTATCTTCAGTGAAGATTACACAAATTGATTTGAAGTCAGGAGAGCCATAAAACAATTTTGTACATTTTTTTCCTCACACTCGAAAACCCACTTTGTCCGGTGGCGTGTTCGTCCAGACTGACGTCCACCCGCGCTCACTTTGTAACCCAGACGTCATATCAGGCTTATACCTATGGCATGCAGCAGCATAATCTTTTCCCCTCACAGGGCATGCGCTGCAGGTTATTGCCGCCACCAAGTCATAAATACACAACAGCAATTCCCGTGTTTCGGAAACACATTGAGCTGCCCCCCAACGACATTTAACCCTGACCCGTGCGGGAGACAAAACACTCAGCAAGCCGAAGGGGGGGGGGGGGGGGGAAACACATGGAATGTAAAAGGAAAGTAATAAAATAATAAAAATAAAACATAATAAAATAATATAATATAATAAAATAATAATATAATGCAATAATATAATAATACAATTTTTATTTTATTTTTTATTTTATTACTTCCCTTCTACGTGACTTTACCGAAAGAACCAAGAAGATGAATCCCTGCAGTCATGAAAGCTTTACATCGAAACACATGGAATGCTTTATAGATGGATAATAATTACTATTATAATTAATTTAATCATGTGAGACAGATCTTTGTAGTAATTATTCCACTGGGATATTCACTGTTGGTGCTGGCCATATTCCTTTCTGGATGGGTGGAGTGATGCTATTTGGCCCTGTTAAACGATTCTCTGGTTAATTGTTTGTTTGGCTTTGTTGACTGGTCGGCCCACAGACAAACTGCAATGGCCGTGGCTGACTGGAATGTCACGTTAACAGAATAACTCGGATGCAAAATACAGTCCTCAAGGAATTCATAGAAAGTTTCACTACCCAATTCACATTAGCTTCTGTCTGTAATCAAATGTGTTACCGTTTGTACTGAAAATGCCACAAATGGCCAGTTCGAATAGCCGGTATTTTTCCTTAAACGTTTTTAATTGTATACTTGCTTTTATTTAAGTGCTGTTTTTTGCTCAAAATATAGTTTCTGCAGTGCTTATTTTTTTTCCAACATGAGGTTTTTATGGGTCACCAATTTTGTGGTGTTAAATACAGGTCAGGTCCACAGATTGCAGGTCAGTGCCGTTTAGTAGTGCCGGAATCAGAAACACGTGTTTTTGATAGCGACGCAAGTTCTTACATATTGCTCGTGATGGACTGCGTTTGTAACATTGACGTTGGCTTGAAGTTCGATAAGTTTACTTGACAGCTTCGATGATTGAAGAGATCCAGCACCGGATGTGACATTTTAAGCCGTTATTGCCACCATGTGACCTTGTAACTTGTATCTTGTCTTTCCTGCCCACAGGGCTCACCGGGGTTGGAGGGCAACCCAGGGGTCAAAGGTTACCCTGGCAGGCAGGTGCAGTAACGGTAGATCAGTGACACATGGAATGTTCTGAATTGCTCTGCGTACAAGTCCTGTGCTTAAATATATAAATGTAATTCTTAAACAGAAGACATTCTGTTGAGTGACAAATGTGTACAGGCTTCAAACTTCAAAGTGTGCAATCTAGAAAGGTGTTGATGGTGGTAATTGTTCATCACACGTGCAATAAAAAGCACATCTTGTAAACGGTTTGGTAAAGTGTATGTTTTGTAAGCATCACTGTGAATGGTTTTTTGGTGGTTGCTGAGATTTTAAATCAAATGTGTCTGTCCATGTCAGTGATTTCATCAGAACTAACGTGAGCTTTGGCTTTCATTTGTTCCTTTTTCTTTCACCAGGGATTACCTGGTCCCATTGGGAAACCTGGTCCAAAAGGAATTCGGGTAACACAGAAGTTTTTAAACATTACTATTCTCACCAGCAATAGCAAACAATGCCCGATGTTTAATGTTTTTTGTGCAAAATGTCCAAATGCATATTTGCTTAAAAATGTACGTAAAACTCAGAATGTAAACTTGCATTGTAAGTAAGCGTTGATTGTGTGGAAAGTGCTGCAGTGGATTTTGCCATATCAAATGCTCGACAGCCTCATAATGCACACCAGATATTGCTCGCATTAGAGACAGAAGGAAAACTAGAAGGAGAAACACGCTACACGTGGTTGATATTTTTGAACAATTACTTTTGTCCACCCAGGGTTTCATCGGCCCGGCGGGGATAGTGGGAGCGCAAGGAGCTGAAGGACCTCGGGTGCATTTCCTTTTTGAATTCCACTTTTATAAAATACAGTACTGCATTGCTTCATCCTATGTGTGTGCGTGTGTGTGCACGTGTGAGGAGCGGTAGTGTAGCAGTTTGTGCGCAGAACTATGAAGCCGGCCACCCGAGTTCGATTTCCGCTCACGGCCAACACCAGTGACGATTGTCTGAACCGGTCATGGGCCTCCCCTAGGTCGACTCAGCCTAAAAAAATTGTACCTGGTACAGCGTGTAAACATCGCCGCTAGGGAGATGAAGGTGGCCGGGCGTGCTACTGGCCACCCACCCCCTTGTGTGCCGTGCCGGCCTTCATCGGTGCTTGCTAACAGCACTTGCCCCAACAGTCTGTTAAGGCTATACGGGGATCTTTGTATTTGTGGAGAGGAGAATGAGATGGCATGAGGTACTGCCCCATTGCTACCTCTAGCCCAAATACTAACCACTTGTGCTGTAAAATGAGATGGTTACCAGCAGCAGCTACCTCAACATTATATTTTAAGATGGTAAAACATGTTTCAGTCAGCAGTCTCCCATTGCTGTTAATGCGTTGTGTGTCTGTGCCCACGCGCGCATGTGTGTGTGTGTATACAATCGTTTGTACATCTGCAGATACTTAATTTTTGGTACAAAAAAAATTATTTGATGGGGTTTTTCCTTGATCCTTCTGCCTCGCTCTGAGATGGTGATGGATGAGGTTTTGTGCATTTTATTCTTTGCTGCTGCTGCTGCAAATAAAGCAGATGCAAGCAACCATCATTAGCAGAGCCCCCAGAGCTGGCTACAGCAGGTGGCTTTACAGTCCATGCCAAAACATCTGTTCAATTAATGCTCACTCTAAAACCAATCATTAAACTCGCACCATCACTCGAATTTAAATACGACCCAAAAAATGTAAAACGTCTTCTTGGACGTTTACTATCGTTTATAAGAAACGTCATGCCTCCTGGCTTTGCCATTCCTAATCTAAAACAGTAGTGGAAAACCATCGACCACATCAGAACATCAATCGGCCGTTGCCCACATCTCCTTCATGAATGGAAAATTTAAGACAAGCCACAGTAGCGCGATTTTGGCCATGCCGTCCAAACTATTGACCGTGTAGTAAACCACTGTAGCCCGTGCTGTTTCAGTGGAGGAGGAACGGCAAATTAGACAAAATCTCTCCTCAAGCCCTCCCGAGGCTAGCAGACATTAATATTGGCATTAATCTCCTGAGCATATTGGTGCCATACGCAAGGGTTGACTAGAATAAGCAACGTGTCTTTAACCAGCCTGTTTCAGCTGGAGAAAAAAAAATGGCCACAAGTCTCAGTGTGAAAGGTTTGTAGACGGGATATTCCTGCGATATTCCCTTACACCAGCAATTTGTAGAAACCCAAGTTCCTTTCAGTGTTTACCTAATGTTCTCAGCTTCTTCCCAAATTAATTTTGCCAGTCGTAGCGGGGAGGCCTTTGCTCGAACTGCAGACCACCATGGTAAAGACCTTATTTGACCTCTCTCTCTCTCACATGACTCCTTTGTCAAACTCTATGAGAAAAAAAAAATTGGTATGATTGAAAAAAAAAACCCATTCACCACAAACTGCAATGAATAGCAACCTCATTTTCCTCCATTAGCAAAAAACCTGGCTCCGACAAGTGATTAGAGGGGTTCCCTTTTGAAGGACCTCTCCCCCCCCTCCCTCGCCGTTATCCGTTTACGTGAACAATACCGCTCGATTTAATATAGAGATTGGATTTCTGGAAGAGCGCCTCTCTTTGCAAAGGAGCTTGGGGTCAGCCTGCACACAGTTGGCACGTTTGCAGCAAGGGGGTGCGAAATAAGCCATTAAAGCGTACCTATGGTTAAGTTGAATAAATGCACGTGATTTTAATGCCAGTTCTGATATTCTTTCTTCATAACTGCGGCGATTGGTAAAACAAAGAAACAAATTTACGCGTAAGAAAATACAAAAAAAATTGTAGGTCACAAAAAGTATCCTAACACAGGTGTGTGGCGAGTTTCTTTCCCTCACTGGGGATAGTTTTTTTGTTAATTCCTGTAAACCTACTCATTTACCTCTTTCAATTTACAAGCTGCTTGGCTCCTGAAATAAGTAATCGCGTCGCCCACCTGAAATTGAGTGTTTCCTTGTTGAGTCATTGAAAACCCAAGATATCCCGTGGTGCTATATAGCCTGATATTCATCACATTCTCGCCAGTGAACTTGCCACATTCCCTTGAGCTCCCTATAAGTTTCTTGAGGTTGTAAGTGGATACCTCGTAATTGCCTGCGCGTGTTTCTGCGTGTGTGCGTGTGTGTGTGCGTGTGTGTGCGTGTGTGCTTGCGCTGTGTTTTGTATAGGGTGTACCTGGCGCACCAGGAAAGAGAGGCACAATGGGACGACCGGTAGGCTCTTGACACACTTTATTTGTCTCCTTAGACACTCCTGAATTATAACCTGTGGAGGGGAGCGGGGGGGGGTTCTCTCTCAATGATATCTATATTCATGGAGGGTAAACCAGGACGTGTCCGCCAATTGAGACAGCCCATCATGCTTGTGGATCCAACAAAGGCACAGTGTGGGAGCACGTGCTGACAGCCGAGTCAACAGTCTGCGCGATCACGTTTAAACTCGTGCACTGGAAGGGGTTTTCTTTACACCGGAACGCTCATTATAATGATGTGCTTACACATTGCATTTGTTTTTACAGTGGTGTCAATCGGAACGTGGGGTCTTTGTTTCGCTTTCAATCTGCTGCATGTATATGCATCTGCCTGTGTTGTTGATAAGGATTATAAGAGTGGTGCTATGTCCATGTTCAGGCCCTTGTTAATCCGCTGCTGGATTAGGGTCTTCCCGCGCACATGCAGGCCGTGTGAGTTATTTAAACATAAAACAACTTAGGTTTGTAATGTGCCCGCAACATAACACACATCTATCTCAGACAGCGCACCACAAGGTCGGTCTGAGTCGGTGAAGTCGGGGAGCCATAGGCGTGGGAACATAAAAGTACAGAACAATGGATTTTGCTGCACTCCACTGCTCCCCACCACATTTCCCCATAGCCTATATCAATCTGCTGTACATAGTGGTTAAGTATCCAAGCACTCACCAGGCCCAGCTTCTGATATATGATGAGATCAGGTATATTCTGGGTGATTTCGATTTTATTTTCAGCACAGAGGCATCTATCTTCTTGGTTCTTTCGGTAAAGTCGGAAAGACAGCGTCTGAAGGACGCTGTCTTTCCGACAGCCCTGTTCTTCACCTGAGGACGGCTGCTTGCGTTGTGGCCGAAACATCGTGAGAATTGTATTTTATTATGTTTTATTTCTATTATTTTATTATTTCCCTTCTACGTGACTTTACCGAAAGAACGAGGAAGATGAATCCCTGCAGTCACGAAAGCTTTAAATCGAAACAGAGGCATCTAGTCATCATCATCATAATCATCATCGTCAGCTCTGTCATTAAAGTCGGTTTAAAGGACATTGACAAAGCCAATAACGAAGAGTAGCGACGAGAACCCCGCCGGGTCTGCTGCCCTCGAAGAGGCAGAGCTGCGTCTCTGTGTGGCACCGCTGCGCAACGCGGGTTGCTGCGTTCCTACGTGGGTGGCATGGGTGGGTGCACATCGCAGAGAGAAGTAGCACCGCGTGTGTGCGTCTCAGGCTTTTGAGGCTCCACGTTTCGCGAAGCCATTCTAACCGTGACGTCACAATCAGAATCTTTATTTAGACTGGAGGAATCTGATGAGCTATTAAGCTCTTTTTCACAGATGTCCAGTAGGAGCGGATCAGAAATTTACAACAACAAACGGAACAAAAACACGATAGGAGTGTAAAGTTTAGGAAAGGTAAGGAAGATTACTAAAAAGAATACAACTAAACTTTTTTTTATTGCAACAGGTCAAGCCCACTGAGCTATTAGCTTATTTTTCATAAGCGACCTGGCCACAAATGATAGCTCAACAAAGTGTCTTATCACGTTCAAATGTATAGCAGCCAAAGCCTTTACTCGATTTTATTAACAAGTATTTTATTTGTAAGTTAAGGCTCACTTTGAGAATGTAAACACACGATTTTAATCATTCTAAAAATCTGCACGAAATAGTGCACACAGCAGTGTGTTTTAACTTGTCGATCCTCATAGTTTTTCGTGGTTGTTCTCATTATCGTTATTGCCAGTGCAGTTATATATTTTCCCGACGTTATTTTAGTGCAACAATAAAAAATATATAAACAAGTGGCCTTTCCAAAAATAGCGTTTTGTACGTCAGCGTGTTCACTTGACACCGGTGTACGCCTGCGTCAGCTGCAATTTGTAAAAATATCGATCGCGAGTGGCCAGCAAAGCAGGTTTAAATTGGGTTCCTTGACATCTGTTGAGCCGAGCCTCCATTTGGAGACGGGGCTATTTTGTGCCCACGTTTCTCACCAATGTAAATAGCGACGACACGTTTTCAAATTGCGCACTCAAAAGTTCAACACTCGCGCTGTATACCTTTTAAAAAAAGCTTAAATATTCACTTAAGTTTAACGTGTACATATGCCCTGATAGGAATGTTTTGTACGGAAAGAAAATGTGTGCCGCCTCTAGATTAAAAAATTGTGTGTACATAGGTGCATTCTCATCGATGTACAGCTGCCTGAACAACAACCACCACATGAACAATAATGTGTCTCACAGCCTCTTACATACATTTTCCGTAGACGCACCGTGCATTAACAGCTACTGCACCTAAGGATTTTACTTCTCTTACTTTCGGTAAGGTAGCCTGAGTTTAACTAATTTATGGAGACTCCAATTCAACAGAAAATCAATCGCGGTTCAGCTGAAATGAACAATGATATTTGGGTCACAGTATTAGACATCTAATGATACATTTATTCATCAGTGAAAATCGATTGTTACTCTCACAATATATGCAATGAATATTACATGTAAAAATAAGAAGAATATGATGTATCCTATAGATATGTAACAAGTAAATCCGTAAAAACAAAGTTTTTCACTATAAATCCTTTATATGCGTGGCATCGGGGCGGCTAGAGTCCTCTCGTCCTCTGGCTTGAGATGGCTGCCACCTATGGGTCAGATGATTGTCTGGCAGCATTAAACAATTGGTAATTAAATATTTTAAAAAGTTCCCTAAACAGTGTAAAATTTTGGAAAATTTTTTTCACGAAAATGCATTGTCACGCACAACGAGTCTGTGTGCAAAATGTCAGCTCGATTGGATCACGGGAAGTGGGTTAAAAAACGACCGAAAGATTTGCACGGTCCTAAGCAAGCAAGCGAAGCTTAATATAAAGGATTTAAAAATACAATTGTTTCCTTTCATATATGCCACGTGTAATAGGTTCATCTAAACTATTCAGCCACTAGAGACACCCCGTTAACCACAATAGAAAAAAAACACATCGATCCTTAAATTGAATTGCAAACCCAGAATCGTTACCATTCATCGAATTGTGCGGTTGTGAATTGTTACATGCCTACAAAATATACTAAACATTTTAGGCGTGAGGTTGCCTGTCCCAATAAAACTGATATGTATAAACAAGAGATCATAATAAATCTGTCTGGTGCGACTGGGAATAGGTAAAGATGAGTGTACCTGTACTGTATGTGTTTTTAAAGTGGAACAATATCTGAGAGCTATGTACGTATGTTGAACTTCTTTCGCGCCGTACGTAGCCAACTGTACTAATCAGAGGTGCGGCGGAAGGACAACAAACTGAATAGAAAAGTAGGTTAGAAAGAAATGAGTTTTCGATCTAGATTGAAGAGTGCTTAGCTCCAGTGGCTTCCGAATAGGTATACACAGATTCAAGGAGGCGCATGCTTGGGGTTTCACTGAAAGACAGAATGATAAACACGTTGATTAGGAAATCATACACAAGTTAGAGCAGAGGTCGCAAACGGGTTTTGATTCCTTACCCGTACCCGTACCCGGCCGCACCAGGGTCGCAAATGGGTACCCGTACCCGTACCCGGCCGGGTACGGGTACCCGTTCCCTACCCGTACCCTACCCGAAATGAGTGACAAACGGTTACTCACCAGTGACTCACGGCCTACCCGTACCCGGCCGCACCAGGGTCGCAAACGGCTACCCGTACCCGGCCCCGGCCGGGTACGGGTAGCCGGGTATCGGGTAGGGTATGGGTATCGGGTACCCGGTTGCTACCTCTGAGTTAGAGACCTCACATTGACTGCTCAGAATAATAAATGGCCTTAGAACTGGACGTGTTGCTAGAAGGGATGAAAGGGATGATGATCGGTGGTGGTAGAGACGAATGATGGCGTGGCAGCTCGAGAGGACTTCTAACCATTGAGATACAGCGATGAAATCAGCTTGTGCGCAGGTGGAAGATATATTGCATTGTAGGATGTGAGAGACGGTGGCAGCTAAGGGAGTCCTTCATCCAGCAGTGAATAAGTCATGACTGGTTTACAAAAAAAATTATGAATCTATTGTTGGTGGTCAATATAAAAAAGCCACTCAAAATGCCCTTCAGAAATTCCTCAACAGCGTGGAGTGATGGATGACCCAGCAAGTCACGTGGTGGGCTTTTGGAGTTTCCGCTCACACAGGGCTTCGTCTGACAGATGTGTGCACACACCTAGGGTGGCTTTTACAGCCCATCGACAGCTCCACCAATTGCTGCCCCCACCTCCCCGCCCACCTCTCGACGCCTCCCGTGCCACCCCAACCTTCCTACTCAAGAAAATGTCTGTGGCCCTATTGGCTTTCCAAAGAGCAGCGATTGTGATTTGTCAACCAAGCAAACGGTGCCACACGCCACGCTGACGCTCAGTGCACGGGAGCGATCGGGAAGTGTGACCTGTACAGCACAAATGGGTGCTGTGTTTTGCCTCCTGTTGATTAACGCCCCGCCATAATAGAATTGGGCTAGGGGGAAACGTCAGGCAGCTTTATGTGGCGCGCGGCCGTGAAAACTTAGCTCTGTTTCACGTCCGCCATCAGTCTCTCGTGTCCATAAAAACACACGTAAGTGAACGGCTGGGTCCGATGGTTCTCACCGCCTTGGAGGATGGGCTCGTGGAGATTTGTGATCGAGCCACCCAGACACTGCCGTACAGCAAGTAGTTTGGTAATACATATGACTGAGTTTTTACGTCTTTTTTTGTGTGCTCGGACTTTTCTCCAGCCACTTCCTCCACCATTCACAAATGCCCAAAAATAATTCGCCAAATATTGTCAAGCAGGAACCTCTTGGAAATGAGTCTTGAGAGTCAGCGAGGTTTTCTTTGGTAAATAGATAATGATATGGTAATGTTAGAATACATTCTACCATCAGAGCTTCATTCAATGAAGTATTTGCAACAAAAGCATTTTTCACAGTCAGTTTCATCTATATGGCTCTCCACTATTGCAAACGTATTCATTCGTATTCTGTGCTAAAAATTATCGCACAAACCCTCACTCTCTCCTGGTGTCTTCTAATATCCCTGACGTTGTTTTCTTTCTCAAATTATCATGCATGTGCTGTGTGTGTTTTTTTAAGAAGCACCCTTGTAATTTTGGTCCTTTGCCAAGGCAACAAGATATAATCTCATTCAAGTCACTGTTATCGTTGCAGCTGAGAAATGTTTTATTGGCACTATCTACATAAAGACGTTTGATCTTGCCTTCAAGAGCATCGGCTGTGGTTTTTTTGTTCACACTGAATTTTTTTGCATTTCGATTTTTTTGTTTAACAAAAATTTCGTCTGTTGGCATCGCCACCTTTGTCTTCCAACAGGGCTTTCCTGGGGATTATGGGGAAAGAGGCCCTCCTGGTCCAGATGGAAAACCTGTAAGTCTCTCTCGCTCTCGGAATTAATGTCCACACTTACATGCACTGTGGGTGCACAGTGATTTTGGAAGGGAGAAGTGTCTGCCAACCCCACCCAGAATTTCTGTGCCAGATTAATTAACCTCCCGTTTGGCTGTTTAATAATACCTCTGCAGGAAATCCCAGGCTCATAAGTGGGGATTTGAACAGGAACATTTTCTGTACATTTTTTATACATGTTTCTACACATTCTCCTTGTCCAGAGAATTTAGTGTTGTTTAATAAGCAATGGTTTATAAAACGCATATCTGACATTAATACGTTCACTCTTTGACATACTTCTAACCAAAACAGTGCAATGGTGATGTCTTTGAAATTAACCTTTTAATAGAAAATAATTCATTCAAATTAAATGTAGTTAAATTCCAACTTTAAACGATACCATGCGGTGAAGTTCAGTGGATCGCACCCTGCCCTATAAACGTGATGACCTACAATAATTTCCCGGCCACGACTAACATCAGTGGTGAGTGATATCTTAACCGGACTTTGCCCCCCACCACTCGCTTCGCCAACGCACACTGATGGACCTGTTGTTGTGACACTTTCATCCAGCAGTGGATTTGCAACGGATTATATATATTATTTTTGTATTGCCATTTAAATTATGTACCGCATCTTCAATTCAAATTCACCCAAAGATACTGTGATAATGATTTTTAACGACAGCCAGATTATTGGCGAGATGCAACTACCTCGCCTGGTATACGAGAGATCGTGGGTTCGATTCCTGCTGTACATTTGGAGTTTACATGTTCTCCCCGTGGTCGCGTGGATTTTTCTCCAGGCTCCTCTGGTTTGTCCCTCTACATTCATAAACGTGCGTTTAGAGTATTTGGCTGCTTTGAATTTCCACGTGATAAGCCACTTTGTTGAGCTCTCATTTGTGGCCAGGTCGCTTATGAAAAAGACCTATACAGCTCGTTTTATAGGTTCAAGTTCAAATAATGTTTACATGATTTTAATCCTTTCTAGGTCATAGCCACTGCAAGTATGGAAATGCTAATATCGTATTCCGCATACAAAATTGTGCATTTACAAACATGTTTGCCTTTCCGCTTGTCGCATATTATATGTAGACTTGCGCAGCATATGCATCGTTTTTCCACTTGAACAATCGTGTGCGAGAGAACAGCTAGGAGCAAGTGGAAACGCGAGCGTATCATATTCACCCTTCACAATTGTGCAAGCGCTCAAATGTGGAAAAAAGAAGTGTGCCTCATGCCAATTAAGGGATTTACTTGTGGAAAATATCATCTAATGAGCATCAATAATGCACCCCAATTGTTTGCGCTTCACACAAAAAAACCCCATGAATTAGTGCTTTCTCCTCTCCTCAATGAGTGCCCTATCGCCCACACATCCTCCACTCGTGCGTGACCTTCTTTTCCTATCTTGCCATGTTATGCACACCAGGGCCGCATGAGGAAACTGTGCTGCCCTAGATGAATCGCCCTCCCCTGGGAGTTGCTGCTAGTTTTATACTACGCGGCCATCAGAACGGGACATTCCCCTGTGGAGCCTGTGCGTTGAACTTTCTCGTGTCGTCCGTTCCACTTGTCAGTAAATCGGTGAACTCCTTTGTGAAATTGGGTACCAGTTGCATGCACATTTTTTGTTGTTGTTGCAAACAACACGCAGAAACGTGCAATAAAAAGAGCACACACAGTCCTTTGTGCATACACTAAAACCATGAGCATTTCTAGAAGACGTGCATTCTGGTTCTCGTGTCTGAGGTCATAATCCTTAGACACGTGACCAAATGTCACCGACTAACAGAAGCAGTGATGCAGTGATAACTGTGGACTCGTCAGCGCAGGTCACCAATGCTCACCGCTGTACAGTCTGCCTCTGGAAACCTTGTATGCAAAGACTCCACTTCCAGACTATTGGGCCCATCAGCTTGGCTCACACCAACATCAATCACATCTGTGAACGATGGGAAAAGTGCAGAATTTTCTCCCCCAATTTACGGAATAATTGTTTGCTTGAAGGTTAAGCTTGGGTAATGCTGCCTTTGTTTATTTATAGGGTTATAACTCCTCTGTGTATGAAGATTTGAGAATGTGCCATCTTCCATGGGTCACTCATAAAATAACTGTAATCATTGCAACGCTAAATTAACTCCAATATATTATTGTATTACAAAACAAAAATTCAGCAATACTTTTTACTCCAAAGTATCATTCAGTTTCCTGCAATCCTAGGATTAAGTTATTATATATTAATGTAATGACAGGAGGTACAAGTTATAGATCAAATTGAGTTACATTTGGCTTGGGAATTTCACAGGGGCCAAGTTATTCCCACATACAGAAGCCCAGTCCCCCTCCCCCACCCCCCCAATTATCGGATTTTGTTTCAGTGAATCAGTTGAAACGACATCATCGCTCGCTGTCGAGCACGAAAATAACAACGCTGAAACTTCAAAATACATCGATAATTGTTTTTTTACCCTTCTATCTAAGAACAAAACTGACACCTTTTTTACAAGGAGTCATGTTTGCATAGACCACAATACCTGCAGTCATAATGCAAACAAAAAAAAACATAACTCTGATAATGTGCACTGTCCTTGAAGTTGATTGGTCCACACTCGAGACAGCTTTCCTTAGAGCCTAGTCTCACATGGGTTGGACCAGATGACGCCAAAAGGCGCACATCAGAGTTATGTTTTTTGTTTGCATTATGACTGCAGGTATTGTGGTCTATGCAAACATGACTCCTTGTAAAAAAAAAAAGGTGTCAGTTTTGTTGCAAGATAGAAGGGTAAACAAACAATTATCATATTTTTTACTGGCAAATGAGGTTCCAATGGTTCAAAATACATCGTTGAACAAAATTCCGTGGACGCCCTCACCATGCCATCCTACATCGCATCTAACATCGCCCACGCAGAGTGGTGCAGCAGGCATGACTGGCATCCAATGCGGGCGTGTTGAGAGCAACACAATGGCACGATTTTGCACACAGACCTTCTGGCTAACCGCTACAGCGATTGACTGTCAGGTGGTACACATCTATGCTTGGAGATGTTTTCTATTTAGTTGCATTGCTCAGTCGTCTTACCCTGACGGCGATGGCAAGTAAACACATTGCAGTATTTCACCTATTCGCGTGCGTGTGTGGGGGGGCATGTGTGTGTGTCTGTCATTTTTTGCAGGGTGAAGTTGGAATAGAAGGCCCAAAGGGAGTCCTTGGATTGACCGTAAGTACAAAATGGAGACCACACATGACGACACTTATAGGCTGGGGCAGTCTCATTGTTTGACACACTGACATGGAGACGGCTAACCACAGCATTTTCCACGATTTTGTTTCTTTTTCTAGTTGTGTATTCTTTTCCAGGAGAGGCAGTCATCTATCTCTGTCTACAAATGTTATTGAGGCCTACATTCCTTCAACCTGAATTCATCCTTTTCTCCTCTCTGCATTCCTACGAACCTCCGCAGAGCATTTGCACTTCTCTGCGCCATCCCTAAGTATCTGAACATCTGTAAAAAGAGCTTCATATCTCATCGATTTTCCTCCAGTCAAAATAAAGATTCGCATTCGGATTTTTTCGGTCCGAGGAGGGAACCACATTTGTTACTTGGTCCCAAAATGTTGGCATAAGCTCTTCTCTAATTTAAATCTGAACAACCTTTCGACCTTCATAGTAGCATTTATGTTCGAATAGCTTATCATATCCATAAGCTATTCGAACATAAATTTTACTGTGATATATAACTCGAGTGTAGAGACCCCATAACATGTTTGCTCTTGTGGTCTGGTTATGTTAATACATTTTTAACTTCACATGTTGTAAATGCCCATTCTTATCTTACCCAGACTGCTAATAACTGTCAAGTATGTAACAATGTATGGGATTCACGTATTAATATTGCATCCTATGCCTCTGATAGATACATCATATTGTGCATGTATGAATATCTTATTTGGGGTTTATATAAATGATATGCAAATGTTATGCTGCTATCGTACTTAGGCTGAGGAAGTCAGGAAAGAGACACAACGCCAATGAGACAATAGAGCAGGACAAAAAAAAGAATGGATTTTGAATAGAATTGCAGCACCAAAAAGTCAAAGTATTCACTGGAAGGAGAGAGATGTTGCATGCCTACTAATGTACGTGTTAAACGCACATCACACTCAATGATGAATAGCTCACCCAAAGAATCCCTGCCACTTTCCGCATTGTGCCAAAATAATACATCCTTGAGTCTCAATATCCATGGCATGCTGCACATTGTTGAACGTTGTTTTGCTGTTTAAAAAAAAAACATCATAAGTCCTATGGCTTTGATAAAAAAAAATTGCATCCATCAAAACCCACAACACTGACAAAGAAATATGGAACAAAAGCGAGAGAGTGTGCAAAGAAGCAAAGAGAGATGCATGCTGAGGATTATGTTGACAGACGGAAGAGGATTACATGGTTCAGCAAACACACCCAAATCAGAGATGTCATATTGAATGTGGAGGAAATTTAGTTGGCTGGACAGAACACAATGCTGAAGGCAACGATGGCTTACGGATGACAATAGTGATGGAATAGCAGCCAAAAGATACAACAAAGACAAAGATCCCCCATATAGCCTTAACATACTGTTGGGGCAAATGCTGATAGCGAGCGCCTATGAAGATCGGCCCACCACACGATGGGGTGGGTAGCCAGCACCACCACGGCCGCCTTTGTCTCCATAACGGCGATGTTAACACATTGCACTGAGTACTCATTTGAATCTGAGGTCCAGAATTGGTTCAGCTAATCGTCAATGGTGTTGGCCGTGAGCTCGCTAACCGCTGCACTACCGCTACCCTACGAGAAGCAACACACCCAAGTGGATATCCGCCATGAAGATGAAGCAACGAGATAGGCTATCTTATAAGATTGATTATGACGCGTAGAACCATGAGGAATGGTGACAGCATGCGGATGCCTTCATCCACCAATGGATATTGGCTTATGATACTTATGAATAGTTAATTTTGAGATAAAGGCATTGAACGGTGCTTTGCAGATTTCCAAAATATTTCCCCAACATTTTTTTACAAAACAAAGTGCAGCCTGCAAATGCGACTGGTCATGTATCAACACAGTGCCAAATTTACAAACGTAAACTGGATCACTTCACATTCCCACCTCCTGCCCACCCAATCCTATGGAATGCTGGTGACGCAAACGCAGAGATGTTATAGAAACTGTATTTTTTTTTGTAGTAAATCATCTTTTCTCCCTGATCCGTTGTGGGAAATCATCTTTTCTCCTCCATCCTTTCTGGTAATGTCATTAAGAGGCAAGGCACCAATCACGTCCGCTCTATCAGAAGCCACACAAGCAGCTGACGACAGAGACCCATTTCCTCATTCCCCTTCTCTCTCAGCAATCGTCCGTCCACAGCCTTTACATTAATATTTTTTTTCACAAACCGTGATGACGTGCCACCCTACCCAGAGCAGCTGTAGGGCCTCCGTTTCACTCCACGAGCCATAGCTATTTGTCTCGGGTCACCACTGCATGGTGATGGCATCGTAAAACGTGTCTCAGGTTGACATCTCTGAAATTCGAATTTATCTAGAGGGCCCCTCAATGTTCTGCGTTGCGATTTTACAATACGTTTACACGTTGCGTTTCTTGACCATTTGAATACTATTTAACGGTCCGAAGCTTTTTATCTTTGTCTGGCCACATGTGCTGGAGCACACCTATATTGCGGTGCTTTGGAAGCAGTGGTTAGTGCGCTTAGATTTGTGAAACTCCCAAACCCAATGGGCAGCATGCTAGCCAGCAGATGGCGGTACCACAAAGGGGTAAGTGAACCCGACTGTGTAGACGTTTGTGTGTTATTTTCCTCGCCTGTACAGGTTTTCCCCAGGCACTTTGGTTTTCTCCAATGTGCAAAATGCTCTACGGGAAAAGGAGTTTGCCCAACTTAGAAATGCAGCAAGCTCCTTAAATACAGCCCTGAGCGTCAGCAGGGCTTTCCTGTGCATATAAATGACATCTTATTGAATGTATTTTTTTTTCTTTTGTGTTTAAGGGCGATCCAGGCCCTCAAGGGATCATTGGACCACCTGGTTTTCTGGGCCCTAAGGTAGAGGCAGAAATGCCTTAACCCCCACACTAATCTCTCGTTTACCCCACTGACGATGATCCAGATGTACCCATGTAGACCAATTCTTTCATTGCATTAAATGCACACACAATTGTATGGTAATATAATTAAAATTATTGTAGGTAAACAAACGATGATGTTACACCTGCATGATCGGTTAGGTCACTTACGTAGTAATGTTGAATTACATCTGCCTGAAGGCTGAATATTGATTTAGCCTTAATGTTGATGGCCCCATATTCCTTCAATAAAACAATTTGTCAGGATTGTTTTGTGCTTTTTGGCTGATCCTAACCATTTTGAGTCAATGTGGTTTTAAACAAGTATTAAACGTTGGGGTAAAGAAGGATTGAAAGTTGAGTTCAGGAATGCGTGGATGAGTTGATGGATGCACTTAGAGCTTACACGTTTTTTTAAGCCGAAAAAACATTCGCAATTGTAAGATAATATTACAGATAATATTACAGATTTCTTTTAACGGTTGTGCTAAACAGGCTATGATTGATCTCTTGCAGGGGTTCATGGGAAGCATCGGAGAGCCGGGAGTGAAAGGTGATAAGGTGATCTGACAATTCCTTTAACATACCACGTTTTGTCGAAACGGTCTTGCGTTGAGATGAGGCCGTCTGCTTGCATTTTGTGAATGCTAAGAAAAAGGATTACTTAATTAAAAAATACTGTTCAGGATAGAACAGGGAATAATCATTTCACTATAACTTTAACCCTGACTTTAGCTCATTCTCAGGATTCATAATGAAGTCTTGGGTGATTGGTTTTCTCACCTGTTAGTGGTAAGAGTAACGTTAAATACAACTTATCCCAAATTACGTTTCAGGAAAATATATTTTTGCACGTTAATATCGGAGCTTCTTCACGTGCACTTTGTGCTCTCCTGACATCTGCAAAAATCTGGAGAGTGTAAATGTTTAGCAGGGCGATTTACAAGACCCCGAGTTTGGAGATTCTAAGAGGCCAATCACAAGTTTACTGCAAATGTGTTCTGGGAATATTATCCAGCGAGGCATTTATCTCTCGTGTTGGGATGTCTTGCATGTGTCATACACAGGGCACGACAACCCATTAGGCAGTGCATAAGAGGTTCTTAGTCTGACCATTCATACACCTGTGCCTGCCTATAGAAAACACTTGCATGAGTTCTGCCTTAGCTTGTATTAATTGAAATAGAAATAATTCCCAAATAGGTATTGCTGTGTAAGCAGCAACTCGTCAGAAGGTTTGAACTTCCAGGAGTGTCATCTGTAATCGGCAATTGCATGCGGGGAAGCATTCTAACAATACAAATGCCACAACATGCAACCTTTTTTGCCAGTATCAGAGGATAAGAATAGTTTTGGTGTTTGAACATCTTAACACCTGTTTTATTGCCAGAAATGGTAAAACCTATTTTTAATACAAAGGCCTTATTTAATTTATCATCTTTTGTAACACATTGCAAAAAAAAATGTCTGGAAAAGACCAAAAGGAAGTTGAATCATTAACAGAGAACCCAAGATGATAGATTTGAAACGGAGGCGATATTGTGGCCAATTTTCACACTGCAGTTGACCGAATTCTCCACTACGGGGCACTACCAAATAATTAACCATTTGGCACCTCACGACATGTCCCCGACTTCCGAGCACAAAGTCAACAAACAGAGTTTGCATTCATGTTCTGGTCACTAACGTGGACGCCACTCAAAATCCGGCTTCAGAACCCACGTGGGCACAAGCAAGTTGCCAGGCTGACACGGCATTGAATCAGAGTGCAGATTATCGCACGGTTTTGTCCGGCCCAAATAAACCTGTGAGCATTTGCATGTATACGTACAGCCCTTTTGTCAACCCACTGCTGGATGAGGGCCTCTTTGTAGGTCGTGGTGGCTATTTGATCTTACTTTACCATGGTGGTCACTGCGGGTTGGTGAAGGTGGGGAGCATAGAGGCATGTGAGTATAGTACAATAATATATTTTGCTGCATTGCTTTCTGCTGACCACTATGTAACCCCGCAGTTGCCTTTAGCACCTGGTGTGCATGTTGGTCACCCGTACAAGCACCATGCAGCCTCAACCCTACATAGCCCCCAAGGTCTGAGATCAAGCACAGTCCGGTTCATTTAGTCCTTGGGCCAGCGCAGAAATTGGTACCACCAAAGATCGCAAAACGTCAGTAGTCCCGATTCATGTATAGAGCTAATAAGAGTGGATTATTTGAAAACGCCACACATTTCACATGGTTATCACAGCATGTTCTGCTATTCGGTTACATAAAGAAAGTGGATTATTTCTACCTAAGTAACTTTACCGAAAGAACCAAAGAGTATTGATTCCTGCAGTCACGAAAGCTTCAAATCTAGATTAAAGTGGATCAACTCTGGTAATGCCACCACAGGTGGTCCTGACAGGTGACATATCTGTTCTTGGTTCATGGACTAATTTCATCATAGGCCTCTCCTGGGTACGCAGACAAAATAATCAAGTCCAAAAAATGTGGCTCCTGGGTTGCTTGGGCTCTTTATTGGTTGTTTGGACAATTGGTAGTTATAATGGCCGCATTGTTGCATAGCAGCAAACATTATGTATGTTTTCCTTTCATTGAAAGGTAATTTGCTTGTTTGTAATTGAGACCACAGAGCGAGACTGGGACTGAATTGTCAAGCTGGAGCAAAGCTTGTTTCACCTGTGACGGTTTCAGCTGTGATGCAGCGCCGCTTGCCTTGGGCTGTTTTGGTGATGTCTCCCAAAGTACCGCGCCGTGATGTGTGCCCCATGCGTGTGGTGTGAACCGCAGGGTGATGAGGGAGCAGCCGGAATTCCAGGCGAGATAGGCTTCCTCGGAGACAAGGTGAGTCAACTTTACTGGGTAACAACGTACACATTTCAGCAGACTTCCGTTCTGTCTCCACGTACGAATAAAATATTTCTTTGTAATTGATTCATCGGCTTTGAAGACCAATATTATCAAGCAGAATTTGTTCTTTGGTTCTTTCGGTAAAGTCACATATAAAGATAAAATAATAAATTAAATAATAGCATACGACGTTTCGATTGCAACACAAGCAATCGAAACGTCGTATGCTATTATTTAATTTATTATTTTATCTTTATACGTGACTTTTCCGAAAGAACTAAAGAATAATTCCTGCAGTCACGAAAGCTCCAAAATTAAGATTGAAGCAGAATTTGTTTAAGCAAACTCCAAACCAGTTTCGACCTTCTGTGTTTCATCAGCAGTGTCAGGTTTCTTAAGCAATTGTTGCTGGGTTGCCAAACGCTATTGGCAAGCACTCTGGCTAAATGACTGAGCCTTGTTCAATGCAAAAGCGATAATGTATACAAACTTATGATACGTTGTTGTGGAGCATTACTGGTAACATTCATTTAAAGGCAGACCTCCATTCTGTGTCTCCACAAACAAATATAAATGTATTCAGTCATTGGCATGAACATCACCAGAGCAGCTCATTATTCCTGATCCTTGTTCTACATGAACTATGCAACTTAAGGGTTTTACGTTGTTTTATGGGGGGTTTTATTGGCTTTTTCCTACCCTAGAAGCAGCAATGCAAGTTTTAAACAGGGTGCACTTTCACGTAATAAACATTATTATTATTGCTGTCTTAAAATGGCTGTGAAAGAATGTATATGTTAAGGGCATAATACGACAACAAAAAGACACGTGGGCTGGAGGTCATTATATTTAGGCGGGTAAAAGTGGCATAGATGAACGAAGCGTGCTAAATTTCTCACTTTTCCCATCCCAAAATGGAATATGCTGTACATTACCGATTAATCCTGTAGACTCCCAATAGCTCTTTAAACTGTCCACGATGAACGTAAACAGTTGCAGTGGATAATCGTGTTGCGTTTTAAAACGATGATAACAGTCATAATACATGAAGGGCATAATTTGAACTGTTGACAAAATGCACCGGGTGTTGAACTGCCCTTTCCCCGAGGATTTACGCCCATTGTTCTGCTACTCACTGTGCTCAAAGCAGGAGCCTCCTGATTCGGGCAATTTCTTTTCTCGTCGCCAGAGCCTTTTTTGTGTCACGTTGTGCTGCAAAGCAAAATTCAGCAGTGACAGTTGTGAACAACCAGGAATTCTTGAAATCTGAAGGTGTGCCAGAAAATGCCTTTTGATGCATAACCTAAACACAGACTATGGGCTGAGGAATCGGAGACCTCTCTGTTTAGACTTGTCAACTTGGAATGTAAAAATGCTCCAAAACATGCTAATGTGGCTAAACGAGAGTAGTAATCATTATATAGTCGTTAGCACGTTTAGGGTTAATGTACAGTTCCGCTAGCACCTTGTGTTAATAGGGCATGGTGGTTGATGTCTCAGGCTTAGATTATTCAAGATTATTTGAGTGAGACACCCACCTACAGGGCAGAATACTTGTAAGAGGCAGCGCAGAAAATAGGTTGCGAACCACTGTGTGTGGGGTTTTGAACAGAATTCTGTTTTATGTGGAGGTTTGCTCCAGGCTGTCCGCTTTCATGCTGCATGCTAATTCCTACTAAATGGACTGTTGCCCAAACATCCTTATTAGCGTGGGATCTTCCTTAAAAACGAGTCTTGAGACTTGGTGAAGATTTCCTGGATACACAGAGAAATGCGCTATTGTACCATTAATAAATATATGTCACAGCCCTCTGTCAATTCACTGCTGGATTTAAACTTTAGTTACCATTCGTCTCCATGCTAGCCACCGCGATTAGTGACAGGGATGGGGTACCTTGTAACTGCCACAGATGTTAGCAATGGCCAAGAAATCGAACTCAGGCTTATGGGCTCACAGTGCAGTGCTGCAATCACTACATTGCCACTCTACCCCACTGTATCGTTATCATGTTATGTTATATATTTTTTTAAAGTTTTGCTGGCTGGCTGGCTGGCGCGCAGGCGTGCAAGTGCGCCGTAGTAACTTTGCCGTAGTAACTTTGCCGCGCACATTTGCTTGATGATGTCACCCACATCCCACGGCGTTGAGCTGGGTTCGTGCGTCACTCTGACATCTCTCCCTCTCCCCCACCCACCCTCCATCCCGGCTGCGTATCTCGTGCAAATGCGTGGGCCAGTGCTAGCTACGATTAAAATAACAATCATTGACAGCCCTTTGACAATTCACTGCTAGATGAATGCCTACCCACGCCGTGTCGGTAATGGGAGTTGTTTAACTAAACTAAACCAAGCAGGGCGGTGTGGGTTTGTGAAAGGGGCTGTGGTGGGTACGAATAATTCAGATATCCCTCACCTTTGGCCTTAACTTTGGCGGGGAATTGTACATAGGTCGCCGGGGTCACAGTGCGGTGCATTAACCACTGTGCCCCCATTTGACCGACTGCCCATTTATCTTCCTTTGGCATACATTTGTGGGCATTGCTCAGGGAATAAATCCCAAGCAAGTATAAACCTAGGCTTGCCAGAGTGTCCTTAAGAGCCCTTTCTGTCACCAGGCAGAAAGCGTCTGATGAATTACCAAGCCGCTTGACAATAAATCCTCGGCCATTGCTTTATTGTGACGTGAAGTGTTTGGACTGTGACGTGCAGCCTCAGCCAGCAATGATGCACATTCGTTTACAGATAACCTTAGGTCCCTCCCTCCCAACACAGGCTGCCGGGGTTGTGCGAATACTTTTTTTTAAATAGAACCCATTCGGCATGGCTAGCTCATTCCAACGAGGATTAATTTACCGAATCTGCAGAGAATCACATGTTAACCTCAAATGCCTTGTAAAATTCAGCTCATTGTTCTAACCCTCATATGCAAACCAATAGAGAGATATCGTTTAATACTGTAAATATCTCTATATAGGTCAATTACTATGTGCGGTATTAGCAATGATAATGTAGATTGGAGTAAAAGCGATGACAAATGATATTGTATCCATATTAGAGTTTTTTGGGGGGTTTGATCGCGTAAATATAAATGTGTCGCTAAATCCGCCACCTTTCTTCACATCCAATTAGTAAGGTTTGTCCCATAAACAAAACGTGCCAATTCGTCATGAGTTCAGCACACCGGTGTGTTGGAGAGTAAACCCACAACGTTTACAATTCAAGTACCGTCTTGTCAGGTTTAACGACGCATTTATATTCACGTGGTCGAACCCAAAACAAATCTGTTATGGATAATATTGGTCGAGAAAGCCTACGTGTTAAATAGTACATTGTAAATAAACAAGTCGATCGGGTATGTTTATGACTGCAATCCTCATGCCAAAATTTATGTATACTGCTGTTATGTTCAGCCTTTCCATGTCATACTTGCAGAACTTAGCCAAGGCACTGCATTGGTTGACACACTTGGTCCTTCCTGTAGCTGATATAGATTGAGAGGTAGGATTAGGGTTAATTGGGCTTGAGCCAAAGCAATACAGCTGTGGATTAATATCATGTTACACTACGTCCCGTTATGCTTCATCATTGAGCATTCAAGGATATTGTATTTATATATGTTCCTGCTGTAATCTATCATGCAAAAACTTGTCTTGCTTTCACCTCATTCGCTCTAGTGTGTCATGCCAGAAGTGCTCTCCAAGTATTCACTGAAACAACTGCGGACAAATGATTCTGATATTACGTTGACTTTCCCAGGGCAACCTCGGCTTTCCTGGTCTCCCTGGGCCTATTGGAAATCCTGGAATAGCAGTAAGTCGACTACCTTGTTATTTGATCGAACACCAAGTTATTTTTCAGTGACACATTCTGAACATCGCTTGAGGCTAAATGTAAAAGCGACAAACACCGCCAATTTTTATACTTTGTCGAATACTTTTCGTTCTTTCTATTTTTCCAATGTGCCTACATCTGTTCATTATGGACACTTGCATTACCCATGATTATTATTCATTATCTAAATATCTCTCTTCATATAAAGTCTGGGTAGAAACAGAGAGAAATGACCTGTTATGTAAACAACTGAACGATGATAATCTTTGCTTCAGGGAAAAACCGGGGAATCGGGACCGCCTGGTCCCCCCGGGTCTCCTGGACCAGAGGTTTGTAAGCGGTACTAACACTGAATTCAAACAACAGATTTTAAAGATGCAATTGTAGAAAATCAATGAAATAATATAGATCTTGGAAATTTGGCGATTACATTTTGAACACAAATCAATTACGATTGTGTTAACAGCATCGTCGCATGAGAATCTAGGGGCAAGCAGTGTACTATGTGGCCACATTCCACATTAATCGAACGCCTTCTCTTTATAAAGGGCACATTTGTTTATGCTCTGCGTAGATGGGTTCGTTTGCACGTCAGTCAAAAAACTAATTTTCATACGATCGATTTTTGGTTTAGTCGTTTGTGACCGGGCTGAGACCATCAATTTACTCCTATGTTTGAGAATGCAGTTTAATCACACTTGGCCAAGATCTAAATCATGATCTCAAAAGTGCCATCTCAGCACTGTCCCCTGAGCCACGTGACCACCACCACCCCCCTTACATGATTTAAAAGTGGTTATCATACTTGTAATATATTCCTTCTATTCCATAGTTTGAATGGTTTTAGATTAAAATGTAAGTGTACTAATATTTTTCGTTTAACAACAAGTTATGAAGTGGTATATTGACACTACTCTTATTTAATAACATTGAAACATCTACACATTTATTATGGTTTCTGTAAACTGTAATATACATCAATAACAGTGTAAAATTTATTGTGTGGATTTGTCGGTTGAAGTTATGCAGCAGATTTACTGCAAGCGTTCGCTCTACAGCCATTGGCCTTGCGTCATCGTTCATAGCAACGTAGGGCATTAAACATCAATGTGCAGGGCTGAAATGTCACAGGATTTGTACAGTCCGAATTTAAAGCTTTCGTGACTGCAGGGATTCATCTTCTTGGTTCTTTCGGTAAAGTCACGTAGAAGGGAAGTAATAAAATAATAAAAATAAAACATAATAAAATAATTCTCATAACGTTTCGGCTACAACGCAAGCAGCCGTCTTCAGGTGAAGAATGAAACACTGCCAAGCTTGGAGCGTATATATAAGCTGGGTTGGAGGTGGAAGAAGAGCGCCTTGACAAAATAATTTGCATATCAAGATTGGTATTACCTTAGAGAATGTATGATAGGTGTGCTTCTCTCTAAAGTAGAATGTGTTTGTGCTTTCACAGGGTTTTCCTGGTGCCATTGGATCACCAGGTATTAATGGACTTGATGGGCCAAAGGTAAAATTATTATATTTTTTTCCACGCTATATATTTACACTTGCATTAAAATATTTGTATCTGACGGTTGAGCGACAGGTCGCTTGTCATGTGGGTACTCCCCTCCCACCTTTTCCAAGACGTGTGGCCAGCGTGGAAGAGTAGGCCCAATACCCTTTAGTGGTGCTCTCTGGAACTCCCTCTAGGGAGAGGTCGTTCCACCAGCAGTGACACGAGCGAGACATTTCAGGGCTGCACCGTTACCTGTTGCTGTCTAAATTTATCCACGTTACACACTCCTCGCTTTCCATCAGCCAACAGTGACCCAATGAATTTCACTGACTGCGCAACCGCAGCTTCACAAGGTTTTTCTTTACTCAGCGCAATGCTGAAAGAGCCAACAAAAGCCTTCATCGCTGAAGCGGCGTTTCAGTTTATATAAAAAAAAATAGTTCACAATTCCATGTTTCTGTAGCCTTTTAATATACGGACGTCAAATAGAGCCTCACGTTGACTTCACGCTCGCGCCCGTTTTAATTTGCCGGGCGTGCTGAGAGACGGCGTCACGATGACCGCCCCAATGTTTTTTGGTTGACCGCTCAAAGCCAACTACTGTGCTAAGGTGTTGTGCAAGCTTAAATGATGAATAGTGTACTGCTGTTAACTTCGAGCACTGTTTACCGATGGTGATGAATAGTCCGTACTGTAACGAGCCGTCTATGTCAACAAGGGGATGTGGGCGACTGTGTTTATCCAGCACTAACATTGGAATTTTAATTTTGTGTTTGTTTTTTCCTGCAAACAGGGCAAGCCAGGATCCCGAGGCCCACCAGGACCAACGGGCCAGAAGGGACTTGACGTTAGTACCAGTCCATTTTTGAATGCTCTCTGGAAAGACACGAGGAAACACACACACACATGCACACAAAATACAATCCTATGTATAGACATCTGGACTGTTGAGCCAAGCCGCCATTAGCGAACACCTATGAAGTCCGGCATAGTGCTCAAAAGGGGGTAAGTGGTCAACACTCCACCTAGCCGTTTTTGTCTCTAGGCTTAGTTGACCTAGGGTAGGCCCAGGACAGTTTAGATATTCGCCAATTGGTGTTATCCTTGAGCAGATGTTGAACTCGAGTCGCCGAGTTTGTTGGGCAGTGTGCTAACCACCACATTAACACTCCACACGTAAACTCACACACAAACGCTATCCTAATCAAGCACCATGAATATTTTAGCTGCAGAATTAACACTCAAAGGCATATCGAGTAAAAATGCAGCTATCCTATCGAGCAATGACACTCCTTGAGAATCAACATGGTTTTGCCACTAATTTTATGCCCTTGTCATCAGATATTGAACATCAATCGGCCACTTCAATGGAATCCTATGTTGGTATTTGATACACTATCTAAATGCAACGCTGTGATGGACAGTCCACCAAACTTTCCACGTAGGGCAGGCTCTGCCAACTTTATTTTCCAATAAAGGGCCATTGTTAGGCAAAAACATTATATAGGCGGTGGCACCATAACATATAATTGGAGTGCCGTTTGGTGAATCTGAAACCGCCTGGCTTGGGATCCTCGGCCCTAAAGTATTTGCAAACGTGCACAGGCATGTCAGGACTGCAGACGCACACGTGCTCATGTTCAGCTTCATTTGTGTTGGAACCTTTCCAAGCCAACAACCTTTAAATGCCGGACGATATTCCAAAACATTTAAATATTCCAAAATGAACAGAAAAAGCTCGTGTTATTTTAAGTGTCCTCTGCTACAAAGCTGGGTTCAGGCATGCTTGTGTGTGTACATGCGTGTGTGTGTGTGAGGAGCAACCCGAGTTCGATTCCCACTCACGGCCAACACCAGTGACGATTTTATGAACCGGTCCTGGGCACCTCCCCTAGTTCGACTCACCCTCAGATGACTACCTCGTGCAGTGTATAAACATCGCCACTAGGGAGACAAAGGCGGCCGGGCGTGTTGTTGGCCATCCACCCCTTGTGTGCCGTGCCGGCCTTCATAGGTGCTCACTAACAGCACTTGCCTCAACAGTATGTTAGAGGCTATACGGGGAATCTTTGTGTGTGTGTGTACACGTGTGTGTGTGCGCGTGTAGGAGCGGTAGTGTAGCGGTTAGCGCGCTGCGCTATAAACCTGGCGACCCGGGTTTGATTCTCGCTCACGACCAACACCATTGACGATTGTCTGAACTGGTCCTGGGTCTCTCCTAGGTCGACTCAGCCTCAAATGAGTACCTGGTGCGGTGTGTAAACATAGCCACTGGGGAGACAAAAGCGGTCGGGCGTGGTGCTGGCCACCCACCCCCTCGTGTACCGTTCCTTCATAGGTGCTCACTAACAGCACTTGCCCCTACAATCTGTTAAGGCATATACGGGGGATCTTTGTCTTTGTGCGTGTGTGTGTGTGTGCATCTCATCTCTTTTTCAGGGAGAAGAGGGACCTTTGGGGCCACCAGGAATTCCAGGTCCACCAGTAGGTCCACAATACACATCCTCCCGGTTCCTATACTGGACTAAACTCACGATTCAGACTTTGTTGCTACTGACTGTATTTGTATATACTAAGACAGCATAAAAGTGCCACTTAGATCAAATAAAAAATTATTATTTGTTGATGCTGCTGCGTTGGCAGTGGTGCACAAGTACAGATTCCAATAAAGATCAACACATTCGTCAATAACACTGCCATAAAATATATATAAAATAGGTGACGTTTCAGGCAATGGTCCTTCGTCACTGGACATAGGCCAGCAGAGTTAGAGATATCGCCTTACTCCATATGTGCTGTGAAGAAGGACCATTGTCTGAAATGTGGCTTCTGAGATTAGGAAGCCATTGGAGCTATGCACTTTTAAATCTCGATTGAAAACTCGTTTCTTTAGAACATTTTTTAGTGTTTAGTTTGCTGTGCTTTCCTCTTCACATCCGATTAGTACGGTTGGCTATGTACAGTGCAAAATAAGTTCAACATACATACATACAAAGTTCACCTATTAAGTATATATTTTAAGGTGGTATGTGTTGAGTTTTTTAGATTAAAAAAAAAAATTTTGCAGTCATGTGCACTTGAGGCCAGATGGGGGAGTCTGGAACAGATGTCCGTCACACCGCGGCAAAAGGGGGCATGAAAAAGACGTTGACCTTCCGTTAAATATAACGCGCGTTTCATTCGGCCAGTTTGCTTGGCTGCGGTGGAAGTCCGGAACTAACATCGACCGTAACCCTTGTAATTTTTCAGGGAAATCCCGGAAGCCAAGGCTTTCCTGGGAAGTCCGGACCGGATGGACTCAAGGTAGAGCTCATGACCTTTTCCCCTTCTGAATACTGGCGAATGTTGCAGGTCCAAGAGACACCTGGACCAAAGGACAAGCATCTCTGTTTTTGACTGTTTGACCTTGGCTCTTAAGCAGGTGTTCGGAAATTGAAATCCATTGGCCACATTTTTGGCGATCTTTTTTTAATAGTTAAATATTGAGATAACAATAATACTGTATATATATATATACATTATAAAATAAATGAAACTGCTGAAAATCTGACCTTTACCTGTGGAATCAGGGTTAAAATTAAGTGGTGTATTGTTTACAGTACAGCAGCAGAAAATGCTGCCAAGATGATCATGCTTAACAACTGCTGCTCCAAGCCAAAGCAAACTAAAGTTAAATTATTCGCATTATATGAGAATAGGTTTTACCCATGTTTTTTTGTTTGCATGTTCACCACAATTATATGTGGTTAATGCAGACATGATTCCTTGCAAAAGGTTTCAGTTTGGTGTTTTAACATCTTAACACAACTGTTTTATTGCCAGAGAGGGTAAAACATTTTATTATATTTTGATGCTGGCAAGGGAGGTCCCATGATCTTAGCATTATATATTTACACTTTTTTAAATGACTCCTTGAAAATAATTACAAACATCAACAATGCATCGAGCTTGGAAGAAATGAGCATATGCCTCCTCGTTCTCCGTGATGCGAGTATCCATTGGTTTTTTGTTTTGCGTCTTGAAATTTGGTTGTGTTCAGAGGGCCTACAAATTACGCTGCGTTCAGCGCCGTCGAGATTCTTGCTTCCACGATTGTGGAATTCCCTTCCTCGGTCCACGCGCGAACCTCGCGTCCTGTTGTGCTTTTTAAATCGCGTCTTAAAACTCACCTGTTTTGACCATCGGCTTTCTCCGTAACTTCCGCTTTATCTAAAGCCCGTTGAGGACCTTGTGCGAATTGGGCTACTGAATACCGAGTTTATCGTAATTGTTGTTATTATTACACAATTATTAACACGTCATTTAACGATGCTTACTCGTGTGCACGCATTTGTTTTGATGTGTGTACGCAGGGTGAGACTGGTGACCCCGGAATTCCTGGCAAAATTGGAGATACTGTGAGTAACGCATATCCGCGCAAATATCAGCGACCACAGCTGAATTCATTAATGCTGACTTTATCACATTTTCAGTTAAACTTTATTCATTTGTGACATCAGCATCGGGTCATAAGACAACGTATCTGTGTGGAACTCTTACAGAGAAATGGCCTGTGGAGGCAGATATAACAAATAGCTACTTTTGAGATAACCCTTTTATCTACACACTGGGGTGCACTTGCATAAAACTTTTCGTCGAATGGCAGTGAAACAGATATACTTATTTATTTATTTTCAGGGCCAGAGTTTTGCCATTTTAAATGACAAGTCAACTTTTGTTGTTGTAGTCGTTGGGAAGTTGCTGAAACCATCAACAACTCACTACATATGAGAACCCAATTTAATCGATGGTGGCTATAACTCAAATTCAAAGCCGGGATCTCAGTTAACCTGCTCTTCTTTCGGTTGAATTAGCCTAAAAAGCCACTAACATTTTACCTGGATTGTGAGAGATGGTGGCAGCCTGTGGAGGCCTTCATCCTGCAGTGGATTGAACATGTCTGATGACGATTATGATGATAGTACGATGTTCCCACCGGCTTCTTGTGTGGCCTGCTGGTTTAAACAGCCACTCACTCACGACACTTGCCTGGACCGTCTGCAAACTAAACATTGCAACCTTGTGACAGGGACTCATCGGATTGACTGGCCCGATTGGAGAAATGGGAAAAGCTGGAGATAAAGTGAGTCTATCTTATTGCCTTTGTTTTGTTTGGAAATTAATTTTGCACCATCACCTTAGTCCCTGCATGTTGGCACCTACATATTCTTGTTCAAAGTTTAGTCGACTATATACTGTAATCGTGCAATCCATCATTATCCTCACGTCTGTGCGCTAGGATTGCCATTCGTGCCATCATTTGATGTATCTGTCCTGGGAAATCTATACAATTTCCCAGTTTTTGTCAGTTGCATTATAACACACCGCTCAGGACAATTCACTTAAGAAGTCGTTCTCTCTCCTCTTCCGGTCCTGTGAGATATTAATCTTCCCATGATATGTCCTGGTTTGTAAACTCAGAGGTAGCAACCCTAGCGTGTGCACAAATCTCACCTTCAACCGGTTGTGCTGGTGTAGTGTGAAGTGAGTTGATGACCGCTGAGTGATTCAATATTACTCGTAATGAAGGTTTATTCCTTTCAGATCACGTAAATATAAATGTGTCGTTAACCCACCACCACGTGACACAGCCAATTAGTAAGGTTTGTCACGCAAACAAAACGTGCCAATTAGTTACTAGTACAGCACACCGCTTGTGTGTTGGACGGTAAACCGGCAACATTTACAATTTGAGTACGACGTTTCGCTGGTGATTACAACCAGCTTCATCCGGCGATTTGTCTCCTTTACGTGTGCAGGGGGAACGAGGGGGAGTGGGTCTCCCTGGGCCCCCTGGAGAGAAAGGAGCCATGGTAAGCAGTAAGTTTGGCACATCTCTAGTTTGGTAGGTGAAAAACAGTCGCGCACATTATCACGAAGCCACGGACGGCTCACCTTACACAGACCTCCATGTTGCTCGTTTCACTGTAAACATTATCACTTCGCGTGGAGCAGAGGAATGCACTAGAGAGTTGTGCATTGTTAAATATAACGGTTTTGTAATTGTGTTTGCCGTGCCGGTGGTGCTCTAAAACGAGATAAGTTCACAATAATTGGAGCATTATAGATATCAGCAAATGTTATTTTCAACTGTGTGGCTGTTTTTAACAATCATGCAACATTTGTGCCCCCCTTATTTTGTGAAGTGGTATCAAATTTCCACGACACATCCCAATTTTAGTATTGCATTGGGCTGTTTGTCGCGCGTAAATTAACAAATGACGTAGCTTTGCCGAGCGTCCTTTATATTATTTCACGTTACCATAAAGCCTCCAAAATAATGTGGAAATATTCCTGTGTTTATTTTTTCGTCAAAAGGTTCCACATTTCATAAAATATGCCTCATCATCGCGCGCAGCCATAAACGGTCTTGTGCCGGATACAGCTCCCTTTCATTTAAACCCTATTCCAGTGTCCTGATGTCACGCCCCAGGGATACCAGCAATGCATACCGAGGAGTGAACTCTCCATCGGGCAGGCAGTTGACAAGAGCATTCCACACGCGCAAGAGCCAAGAGGTCAATGAACCCCGCGTCCAACCTAGGCACCCCCTGACCATGAATTGTGCGAGCTGACATTCTGGAGTTGGTATTGCCACCGATTTCCATCAGGTCTCTTGTTTCGGGTACCTGCTAAACCCAGTCAGTGCGCGCCGGTGGACCAAGTTAGTGAGCATCATGGGCTGCTGTGGCAGTATACACGCATTCTAAAAATAAATAGTTGAGGCATGTCACCTGAAATGCTTCAGGTAGTTTAGAAATGACTAAAAATGGGGGTGTTCATCTTTAAAAATGTCTTATTGAAACTGGCTCGGAATGTAGGCATTCCGAGCTGGACTGCTTGACATTTTTTTCAAAAGTCTGGTTGGATGTTACTGGTAGGAACCTCCTGGTTCCACCAGCCCACAGGGGATTATTGTGTCCGTCCGTCAGTGGTGCATCCAAAAATGGGAGGGGTGGGGCTGGGTGGAGAGGGGAGGGTGGGGAGGGGCTGGGTGGCGAGGGAGTGGCTGGGTGGGGAGGGGAGGGTGGGGAGGGGCTGGGTGGGGAGGGTGGGGCTGGGTGGGGTGGGGAGGGGCTGGGTAGGGAGGGGCTGGGTGGGAAGGGTGGGGCTGGGTGGGGGGTGGGAGGGGTGGGGCTGGGTTGGGAGGGGCTGGTCACCCCGTGGTGCCCTTATAAAACTCAACGTTTAACCTACTCACGCCGGCTTGTGCCCGCCCTCACAGTCGGGCATATTTGGGGAATACACCATGCCGCCGTTGACTCTGGCCTTTGACCGAGCAACCCAACGTTCCTACCAGCTCCCTCTGCAGGAATGTGTTAGTTGTCTCTCAACTGCCTGCACTTTTTGTTATAGCGTGGCTACAATACTGCATTTTGTACCCGCTCTAGAATTAATTAAGAAAGTAGAGCGATGAGCGGAACCGGTGGTGGAGAGATAAGAGGGAGCTCGGGAGTCGTGCAGTCTCGGTAATTTGGTGCGTACGGCGAGCTGCAAAAAAGACTGCTGTGTGTCTGGTGCTCTCATGTAAACACCCAACACAGGCAGAAAGCCAACGCACGCTTGCAGCCAGAGCAGTTTGTCAATTTAATCTAAACTATGGTCTGTGTAAAGGAGGCTTTGGAGCCAGTTACATGTCAGAACTTCTTCACACCTCGCTGATGTGTAGATGATAGAAGGTTCGAGCTGCAGCAATCGACTCTTAATTTAATTGGTTAATCTATCGATTATGTATTTGTATAGAATAGGTTAATGAGTGCACGAGACTCTAAACGTGTTTTCATGGCATTGGGCGTGAGGTGAAGGTGAGTGGGAGGATAACGACATCATCATCGTCATCACTTGTCATCACGCTGGGAGTGTGTGAGTGCCCCGCGTGTTGGAGGCCAGATCCTTGGCATCAACCGGGGTGCCACAGTGGCGAGATGTTAACTCCCTCGCCTGGTATACAGGATGTTGTGGGTTCGATCTCGACCCTGACGCCCGAATATTTGGAGTTTGCATGTTCTCCCTGTGGCTGCGTTGATTTTCCTCCAGGTCCTCCGGTATTTCCGTCCACATTTAGAAACATGCACTTAGATAATTTGCCTGCTATAAATTTCCACATGATAAGCCACTTTGTTGAGCTATCATTTGTGGCCAGGTCGCTTCTGAAAAAGTGCTCTATATAGCTCAGTGGGCCTTTCCTGGCAAAATCAAAGTACTTTAGTTTCATAGTTATTAAATCAGGTGCCAATTAATTGCTTACTAAAAGAACCCCCAATATGCTGAATGATATGAATAATAAATGCATTTGATTCATAATTCCAGCACTTGGAAGAGTTTTGATGAAAGTCTGACTGCCGTACCACATGGCTACGTATTTGATAAGTTTATGCATTCCACACTGCCAATATTATTAGATAATGGTTGGACTGCACGCCACTTCCAGTCTGCTCCATTAGTTTCCTTTGAAGAAATGGCCCAAGATGTTCACAAACAACTGCAGAGAGTTTTTTTTCATCGTAGTAAAGGACAGACAGAATTGGCTTTGATGTAACTCAGCACTGTATTTGGAAACTGTTGCCGGTTTATATGACGTGCAAATTGTATCCATTAATACATTTTAGGGTAATGTTAAAACAAGTTTTCGCTCTCCTTTGAGCCTTTTTTTTTAGTTGCATCATTCCCTTGGCGTTTACGACCAATTCCAGCGGTGTGCACGGCGTCCACCTGCGTGCGCGCGTCCCGCGCTCGCGTACGACCCGGCTCTTTGTGCGCGCGCCGTGCCTGCGAAGAGACTCGGCACTCGTTTGATACAAAGTGGGGTGGTGGTGGTGATGGGGGTGGCGGCGGTGGTGGTGGCTCGCGCTAATCAAGCATCACCTCACCGCTGTTGTTGCTGCTGCTGCTGCTGTTGTTGGTATTTTTGTGCAGGGCTATCCCGGGCCTCCAGGGGAGCAGGGACCAGTGGGGCCCGAAGGTCCACCGGTGAGTGATACACGGTGGGGGCCGAGCGGCGCGGGGGGGGGGGCGGGAGAGATGCAAAACTCGAGGCCAGACCTACCGTGCCCCTTCCCCATTCTTCCTTAACAAGAGCCTTTCTGGCCGTGCCAGCTAACTCGCCGCACACACAATAAGGCACTGTTCGCGAAACGAGGAGGTGGGAGGAAGTAAGACCTCAAGGGGGGGGGGGGGTGTGGGGAAGGTGTGGGGGCGGCGATGGTGGTGGGGTGGGGGATAAAACGTGGGATGGGGATGGGATTGTTGGGCGGTCGGGCAGGCAGCGTCTGTGACGTCGTCGTCGGGGTTGTGAAAGACATCCGAGAGAGAGGTTCAGCAGTCCCCCGGGTGGAGGCCTGCTGACCGCTTCGTTTATTTGTACTCGGTGCCTTTAGCCTTGAGCCTCACTGCCGCCCAGTGTTTGTTAAAACAAAAAAAAATGTATCCCGCTCTGCTCGTGAACCCACGCCACCTCTAACTGCACCCTGCGTCAGCCCCCCGCGCTCAGTTCCCGGCCTCTGCGTTGATTTGAACGCCTGCTAAAGCATTGCTGATTTGCGCCGGGCTTCGGGTTTCTTCTATTAAACATCTATTTTTTGGAAGGGGGAACGGGCTTCATAAACAAAAACACGTTACAGGTGTTTCATTAAGAGGAGGTAGAGCGTGACCATAATACCTTGCGGCCTTACTGTTATTACATCGGAGCGCGTATTATTTCATATTAGCCAGGATTGTTGAATACATTTATATTATTAGGTTTTTTTCGGTAAAGTCACGTAGGTAAAAAATTTAAATTAATAAAATAAAATAAAAATAAAATAAAAAATGACGACGTTTCGGAGGCAACACAAGTCGTGATTTTTTATTTTATTTTTTATTTTACTTTTATTAATTAAAAAATTTTACCTACGTGACTTTACCGAAAAAACCTTGCAGTCACGAAAGCTTCAAATCTAGAATGAATTCATTTACTTTGCTACTGAGGAGTCGGCTCGCCTCGCACTTGCCGTGGTCTGGAAAGTTTCTCTGAACCCTGCTGCCTTCGTGCAGCCTGTTGATGATTTTCTCTCCTTTTCCAACACTTAGGCTGTGCCTCCTAATTATTTGTGAATTCTCAAGCCAGGTCATTGTGCCACTTTAAGGGACTTATAGCGACTATGCTTACTGGAGATAACAATTAGATAAAATATATAAAAAATTCTTGATTTAAATTCATAGATTTACACTGCGCCAAATGTTGTTTAATAACGATAATGTTATTTATATCTCCATGAAAGTCTCACTGAGTCTCAGAGCTCATCAGGAGGGTTCTCCACTACGATGTTTGGCCAATTGGAATAATCAGTCTTCAGTGCATGGGAAGAACATGTGAGGGGATATTACTCACAACACCGCACATATGGCTTTAATAACTTATTGTGTACTTTGGACAGATGTATTTGTCTTACTTTATCCCAGCTCACAATGTAACATTCTTTAATAGTTCCTAATGCCTGCTGCAGAAAATTACAATTACTTTCTATTAGTCACAGACCATTGATCCCTTTTATTAATCTTCATCTCTTCTGCCCAAAATATATATTTGTTTTAAATGTGAACACGTCACACGTAGCAGATGCAGTGGCACGAGAGTGGGTTATTCCTCAGGTGACGAGGAGCCATCTTGGAAATTGCACAAAATTCCCCCGTGAAGCCCTCTGGCTGCAACTGTAACGGCTGCTTGACATCGTGCAAACATTCAACACTGCCACCATGGCCCTGGAGAAACCTTCGAACCGTCGCATGCCACCAGCGGCTGTACTGATCGTAAAATTGCGTGACAATCGCAACTTCAGAAAACCACCACCTCCCGTTCCCTAAATGCTGCAACGAGGTGTAATTTCAGTTTTGGTAGGAATTGCAATCATGTTTCCTGCTTGCTGTGCAATTTACTGTCTTCCAGAAGTTTTGCGTGGCTCAATATGATGGACGTGCTGCGTCATTTTAAGAAATTGTTATCAAGGGGATGTTGTCAACCGTTACGACGCCGTGGCTGTGGTTCAGTGGTGTCTCCGAAAAGTTGTGGTGGGGGGCCTTCGCTAAAGACAACCCGTCTGTGTCACTCAACGCCCTGACCTTATTTATCATTCGGTGAAAAAGACAGTAACCAAAATACGGGCAGTCACACGAGAAGGCAAAAATATTAAGGTTTCAGCGGCAGGTTTGTTTTTGTAAACGATGCAATAGAAGGCTTTTCAAAGTGTTCATGTTTTGTTTGGTTTCCTCTCTTGCGTAATAATCTCACGTGCATCGCCGTTCCACCTTTCAGAAGTACCAAAAGCAAAGAGCAAAATGTTGAAAAGCGTCACAAAGGAAAAATGGCACAGAGTATTATTTTCTTTTTTTATATATATATAAAAATATTTTTTTCTAAACAAAGCTCGCATATTCAATCAAAAACATATCGGACCCAGATGCTAATAATATCATTTTAATCACCACAATGGAAGGATACTGTAAAATAAGTCAATCAAAAAGTCAAGAAGCATTTTCATGTCGGCTCCATGAGAGTTCCATTAATTTCCATTAAAGGTGGCTGCTTTTGGCATGGCCAACGTTATTCAGCTCTCTTTATCTTAATGTCTAATAATCATTGATAATAAGGTGAATGGTTTACATGTACAGTACTTGAACAGAAATTGTTCGAATATTGTTGGCGGCTGTAGTGCAGTGCCGAACTGCTCCGCTCTGTTGCAACGAGAATTGCCTTGACATCGTGGCATCACGGTGTCATCACGGTGTCGTCCGTTGAGCAAAACGTCGTTCTAGTCGTTTCTTTGCTCATTATATCTTAGTAGAATATGTTACGTTCCTCAATAAATTATGTTGTAATTAAGTAGCTGTTGATAATTGTTTTTTTACCCTTCTATCTGGCAACAAAACTGACACCTTTTTTACAAGGAGTCATGTTTGCATAGACCACAATACTTGCAGCCATAATGCAAACAAAAAACATAACTCTGATAATATATGCACTGTCCTTGAAGTTGATTGGTCCACACCCGAGACAGCTTTCCTTAGAGCCTAGTCTCATATGGTGTTGGACCAGATGACGCCAAAGGGCACACAACTCAAAGACAATGCACCATCAGAGTATGAGAGCTCGGGGTAAGCATTTACACCATGGGCAAATGAGGTTCCAATGGTGTAAGTAGCTGTTATCCATGATTTTGGAAGAGACATGCCTGAATTGACGGCAGCGTGGCGATGATATGACACAACCATTTGTATGTAGTCCAGGGGGTCTGTAACCAAAATAACAAGGCGATCAGTTAAACAAATCTTCAATATTTCAAGAGCCACAATGCATGTGAATGAGACGCGGGTCCTTAATAAATAACGTCACAAAGCAGTCCTTTAAGAGCCGCATGCGGATCTGGAAGCTGAACGTCACCGAACCCTGATATAGTCAATCAATTTACTCTATTATTTCGGTGTAACTGACCACGCGTGAGTCCTAAGCATTGTATAGATTTTATAGATTGCAGAGACTGAACGCTTGTGACAAGCTGATGTCTCCGTGAACTGAGATTGAATAACTTTAAGTCGTCTTTACTCACACTGAAGTAAACTTGGTACAAACCCTTTATTTTTAACAGCTGTTGGCACATTTTCTCTGTAAACAGACATGCCTTCAGCCACCCTGTGTTTACACCTGAGTTTCTTCCGTCCCATCTTGCCCAAGATTACATTTAATCCACAATCGCCACACAAAGGGAAGCCTGTAGACCTCAGTTGACTGCCTCCGAGGGACCTTGCGTTTGTGATTTTCACTTTTAAAGGAAACTTCACAATAGTAGAGTGGCTTATCCAAAACCCCAACGTGCAAAACTCTCATGGGATGGCCTTTAATCTCAGAAGTGCTTTGTGGGTGGAATGTACATGAACACAAAGCTTTGCGTGCCGTCGCCGTGAAGAAAGAGGTGAGAAAAGGGTCGAAATTTTGCTGTAATAACCCAAAATTTCACGGTGAAGCTGTCAGATTATCTTTGAATGTAAACCCTGCCCGTGAAAACTCATAACGGTTTAATGTACTACATGCCAGGCGACTGGAAAAAACCTGGTCAATTGCGATAATCTTGTGTGTGTGTGTGGAGAAGGGTGTTATTTCAGGCAATATTAATGTTGTTTCAAAACAAGGAATGTACAAGCACATGGGCTGAAGGGGAGGTTTTTGATTCCATTGAAGTTAACCCCCTGCTAAGGCTTTGACGGACAATCACTGCTTGTCAAAAGCTACAGACACCTGGAGCTCCGTAAAGTTGTAAAGAATTGTTCCTGTATTCAGCAGAGCGCTGGGAGCTCTTGCTGAAAGCCTCGCTATTGTTTTGAAGGCGAGCACTGGCTTACATGGTGCACGGCATTAAGGAATGATGTGCTTCCCATGTAGTCAGGCTGGCTATCGTCTACATGAGAGATGAAAAACTCACCCTATTCATCATCAACACTGCTTTATAATAGAAAAATGTAGGCTGATGTTTCAGGCATGGCCCTTCTTGGGAGCAGAGAGAGTGAGGGCAGAGAAAATGCCACACTTTGCACTGTGGGGCCCTCGGAAAAATGTGGAATTTTAAACAAGTGAACAAATGTAATTTTTAAATTAACAGGTGAAGTTTTCCATCCTGCCCAATTAAGCCCTGAGCCAGTGATATAAATTCCCCATTCCTGTTGGGAGGGCAAATCTTTCTGTAAGACAGCCACCGTCACCTTTCCCTAAAATTGGTGTTCATTTTATGAAACCTGGAGGGATGAAGGGATCAGTTGACTCCCAACGAGGATTTCAACTTGCAATTTTCTGAACACGAACCACACACTCTACTAATGCACCACCCGGACAAAAATGCATGAAAAAGTAAAATTATCAAACGGTTCTTCCGAAGTAGCCGATCCTTATTCAAATACAGGAAATTACCCAACATGCTCTTGATATAGATATTGTCAGCTCTTGAAATCTAAGCAGAGTTACGCTTAGTTAGTACTTAAATGGGTAGCTGCCTGAAAATACCAGGTCTTGTAGGCTTGGACTGCAAGGTAGCCGACATTTGGAAGTACAGCAACGACTTCTTGAACCGTATCTGTGTGAATCTTTGAGTTGTTACTCCCTGATAAGCCAGATACCCATATTTCCTCCCATATGCCAAAGACACATTCATTGAAATGATCAAACATCTCATTGCAGATCCCTTCTGAAAAAAAATATTGAATCTCAGTGAGGCTTTTTTGTGTAAATAAGGACAATCATAGTATTACATTTCTTCTTGGTTCTTTCGGTAAAGTCACGTAGAAGGGAAATAATAAAATAATAGAAATAAAACATTTTTAAATAATTCTCACGACGTTTTGGCCACAACGCAAGCAGCCGTTCTCAGGTGAAGACCAGGTCTGTCGGGGAAACAGCATCAGACCTGGTCTTCACATGAGGACGGCTGCTTGCGTTGTGGCCAAAACGTCGTGAGAATTATTTTATAATGTTTTATTTTTATTATTTTATTATTTCCCTTCTACGTGACTTTACCGAAAGAACCAAGAAGAATCATAGTATTACTCTATCGTTACATACAGGATTGCAACAGCAGCGCTTGCTCAGTGCTCTGTCTTGGGCAATAGATTGAGGCATTCCTCACGGTCTTCCTCTTGGACAAACTTTCTAGCACGGAAGGCACAGAAATCACGGCGGTCACAGTTAGTTAATGTCCTCATTCATGATCATTTCTTTTTGGCCAAAATTTCCACTGACTTTGTTTCTGCTTTCTGAGAACAGTGTTTTTTTTTTGCTGACTGTACCGAGCTGTGGTTTACGGTGTTTTTTTTAATTGCCACATTTTCCCACTGTATGCATGGCTCGGCCAAGGTTGATGTTTTGCACATGTCTTTTTTCTCCTGTGGTTACAACATTTCCAGCACATCAAAGTGCGGGTCACGTGATCGTCTTGGCCAATCAGTTGCAGGGCCGGAGCCAAAACAGTGTGACGGAGTCAGCTGCACTCATTTTCTTTTGTTATTCTTTCATAGAACACGACATTTAAATTATCGTCATTATTTGCCCGATGACCAATAGTCCCAGATGAATACAAGCATCTCAGTTTGGGCGGGGGGAGCCTTTTGTCCACGCAAGAATTCAGGAAAGGACGATTAAATATGAAAATATAGCAATTGAAAACAGCACACGTTTTTTCTTCGCTACAACACATCAGTAGACAGCATGTAAATAGTTTCATAATGCTCCTGTGAGACATTACCAGTGGGTTGGGCTTGCATTTGAACTATTAAACCCATGAACCTACAACACGAAGAAAACAAAAACAGTCCAGCCAAACCTGCGGGTGTGTCAGCCCATTCATTCACGTGGCCATCATCTTCCTCTCTGTTACTTAGTGACCAGGCAGCCCCTGCAGCCAGGTTCGAGCTCTCTTTGGGGATTAGTTTACACTCCGATTAGTTCTGCCCAGGTGCCATACATCTTAATCATGCCGAACTGTCAAGGCCCTCACCTGCTGCTCTTCACTGCCGTTCATTCCTGCGTGCCTACCTCGTGCCAGCTGCACGGGGAACGGTTCCCGCGTGTTCTTGGTTCTTTCGGTAAAGTCACGTAGAATGGAAATAATAAAAGTAAAACATAATAAAATAATTCTCACGACGTTTCGGCCACAACGCAAGCAGCCGTCCTCAGAATTATATTATTATGTTTTATTTTTATTATTTTATTATTTCCATTTTACGTGACTTTACCGAAAGAACCAAGAAGATCAATCCCTGCAGTCACGAAAGCTTTAAATCGAAGGTTCCCGCGTGGTTACACTGACACTGTGGGTGAACACGAATTGTCACCCTCTCCTGCTGTTAAACTGTTACCATTGCTACTTTGACGGTAGTCTGCGGTCTGAGGGTCCACTCATCCGTACTTTCTTTTGAGACACTCATTTATGAAGTGATGCGCGTGCATTTATCGCTTTTTGTTTACTTTTAGCTTCACCGAAGGAGCTGCGATTTCCAACGCACGCAATGGTCAGCGATGGGAATTCACCAGTTTTGAAAAGTACTTTGAAACAAGTAAATTTTCATAAAATTGTTGATTTATATGAGGGAAAGGGAGGACAGGTGGGGCAGTGATTAGCACACACGCAGAGCTGTGAAGCCGGTGATCGAAGTTTTATTCTCGGCCACGGTGAACATCAGTGGTGAGTGATGTCTCACCAGATGCCGCCCCCCCCCCCTAAACTACTTCAACAACCTGCGTTGACCAGCACAGTCAAGTATGGTTAACAAAAACCCATGACCAACACGATCCGAGGAGGCCTTCATCCAGCAGTGCAGTGGCAAAGGCTATACTATGTTATTTGATTGTCAGTTTCTATATTTTCATATTTGTCCTTCCTTAATTCTTGCATGGACAAAAAGGACGTTTTCTATAGGAGTAACATTTTTGGTTAGTCAACTTTTTTTCTAAACACGTTATCAGTTTTCTTAACAAAGGACAGTCACATTAAACGTAAACACAACTATTTATCATATAATACTTCAATAAATCAATGTCATCAATATGCTCACGATTACACGACTGTTTTTTTCTAAATACATCTAGGTTGTAACGAATCGTGTGGATATCACAGCAGCCGCTGTCATCATCGCCACGGTCAAATGAGCAGACTGCCATTGTTCAGTTGTTTCCTTGCTATCTCTGCCCAGTGTCACCACAACAGGGCATTAGCCGAGCGAGCTACCTACTATCATTGACAACAACAACAAAAGACAGTTCCTGATGTTACAATCACAAGATGAATAGGTGTTACGTTTGTGCAAATATGGCAAATTTGAAAAATTACGGGGAAATTGTTGAATGATGCTCATTATTCATAGACCCTTTATTGCCTTCAGAGAGGCCCCTTTGCGCCGAGATAACAGCTTTCTCTCAGCCACGCTGCCACGACTCACGAGGCAAGTCATTGGCACACGCGGGAGCCGCGAATGGATGAAGACAATGATCACCGATGGGGAATGTTTGGGGCACCGTGTGCCGAGTGAGCGTTGAGTGACAGGAGCCCGCTTGTCCAGTCCGTCGAATGCGCGGCCACGTGCGTTTTGCCCTCGGCTCGCTTTGTTTAAATGCAACAGGTAGTGCAAATTGTTTCTCGAGTTTATTTGAGCCATCTGTGCAGACAGCTCTCGGTAGGGCATTTATTTTGTCCACCTCGGTCCACAGACCCTTGATAAAAAGCGAGTGTTTGTTTTTTCAGGGAAGGCCCGGGTTGCCAGGCCGCAGAGGACCGCCTGGACCTAAAGGGAAAAGGGTATTTGCACGCTCGCTAATTTCACAAATTGCCTCGGAAATATTTCAGCGTTGTGTACGTGAAGCACATTTTTGCTCAATGTGGATAAATTACATAGAGTGCTGAAGGACACAAAATGCTTGCTGCAAACGCAGCGCGATATGTAATGTGGTAATGTCTACATTTACATACGTACTGTGTACACATACATCTACAGTGTTTACTATATATGAGCCATCACATGATTTGAGTCAAGTATTTTAAAAGTGTGCATATACCATATTTACATTTTCAATGAACCTTGTATTTAATGTAACTATAAAAACTATCTTCAAATGTTTGCATGACATGTGCAATGTAAAAAAAATTTCATTCCCCAAACATTTGACTCTCATAATATATGCATCATGTACATTGGCCATTTAATTGCTATAGCTCAAATATATTTTTATAAATAATGTCCCAGCTACTGTAATATTATTTATTATTATAATTCAACATTTTGTCAAGAAATGTTAGAAACTGGGTATCTCAATGTCTTCTTCCGTGCCAGTGAAATGCTTCTCTGTTTCACCGAACACCGATTAGCTTCGTTCCCTTCAAGATAACAAAAATGTAATTGAGTTTACACTTGACGACACGAGCTCTAGTTCGTGGTACAGTATCAAAGGTAGAGAGAGTTATTGAATGGATAGCCGCGGAACGGCTGATGCTGCCTGGAGGAGCAGTGCTTGCCGCTGTGCAATGCGAGAGTGACACCTGCTGATGGGGCCTGTGGTGGCGGTTCTCTGATTGAAGGGGCCGAGGGGAGAAGATGGACTTCCTGGAGAGCCGGGGGCAGAGGGTAACAAGGTAAACCCCTTCGCCTCTCCCACACGAACTGGCCAGACATCCCGTTGTGGCAGGTACCCCTCCAGACAGACGATACTTGAGATTCAGTGAGGCTTTCCTGAGTTTTAAATGAAGGGCATTGTTATTCTAATCACAAGGACGCTTCGCCCTGAGCAGACAGGTGAGCACAAAGAGCAGCCAAGTGAAGGTTCGACACCTGGATCTGTTCGCAGGCAAGGGGAAATTGTAATCCCTTGCGCCCAGGTTTTAGCTTTACAAATGCTCTGTTTTTGGCCAAAGAAATGGCGAATCTAATTTAATGTACCTGCGAATGTAAAAATGCAGTTTTTTGCAGGTCTCCCTCATACATGTATATCAGCAGAGGATTAATTTGTTTAAAAAAAAATCTAATTTCAATTATACATTTTCAATTATCCCTCTTTGATAGGAACTATGTGGTGTAATTGAAATTAATAATTGTGTTTGATGTTAGCTTTGAGAGGGTATAGACTCCTAATAGAAATCCCACATTAGTGTGAGTGTAATAACACTTTAAACAATCTTTTAGGCTAAAATAGCGATTCTAAATTTTTAAAAAGTAGCATCTAGGGGATTTTTTTAATTGAAATCCGTCTGTGCCACTCCGAGGAATGGCACTCTGTGGACCTATTAATGCTTGAAAGACTAAAACTTAGCGAGTGAGATGTGTTTACAGCTGAGCCAAAGCTTCTCTCTGCCTTATCTCACAAACTGCTAATAATGTGGTCTACAATGTTGCAACCTATACCACACCATACATTTGTAGACCGCATCACTTTGACACGTGCTCATTAAAGCCATTCGGGGCAAGGGGGTAGAATTAATATTCCAGAGACACTGGAGACAGTCGTACGCAAGGAGGAAAATCTGTGACCGTAGTCACGGACTGACATGCAAATTCCCGCTCCACTGAAGAAATAAAAGCAGTTTTTGGGTTCGTCTTTAAAACCAAATGTCAATGTCTCATGACCAGTATTAGCTAAATGATGGCTGTGAGGAGCCATTAGATGACAGCATAGCAAGCAAACGTTGCGATCCACGGTTAGATTTTTGTCTGCTCAACTGCATTGGGTCTGTGGATTGAATCAATCTGTGCGGAGTGTTTTCCACCCACGTGTGTTGATGTTCTCCATATAAAGCAGTTTTCTGCCACATGCCAAACAATCGTGAATGGTATTGGCCTAACATCCCAATGCTGAGTCTGAAGACTCCTGGGTAAATACTTGTACAGTCTTGAAGCAATCATCGGTCTGAATGAGAGCCTTGCTGCATCATGAAGATCATGAAAGTTACTTGTCCATATATCACCATGCTGGTCAGGATGGGTTGGGAAGCAAAAGGAACATACAAGTACACTACAACCACTGATTCTTTTCTGAACTGCCCTCTGCTGAATTTCGATTTAAAGCTTTCGTGACTGCAGGGATTCATCTTCTTGGTTCTTTCGGTAAAGTATACGTGACTTTACCGAAAGAACCAAGAAGATGCCCTCTGCTGCCTACCGCATGGATTCAACAGAAACAGTCTGGTTAAAATGACGTTTTAAGCTCAATATGCAATAAAATCAGAGTATTCGGAAAATATAGAGGAAAATATTACTCTAGAACATTACGGGCCCTGATGCAGTACACTGCATGTACACTAACACACGCATCAGTCAAATGTGACATTTCCTATCAATGGCATTAATGCTGTCGGTTTCGTTTCTGTTCACGTAATTATTTCACCTCTTAACAAGCGTGCGTGTAATCCTTGACAGGGTCCTGTTGGAGATGCTGGTGAAGTTGGTATTGAAGGATTTATCGTAAGTATTTAGTTGCCCCGAAGTTTCCTCGTGCAAGGCACGCACACGTGCAAGACTCTACCATCTCAAAAATAATTTATCATTGACTCTCACAGCATGTGTTTTACGTTCAAAGAAATTGTTTACAAGTGTATGGCAGCGTGATGATACATGGTGTCCTGGCATCATGTTGACAGCTTGCTCGTATAAAAGAGAAAAATACATGTGCGTTGGTGTCATTTCAGGGAAAATCTGGCGATCCTGGGGATAGAGGGCCTCTTGGATTTCCAGTGAGTGTTCGATTGATACTTTGTACTCTTAGGCCATCAGCATTACGATGTGCGTTGTAACATGGGTTTGCATATGTTCATCATTTTACACAGCATTCATTTATTGTTCAAGAATTTGATGTGGGTGACAAACCATGCACAAACCGGTTGCCACTGGGCTCTGGAACTGCAGTATGTGGTGAGCAGTAGAGGGCAGTGGAGCTAAATCTATTGCTGTGCTGTACTTCTATGCTGCAATGGCTATGCTCCTTGCCTTTACCAACCCACCCTGACCAGTCAGGTGAAGTAACTTCAAGTAATCCCCATGGACCACAAGGCATCGGGAGGCCCTAATCAATGTGCATATGCATTTTCAAGTTCTTGTCTAAAGCACGAGGTTATCCCTTAGTGTGTAAGTGTTCAGCTTATGCCCAATGATTGATTATGTAACTTTATTTACTGTAGAAAAGGTGAATGCTCAATGTCAATTAAATACATTTGGCTATCCTGAATGTACCAGGACTCATTGTAATTTGTATTTTAATTTACTGTACTTAATGATGAATACTTCCATTAAATTGGCATGTGCTACCATCACTACACAAATTGACAAAGTTGCAATATTAAGCCATTCAAATGTTTAAACGGTAAGGTTGTAAGCACTACGACAAAATTAATTTCCAACAATTTCTTACAGATTTTTTTTTTGCAGAGATATAGGATAAACGCAATGGGAGGACCATGTCAACATTTTCTAAATCAACTTTTTCGCTTGTTGATTTGCTTACTTTTGCCACTGTAAAATGCAATTCTGCTTCAAAATGTGTTCATTTTGTGAATTGCAATGCTTTTGCTTTTTTCGGCTTTTCATTGGCTGCTGTCCAGCTATTAAACCCTTGTACATGTGCACACTCAATAAACATCTCCTTCTGGCAGGTGAGCGGAGAATCATAAAACGAGTAACGTTTTGTCTTTGGCAGGGCTTGCAGGGAACACCTGGTGGAGTGGGAATCAAGGGACCGATTGGACCACCCGTGCGTGAAATTGCATTTAATAATTTCGATGCATGGCCCTGGTGGGATTCATACACAAAAGCACAATGAAACCAACACATGCTGTTAAACACGCAGCCAACTCTTTTGCTGCACATTTCTGCAATGAACGCTCGTGTATGGTGGCAGTGGTGGCCGCTGTGGATGTATTTATTGGTGGGGCACTGAAGCCCACAGGGTGGTGGTTGTGGTGGTGGAGGGAGGGGAGAGGAGGGGTGCATGCAGTTTATAATTTATTATGAGCAGGTAGGTATTAATGATGGGGGGGGGGGTTATTTTTTTTTATTTCTGTTTTTATTTTGCCGAGCCGTCACTGGGTTGGTGGGGTTCGCACAAAAACGAAACTAAACAATTGTTTATTTTACCAGGTAAGGCCCATTAAGCTATATAGCTCTTCTTCGGAAGTGACCTGGCCACAAATGAAAGCTCAATGAAGTGGCTTATGTGGAAATTTATAATAGCCAAATACTCGAAGCGGAAGTTTCTAAATGTGGAGGGAAAACCGGAGGACCCGGAGATAAATCCACGCGAGAACATGCAAACTCCAAATATACAGGCGTCAGGGTCGGAGTCAAATCTCTGCCCATAAAGCGCAGAGAAAGTAGCACGTGCTCACAAACACATAGCCAATGCTTCTGCTGCGCATTACCACTGTGGACAACCACACACTTCTATCTGGTTAAGTAGTAGGATGTGTTTTGCTCTGGTAGCAGTGTCACCTTTGTTAAAATTGTTAGAGTTAAGAAAAAATTAACCCGTAAAAACAAAGTTTTTCACTATAAATCCTTTATATGCGTGGCGGCTAGAGTCCTCTCGTCCTCTGGCTTGAGATGGCTGCCACCTATGGGTCAGATGATTGCATTGCACCATTAAGCAATTCGTAATTAAATATAATATTTTTGTCCTAAAAAGTGTAAAATTTTGGAAATTTTTTTCACGAACATTAATTGTCACGCACAACGAGTCTGTGTGGAAAATGTCAGCTCGATTGGATCACGGGAAGTGGGTTAAAAAACGACTGAAATATTTGCACGGTCCTAAGCAAGCAAGCGAACTTAATATGAAGGATTTTAAAAAGAGCTTAGTTTGCATTCTAGTTTCATCGTAGCTTCATCAATGTGGAATACATTTCATGACACAAGTATTTTCTTTTCATGCACTTTTTGTGTGTTTGTTTAAAGGGACCCCGTGGAGCGAAGGGCGAGATGGGCACCGTGGGAGATATTGGAACACAGGTTCGATGCTGATACTTGGAGATTGCAAGAGATGCACACAACACACAAACACGGACACCGAAAGACGTGGATGTCTTTTTACACTTGTACACATTGGGGAGATATGCAGCCTATGAACTAATCACCATAGTTGTACCATATCTCAGTTAATGATGACGTTACCCTGCTGCTGCTCTATATAAGAACGGGAGACACAGCAGAGCCTCACCATTCTGGCGAATTGCCCGGTGATGCTGGATGCAATTACCAGCGAAACGTCGTACTCAAATTGTAAATGTTGTGGTTTCATGCTTCAACACACCGGTGGGCTAAAGCAGTGAACTATTTGTCTTTTTCAACGTGACACTTTTTTACTGATTGGCCGTGTCGGGTGGTGGAGGGTTACGACACATTTATAAATAACGCGATCTAAACCCAAAAACGTTGATTATGAATAATATTGGTCGCGAAAGCCTATGTGTTAAACTGAATGCTGGGTTATTAGTCAAAGCCAAAAGTCCATGAGGTCAGTTGCTCGGATTTTCTATCTCAATGTTCTGTGCATCTTCTCAAGTCACATCTACGATCATATGTTGTTCCACAATAACCTTCAATCTCACCCACTGTCTCACTCCCTTCTTCTGCTCTGCACTGGCGTCTCCTTAGCCCTGCTAAACTTTCTGGCACCTCCGACTAGCACGGTTGGCTTACCTACGGTGCGAAAGAAGTTCAACATACAAACATACTTGGTCTCTAACCTCCATAACCCATCAGGTTACATCTTATATTCTTAGGTTTTTTCGGTAAAGTCGCGTAGGTAAAAATTTTAAATTTATAAAAGTAAAATAAAAGAAAAATCATGACGTTTCGGAGGCAACACAAGCTTCCGTCTTCAGGTGGAACCGTCACAGCACGATAGCTGTATCAATAGCTGTATCACTTGATACAGCTGAAGACGGAAGCTTGTGTTGCCTCCGAAACGTCGTGATTTTTATTTTATTTTACTTTTATTAATTTTAATTTTTTACCTACGTGACTTTACCGAAAAAACCTAAGAATATGAATCCTTGCAGTCACGAAAGCTTCAAATCTAGGTTACATCTTCTTTGTCTCTTCTCAACACGTGCTCAAACCATCTAAGTCTCACCTGCCTTAGCTTCTCGACATTATTACTAGCCCTTGGTAAGACTCCTTCATTCTGTCTCCCTTCCCTAAACCTTGGTTAGGCTTGGTTAATGTTTGGCAAGGTGACCACCATCGCTCCCATTACTTTGTACACGTTCATTGTTTTCTACTCATGGCATTGCTTTTGAGGAAAAACTAATGTTTTAAAATTTGAACATCACCCACGATGCCTATATTCACTAATGTGTTGCACATGCCATTTTTTTATATGCCACCCTCCAATAATTATTTTAGAAAACAGTATTTGTCCTTGTTTCTTAAACTAACTTGTCACACTAACGAACTATACATATTGCCTTTATTAAATTACTAAATTATAACAAAAGCATGCATAGCAGAACTCTGTTCTGTGTCTCCGCATATAAATAAATAAATACATGTTTTTGCCCATCCGCCTAACTTGCTTTCCAGACCAATATAATCCTACAGCATTTTGTTAAGTGAGCGAACTCTGGACCACTTTTCACCGCCTTAGCTTGTAAGCAGAGCCAAGTTTGTTAGACAAATGCTGCTGAATTTCCAGATGTTTGTGGTTAGAGCACTCTGTCGAAACTATGCCCTGTTCAGTGCAAAAAGCAATCATTGCATGCTGATAACCACGGTGCGAGCCTGGTCTCTTCAGCCAGGGTGTCCCGGCGTGAGTCTCTGTGTCTGTGTCCCTGAGTTGAGAGCGCTAGTGTAACAGCGCGACGCTGCGCTACGAACCCGGCGACCCGAGTTCGATTCCCGCTCACGGCCAACACCGGTGACGAATATCTGACCTGGTCCTGGGCCTTCCCTAGGTTTTAAATGAGTACCTGGTGCATTGTGTAAACATCGCCACTGGGGGGGGAGACAAAGGCGGCCGGGCGTGGTGCTGACCACCCACCCTCTCATATGCCATCCCGACCTTCATAGGTGCTCGCTAACAGCACTTGCCCAAACAGTCTGTTAGAGTCTACACGGGGGATCTTTGTCTTGTGTATATGTGCATGTGTGTGTGTGTATGTATGCGGTAGTGTAGCGGTTAGCGCGCTGCGCTATGAACCTGGCGACCCGGGTTCGATTCCCGCTCACGGCTAACACCAGTGACGATTATCTGAACCGGTCCTGGGCCTCCCCTAGGTCGACTCAGCCTCAAATGAGTACCTGGTGCGGTGTGTAAACATCGCCACTGGGGGGGAGACAAAGGCGGCCAGGTGTGGTGCTGACCACCCACCCACTCGTGTGCCATCCCGGCCTTCATAGGTGCTCGCTAACAGCACTTGCCCCAACAGTCTGTTAAGGCCCTTGCACCTCCAACTAGCAGGGTTGGCTACATACAGTGTGAAAGAAGTTCAACATACATTCTGCACATTAATACAGAATGGGTTTCTATAAATTGAAAACAGTGTTACAGCTATGAATTCATTTTTGAAATCCCTTCACTGGCATTCGCCACCCCATGCTGTGTGCGTGTGTGTGTGAAATGGGTTTTTGACGCTCAGCTGCTCTTCCCCCATGTTTATCTCTTACAAGGTTGCTTTTGTTTGTGCTTTGCCAGGGTTTGCCTGGGCCAACGGGCGAGAGCGGACTGCAAGGAGAGAAAGGTGAAAAGGTAATGCCGATACAGAAAAGGCCACTCGCAATTCAGACTAATTGCTTTAGAAATGTATCATTAAGCGGCTTGCGCCTATGAACAATATCCAAACGAGTGTAGACTTGCATTTCATCTTAAGTGGCTTGGTTGTATTGTCGCATTCACCAGTCCCAATAATGAGTTGCCCAGACATTTGGTTTCTTCACAAAGCACTGAAGTGCCGTTTTGACGTTCATGCGTGTGATTTGAGGAGGAAAACGTGGACTCGGCAAAAAGTAATGCAACCCAAATGATATTTTTTAAGCTAATGCCATTTACTCGGCTGCATTGTTCATTGTTGCATTGGCAAAGCACAAATTTAATGGGCACTATGTACAAACTGTTGGTTGAATTATGGGCAGTTTAAGCCCTGGTACATACGCATTTGCTTTCCCTCATGGCCTTGGTGTTCTTCCTCATAAAGAACAGCCCATTTTATTAATTGTCCTCTGAAATGACATCACAGATGCAAAAGATATGGGTTTTCACTGAGCAAACCTTGAAACCTTCTGCAAAGCTGTATTGTCACGTGCAATAATGCTGTGTTTTGGTGGGCAGGTCGAGAGTTATTTGAATTAATTCGTTTACGATTGATTCTAGCACTTTTCAACAGCGGTGGTCACCTGTGCTTTCCTTTTTGTGTAGAAGCGACAACTGTTTCGCTGCGGGTGTTGTGAAACGTCGTAAAAATCTGGGGCAGATGAATACAAACATTCACCTCTGTTAATGATATAAATAGCCTAAGCGCGCTCTGAAATTGTTCGTGTAATGAGTCATGTGATGTTAATTGTACTAAAATCGGAGACAAAGGTCATCTTGTTCGTCTGTGCCAAGCCCAATTCAGCTGAATCACGTTACATAAAACTACCTTTATTTCGTAAAAGAGAATCTCACTCCAGCTATCGTGACTCGTGCTTTTTTGGTGTGTGGTGTCAGCTGATCGAATCTGAGAGCGCGGAGGAGACGTTAAGAAAGAGAAATACTCATAGCCAGTATTTCAACACAGAGGCCTTCAATCGGGGATGTAGCATTAAATGTCAAAGCGTGTACGATTCATCTTTAGCCAACAAAGCCCTTTGCTCTTCCAAAGTCTAATTTAATTATACTTTCTTTCCAGCATGGCCCTTCCCAGTAAGTACAGTATAATAATGGAACTGTTACAAAATAATATATATTTATTTGCTCATTTATCTTCAAATAATTTCAGTGCAGAGCCCACACAAGAACTCCCTGGGGATTAACGAATCCATCCAAGCTCTAATTTTGACCGAATTGTTTCAATGGGATTTGAACCTGCCACAGACAGAGGATGTGTGCATAAGCTTGTACTGATGTGTGGCTGATGCAAATGTGGGACCTTTTTTTGCCAGTATCATAGTTTGAAAAAATATGAAGAGGTTTTACCATTTCTGGCAATAAAATAGGTGTAAAGATGTTCAAACACCAAATAGAAACCTTTTGGCACTCTCTGGTCTGACACTGTTGGGACTAGGCCCTAAAGAAGGCTGTCGCTGGTGTAGAACAATCAGTTTCAAAGACAATGCGATATATTACCAGAGCATGTTTGTTTACATGTTTACCACAAGTCCTGTGTGTGGTTAATCCAGACTTGATTCCTTACAAAATGTTTCTATTTGTTGTTTAAAGATCTTAACACCTGTTTTATTGCCAGAAAGGGTAACACCTATTCTTAATTTTTCTTATGATGTAATTGTGTTTGCAGGGTGACATTGGGCCATTAGGAGGTGAAGGGGAGCCCGGTCTGGAGGGGCCCAGGGTACGTACCCCACAAAGACACGCCAGCACATTGATACAGCTATCGTGCTGTATCTTACTTGATACAGCTATCGTGCTGTATCTTACTTGATACAGCTATCGTGCTGTGACGGTCCACCTGAAGACGGAAGCTTGTGTTGCCTCCGAAACGTCGTGATTTTTATTTGATTTTTATTTTACTTTTATTAATTTAATTTTTTTACCTACGTGACTTTACCGATAAAACCTAAGAATATGAATCCTTGCAGTCACGAAAGCTTCAAATCTAGAAGCACATTGAATGTTGTAGGAGGGCAGCGGGAGATGTGAGTGGGCGGCAGGCTCTCAGCTTCCAAAGCTGCGCTGCTCGAAACAACACAGGGCCGTGTTTGCAAATCCAGGGCCCTTAGTTCAACTCTGGCTCAGACAGGAATCATTAACTTACGCTGCCTTTCCGTACTGCTACAACGTGATCTTTAACCCCACCTTCAAAGTACAGGATTAAGACGCAGAGACCACCTTACACAAGGCAAAAATGCAGACCGGTTTAGACTTTTCTTGGACTAATGAGCAAAGTGCACCCTTATTCCAATGCCAGTTGAGTGTCCTGACACTTGCAGGAAACTTAGATTTGTTATGAGCTCATCAGGATCAAGCCACGGCCTGACCCTGTGCAGCCAAACTGCCCGGTGGCAATAGTGCACGACACCACGAATAGGACACTGCTGATCAGGTGCAGTAAAGATGTCTTGCAACTTCCATTGCAGACATTGCCGCTGCGGCACAGATGCTTGATTTTGACGTTGAAGCAACAGCAGAATGTAGAAGCGCGTCATCTGTTTTTCAAAACGCGCTCGCGTGCGTCCACGGTACCAGCGCGTATTTCACTGGGGCCGTGTGGAGCGCTCCAGATTGATTACAGATGCAGCGGGGCTGCTCATCTCTCGTACATTAGCACGTAATGGCATGTAAATCATCGCAACAAATAGGCCTCACTTGCAGACGCGCCCCGTCCGGCGAGTCATCAGCATCTTTCTTCGCGAGGCGAGGGGTGCTTTTAACACTCGGCAGGCAGGCCATTACAATGAACTTTTTATTTTAGCAGCTATTAAAAAATATTTCTACAATGAAAATCAGTAGCATTACATTTACTGGAGTGTTCCAATGTGACTGTGCCTAGAATCATAAATGCCACATTTCATCTCTTGAGTGTGTTGCATTCATAATGATTTAGCAACGTACTTAATACGGTTTAGGCTTACGTAATATACACACATACAGCATATGCGTTCACACACAGACACGCACACATGTATTAATGTGTACGCCTGTACCTCAGGGATTGCCAGGCCCAGTTGGTGATGATGGACCACAAGGAAAAGATGGAATCAAAGTACGTTGACCCACTGTTGGTGTTATGAAACATTTTTATGCAATGTGGCCCTGTTGCACGCAGGGAAAAGAATATATCTGTATATCAGGTGGTCAGTTTTAGCTCTCCTTGGACAGGCATTTTTGCTGTCTGTGGACAGTCAGCATGGGACCTTTAGCGCTGGCAAGACATGAGACATACAAGTCCCCCGGTGATGGGCACAAGCCTCATAAAAAGGCCACTTGGTGTGTCTTGCATTATCCACTCAATGAGCCCTCCCCGGCCACAAGTCTTTCCGAACCCAACAAAAACAACCTCCCCCAGTTGTACCTCGCTACGTGGCCCGCAGTGTTTTGCAGTGGCTTGGATTATGCCATATCACAATGTGTTTGATTTTATTTTTGTACCATGTGCTGTGGTACAAATGACTTTTGTTGTATATTTATGGGCCTTGTTCTTGTGCTAAACAAAAGGCAGTTTAGGAAATAAAGATATTGACAGTACTCTGAATGAGTAGCTTTAAAGCCCCTTAATGGACAAATGAAAAGTGCGCACGCAGTCTAGCACAGTTCTTAAGCTTAACGAATTAGTAATTGTTCATCCCATTATTGGTGTTTTCCTTTGGATACGTTTCAGCACTAAGCATGCTTAAAATAGCTGTTGGCAAAGCCGATTGTATTTTCCTAAACAGCAAGACTGTGTGGTCTGGGTACAAGAGATGAGACATACATGTCAGCCACGCTGAACAGTAATAAGAGATGATGTGCAATACTCAGCTCCTTCCCTTGCCTGCCTGTTTTAGTCATGCCAGGTTCCATGACTATTGAAACTGGAAATGCATATTTTCCCACCAATGGTGCCTTGTTGCAGCTTTAACCAAAAGGCACATGCCCTCTGCACATTCCCTGTTTGCCCTGTTCAGTTTTGAAGGTGATTGAGCAAGCATATGTGTGTGTATCGATCTCTCTGTCAACCGTCTCTTGGTGCAGGGAGAGAAGGGAGACCTGGGATTGAATGGGGAGGATGGAGAACGGGGCGACATTGGGGACAAGGGAAAAGAAGGAGCTATTGGAGACCCGGGGATTGTGGGCATGAGGGTGAGTTTCCTGTTGCTAAGCTCCTGGTCACACTGCCGCCTGCTTTTCACTTGGATCCAAAACTGGCCTTTCAGGGCACCAAAGGTTCGGGTTTTGGTGGTCTCAGCGCAGCGGGACCTGCTGTTATGTCTGGCAAATGCATTGCCCTGACAACTGATACCAGCTCACCTCCTGACTCCAGCATTGAGATGTCGGCCGAGAATAAATTGCCGCTTTTTAGCGCAAAACTCCTGCTGATGCATAAACAAACGAACGATCTCTCAAAAAAACAACTCTACAGCCAAACGAAAACTTAAGTTGTAATCTCTGTGTTAGTTTTGGAAAATAATTCGCCAGTGCTCCCAGTGCCAAGCTGCTAAAAAAAAAATCCGAACGCCAAACAGCAGCAGATTGTTAGGAACGCGAAAAAACTATACGCAACGCTGCGGAGTGTTGTGCATCGCCAGTAGAATGATGACGGAATCCCCTGGTTTGCTTTTAATCGAGCGTGTGGACTTAAGTTTGTCGGCAAATCGGCATCCAAGCTTTTTCACTATGCCCAGCAAATGCTGGTGTGCTCGTGAATAAGTTGCATGCCTTTGTTCTACATAAATATAATTATACGCATGCAGAAGGAAACCTGAACAGCAGCTAATGTTTCATCCTGACTACTTTTGTCAAGATGCGTCCTTGTTTAAAGCTGTGAATTATTATTTGATATGCTGTTCAATACAATTAGATTTTCCCCTAACATTGTACATCCGTTTGGCAATCTACTGCTGGATAAAGGCCTCCCCGTGCCCATACAGATTGTGGGTGTTATTTGACCATACCTCATTACGCTGGGTTTTTGAAGAAGAGAAAACTGAACGTGAGCGGAAACGTACAGTACAACAATGGATTTTGCTGCACTTGCTCTCTGATGCCCACCACGTAGCCCCACAGCAGCCTATAGCAACCTGCTGTGCATGGTGGCCACCCTCTACCCAGGCTCCATCGTGCTTAGCTTCTGGGATCTCTTCTGAAATCTGAAAAGAGTGGGTGCATTCCGGGTGATTTTTGTTTTCGTTACGTTACACATCACCGTCGATATTTAGACCGTGCTTCCCATGCAGTACACCTCGAGGCGCCCTGTGGCATCTGGAGCCCCCCCCCCCCATTGGCAGCTGTCCCTGTGTGGCACGAGGTGAATGCACCATCGGTAAGAACGTGGGCATGAATCTGCCAGTAGAGAGCAATGTTGCTATGTGGCTGGTCTCCAATTAGGTAATTTGCAAGTGATTTATGAAATTTGGACCATGACTGCTGTACACATGGTCATTTCTTTTTAAAATTCCGCCACGGGATCTTCAACACCGACTGTGAAGCAGGTGGTCTGTGGTGATCAAGTTCAAGTTCATTGATTAGGTATAGCCCTGTGAGCCATTCGGCTCTTGAATCGGGTGCAACCGCAACAAACAAAAAAACATGGAACAAAAAACATCTTAAAGTGAATATGTGACTAAGTGCAAACAGAAAATCCAAGAAAAGACAGCAAAATATTGCAGAAAAAAACACCGTACACCAACGCTGTGTGCAAAAATCCCAGTGGGATGCAAGTCAAACAACAACAACAACAACCACAAGACAACTTAGATTACGGTTATTACACTCACAGTATTAACCAGGGCAGCTGTCAGGCTCGAACCGCGAACCTCTGCAACAAGCGGCAAACGTGCTGCCGCTCGGTCCCCTGTAAACCGCTAATAAATGGAATTTGCCACTGGGCACCTTCCTTATTTTACAGGGAATGGAAGGGAAGCTGGGAAAACTCGGCGAAAGAGGAAAACCGGGGAAGAAAGTGAGTGTTCCAAAAATAAACACACCCACAGGCAGATGCGTCTTAGATCATACAGCAGTAGTGGTTCATTTGCCTGAATAATTTTTTTACATATAAGTTACCATTTCTCATGAAAAAAAACTCACTGCAGAAGATCCTTGCACCGGCTTATCAGCCGAATTCTATTCCATCCATTATTTCTATTGCTATTTTTAAAACGAGCTCCCGAAAAAATTGCAATATTCATTTGAACAAACTTGCAGCAACAGTTGAAACTCGGCCAAGAGCATCACAACTCACTTGTGAGCTCATCGATCACAGACAAGGCGTGCCTTACTGCTGGCTGCTGCCGCCGCTGCTGACAAGCTGCAGCGTACATCATGGTGCCCGTCCAGTTTTGAGTTTGCGTTTCTTTTGGCTGGCTGGCTGGCTCGTGTCAGGGCGACAAGGGAGCAATGGGTCACATCGGAGAACCAGGAAAAGCGGGCCAGTCTGGCAGCAAAGGAAACCAGGGCCCTGTTGGGGCACGAGGATCAAGAGGTCCTGTGGTAAGTTGGACGTGTGCAGCACATTCTGAAATCCATTTCTGGATGAGGGCCTCCCCATGCTGTGTGGATCGGGTCGGGGGACATAAAACAGTTTAACAACATAGTTTTTTTCTGTGCTCCCACAATATAGACCCTTAGCAGCCTATAACAACCTATTTTATGCATGGTAGTTTCCTATAAAAGCATTATCCAGGCTCAGACCTGCTTAGCACATTCCACGTGATTTGTTCATAGGCTTCTTGGTTCTTTCGGTAAAGTCACGTAGAAGGGAAATAATAAAATAATAAAAATACAACATAATAAAATAATTATTTCCCTTCTACGTGACTTTACAGAAAGAACCAAGAAGATGAATCTCTGCAGTCACGAAAGCTTTAAATCGAAATGTTCATAGGCTGTGTCAAGTTTTGAGATATATTTTCTTTATTACATTTAAATGGGCCTCTGATGTAATATTGCTCATCTTGAGTCTGGGTGGCCTAGAGAGGCCAATACACTATGATGTCCTCTTTGAACCACACTAAAAAAGTTTTGCCTGTCTGCAACCTGACCTGACCCAGACCCTCACCTTGGTGACTATGTTGACAATGATAGTAATAATATTAACAACCATAATGCACAGCAGAAATATAATGACATGAGCGTGTGGCGCCTTATGAAAGGGAACTTTGCTGTCCAGTAGCAAAAATGTGAACAAGCCCAGCGGCATTTCTGAAAAATGGCTTGGCCCCTACACGCGGCTTTTCCTTGGCCAGATTCGTATGGAAAATTACCCGTGGCGACGATAACCACTGACTCCTAGAGGCATGGGGCCTCCTTGCCAATGAGGTTTATATAGATATATAAATGGAGCCTCCCTACACGAATGAATGTGCACAAGAAGTAAATAATTAAGAAGTTAAAGACGCGTTCAAGATTTACTGCCCCCGATAAAACATTACAGATGCTCTTGGCACCCTCGCGTACGTTTCTCAGTGCACAGTCCAAGGGTGAGCAAGGCATGAAAATCTCTGCTTGGTATTGATGATATGGGAAAACAAGGACGCCTGTCCGATGAACTCAGTGGCCACTGGAGGGCAGCATCCTTACAAAGCGTGAACACTTGGGACGTAAACTAAAAACTTTTTTCTTCTTGGTTCTTTCGGCAAAGTCACGTAGAGGGGAAATAATAAAATAATGAAAATAAAACATAAAATAATTTTCACGACGTTTCGGCCACAACGCAAGCAGCCGTCCTCAGGTGAAGACCAGGTCTGTCGGGGAGACAGCGTCTGAATGAAACACCACCATGCTTGGAGCGTATATTTAAGCTGGGTTGGACGGCTGCTTGCGTTGTGGCCGAAACGTCGTGAGAATTATTTTATTATGTTTTATTTTTATTATTTTATTATTTCCCTTCTACGTGACTTTACCGAAAGAACCAAGAAGATGAATCCCTGCAGTCACGAAAGCTTCAAATCGAAAAAAAAAACTTTTTGTTATTCAACCAAGTAAGACACACTGAGCAATATGGTTCTTTTTTCAGAAGCGACGTGGCCAAAAATGATAGCTGAACAAAGTGGGTTATCACGTGGAAATTTAAAGCACCAAAACATTAGCAAAACGTGTTTCTAAAATGTGGAGGGAAAAACCAGAGGACCCGGAGAAAAATGCACACGACCACAGGGAGAACATGCAAACTCCAAATATACATGCTTCAGGGTCAGGATCGAACCCACGACCTCCTGCGCACCAGGCGAGGCAGCCAACATCTCGCCATCGCGGCGCCAAGAGTTGCCATCCAAAGATTAGCCACCCCCCTCTGAAATCCGATGTTGCAATTCATGGTCATGGCTTGATTTAAGAATATACAATTTTTTTTATAAGAATACAAATACCTTGTACTGAATGGTAGCACTTCTAGACGCTGCGGGGGTCACCATGTGAACCTATGTTATGAATTTTTTTAAAAATCTATGTATTTTCTCATTGCCAAGTCGATGCATACATCACGCACTTAAGAATTAATGTTTTCTATGATTCGATGCATCATTGCACCCCTAACGAACAACTTGTAGATGTTGTGGGTTTGCTCTAACACACTGGTGTGCTGAACTAAATCTTGACTTAAAGCTTTCGTGACTGCAGGAATACATATTATATGGGTCTTTCGGTAAAGCCACGTAGATAGAAAAATAAAAAAAATATCACGACGTTTCGATCGCAACACAAGCAATCGTCTGAAGACGATTGCTAAAGACGATTTCAGTCTACGTGGCTTTACCGAAAGACCCATAGAATATGTGCAGAACTAGAAATTCATCGGCTCGTTTTGTTTACTTTAATAATTGGATGTATCGGATGGTGGCGGGATTCAACGACACGTTTATATTTTCGCGATCTAACCCAAAAAGCTCTATTGTGGATTAGATTGGTCGCGAAAGCCTACTGCGTGTTAAACCTCTTGTTTGTACAACTCGTAAGAGCGGTCTCTCACCTTGCCGCTGATGGAGTGGCGGCCGGGTAACACCGCTGCTGTGCCTTACGCCGCAGGGCGCCCCCGGTGCAATGGGAGCCGAAGGAGAGGACGGCCTCCCGGGGTACCCGGTAATGCTTGCGCTGCTCTTCCCTTCCGCGTCCGTCCACGCGGAATTTTGTGAAATAATATAATAGTTTTCGTAATGGTGAGAAAGAATGAAGTTGGCGGCAAATAGAATCGGTGACGAGGAAATGTATTCTGTGGATCTCAAATCATTCACGTGACGCCGCACGTGGAACGGCGAGTGGTTTTATTTGGGGGGGGGGGCGGGTTTCTTCCGCCTCCATTTGGTGGTCATGAAATTCTGTTAAATCCATTTAAACATTTTATCACGATAGTAAAACCTTGGATTGCGAATAACTTGGTCTGCGAGTGTTTTGCAAGACGAACAAATTTTTTTTATAAATATTAATTAGATAAACGAGCGAGGTCTTGCAATACGAGTAGTACGTGTATACGCTTTGTCTGCCGAGCGTCACGTGATCACAACTGATATACGAGTGCTTTGGATTACAAACACGTTTCCGGTACGAATTATGCTCGCAATCCAAGGTTTTACTGTATTTATCAAATTGTGTCACAGAAATTAGGAAATGTATTACAGTATTGATTTGTATTTACACACATCAATATTTTGTTTCATTTTACGTGTTCTTTTTTCAGTTGTATATTATTTATATATGATCGTTTTTTTCTTAGGGTCACCAAGGACCCATTGGCCCTTCTGGGCCACCGGGCATTAAGGGCGAGAAGGTAAACGTTCAATACTTAATCTCCCTGTTTCATCATTCGTAACAATTTAACAATGCAACTATTAAAGAAGTTTCAAATTTATGTTATTAACCAGGCTGCCAACTTAAGAGTGACCCGGAGCATTTGTCTGACAGTAGGAGGTGTGCAATGACTGCTCTTATGTGAATAACCCCCATTGAGTTATTGGCAGGTAATTTTCCACCCTTGGGAACGACTTTAGGAGATCTCTAATGTCCACTGTGAAGCGGACGGCGTGTAGTATCATCACAGCCATGAACCTCTGCGACAAGCGGCAAATGTGCCTTCCACGAGGCCACGTCAAAGCCCCTAAGAAGGTTATGGCCTTGAACACAGGTGCATGTAAAGGATGCTAGGAATTTCATAGCGAGATCGTGTAAGCAACTTGGAAGTTGAGAAAAAAAACCTGAAGAGGGATTGTTGTTGTAGGTGTCATCAGGAAGAGGTTGTAATGATTGAGATAGTTACGTGTGAGGACAGGTGACCGAGGCAGACATTGGAGTTGGCGACACACTTTGAATGTCAGGTGTTGACTCCACTGCAAGCGAGGGATCTAGCGGGAGTAGCAGGACGCGAGAGCGAGGTTCGTGGTGGCACCCGTGGCTTCGGCCTTGCTGCGCCGCATCAAGGCCTTGCGTTCTCGACAAAACAACTTCGGCGCCTGCCCTCTCCTTCCCCCACCTCTCTTGTGTGTATTAAAATAATAATAGAATGGCCGACCCCGTGAGATTCCAACAATAGGGTGTCTGCAATTAAGGACTTGTAATGTCGGCCAGTGTGTTTATTGTTGAAGCGTACCATGTGTTGGAAAATGTCAATACAGAAAAAAACAACTTCAGCGGCAGTGCTCATACGTATCGTGCTCCCCTCCCCCCCCCCCCCCCCCCCCCCCCCCGATGCCTATGCATGTGCAGTAATGTCGTCTGTGTATGCTGCGGGTTTTGCATGTTTAACCAGGGACAGGCAGGCGAGCCCGGAACACAGTTTGGCCCCCCTGGACCAAAAGGCCTCATGGTACAAACGCAAGTTGGGCACAGTCACAGAGTAATAGTGGAATTTGACACAGTCGTACGTGACACGCGTGACACTGCACTCACGGTTTCGCCACACTGCCAGCAGTTGACAAACGCACAACGGGCGGTCACAATGTTTTTAAGAATGTGATATGAAAAAGGGCCATTACCCAAAATGTTGCCTATTATACATTTTTCTGCCAAGGCCACAGTGTTATTGACGAACGTGTTGAGTTATTTTTCTATAAGAATGGGGATGCTAAAATGGCAAGCTACGGTGCACACTTAATTTATTTTTCAACACACAAACAGTCTTACCTAACAATGTCCTTTACTCATGTCGGAAAGCAGCACTGAGTCTTAAGCCTCTTTCTCAGAAGGGACCTGCAGTGAAATGTTTGCCCATGTCCATTAATGAGCACTTGGCATGCAGGAGGAATCAGGGGTATCTGGAGAAAATACATGCATATAAGGGGGTAACACTCAGATTGTGTCATTATATTTTATAATGCATCGGGATTTTCGACCTACTTTATGAACGGGAGATTTGCACGTAAGTGGAAACTGGAGTTCCTGTTAAAATCAATGCATATGGGAATATCATGCAAAAGTCCACACAGATAAGTCCAGGGCCCCACTTGCTGTAATGCCATCAGCTGTCCACCTCACAGACCAGTGGGTATTGAAGTTTCATAAATATAGCGTTAGGTAATGTATCATATATTTGGTACTTAAAAATGGAGATTTGATAACAAGCCTAATAATTGGTATAATTCTCAGAACATTTTTACCACTGCCCTTCATACCAAAATGGGATCGCTTTTTTCATGGCTTACCTACACATTTATGGTTGGAATGCTGATTTACTGGACTTGAGCGTGCAAACTTTAACATCATTAAAACATCATTAAAACATGTCACTTGCAGGGCCCAGTCGGGCCTCCCGGAGAGAAGGGAGAACCTGGCGATGTCGGATACCCAGTAAGTAACCTCCTTCGTCTCTTCCTCCAAGTTCCTCTCACCTTTATCAATTCAAGAAAAATATTAATTATTATATATTACACATTCGATAGTTCTGTTTGTCGCTGGCTGCTTGGCGTTTTCGGCTTTTGGGCCTCTACTTGGCGAAAGTACAGGCCTCATCAATCACGCCACTGGTTCACCATTATATAATGTGGTCATTGCTTTCCACATCAGTACCTGCATATCTGTCTCCAATGAAAGGCCCTCTCATTTCAATATAGCAGGGTTTTGCAAATTCCAGAATTCATAATCCACCTCAGTCAGCAATTGCATGTTAACAAATTCCAGCATTAACTTACAATACAGTTGTTAAACGTGCCTGTTGATTGCTAAAAGCGTGGCAGCCAAAGAGTGAAGGAACACTGAGATTAGATAATGTGTGAGAGTAAGATGGATTGTGACATCACAGAACCACGAGGGATGATGATGACAGAGGGAGACTTTCATTCAGCAGTGGAACGAGCATGGCCTCTAAATAAATCTTTGCGGAGACTTGTATGGACAGTAGGATGTAGAAAACTGATACAGTAGGTTTAATTCTCAGTTGTGAAATTTTGCACTCAAATTGGTGACCAGTCTGAGACCATCCACTCACTATGTAGTACTTGAGGACTCAGTATAATCAGTGGTGGCTGCCCAGCATCAATAATGCCATCTCAATTCTCTGACATCTGAGCGACATGCTTACCTCAAAATTAAATCATATTTAAGTCTAGAAACCAATGGTTCTTTTGAATCATTGATTTCCAGCAGAATTTGTTTGACCAAACCATGCCCACTGCATCAGTCTCAACTTCTATGGGTCTCACCAACAGGGTGTGGCCTCATGGGACCTCCTTTGCCAGTACCAAAATATACTAATAGGGTTTTTCCCCTTTTTTCTGGCAACAAAACTGACACATTTTGCAAGGAATCAAGAAAGCTGTCTCTGGTGTGGACCAATCAGTTTCAAAGACAATGCATAAATTAGCAGAGTATTGTTTTTTGTTTGCATTTGACTGCAAGTATTGTGGTTAATGTAAGCATGATTCCTTGCAAAAGGTGTCAGTTTTGTTGCCAGAAAAAAGGGGAAAACCCCTATTAGGGAGTGGCCTATTAAGTAAGTGCTGCTGGTTTGCCTGGTGCTACAGGAGGGAGCAATCCACAAATGCAATGGGGTGCTTCAGCGCAGCACATCCGTCGTCAAATTTTACAATAAAAATAAAGAATCCGGTGCTCGTGATACATCTAGCTTGTTTCCACGAGCCACAGACCCGAGTGCATAGTGCAGTTGGTCATTCCGCCGTCACCGCTTTCCTTGTGTTTTTAGACAAGCACGAGTTGAATGCCATTATGGGCCAGAGCCAGAATTCTCCAGGCCGATTTTGCTTCTCGGGGGGGGGGAGGTGGGGGCTGGGCAGAATTCCCTACATCAAATTTCTGGCCGAGTGGAAATGCATCGTCATCACCGAACATGCCAATGAAATATGTAGTAGGTGATGGTACCATATTTTTTATTTTTTTATTCTAACATTTTATTTCATCACCAATTCAGTATTGACCTTTGGCCCTGGGGAAGTCTTATTCGGCAGTGAAATGCCGCTTTCTTTGAGCCAACGTGAATTTCCCTTCGACTCGAGTTCAGACCAACTCGGGTGCACCCTTGCCAACTCAGGTTGGTTGTCCATGGAAACGAGGTAAATGCGTGCTTGTTGTTAACTGCAGGGCCAGCGCGGCTTTGACGGATCACGGGGAGCCAGGGGGGAGCAGGGTCCCATCGTAAGTCGCACCGCCAACAGCACTATTCCACAGCACGGCACCACTCGCGGTGTTTACAACGTGTTCCATATCCGGCTTCACCGAAATCATCGTTCTTAAGTTCATTTCTCCTTTTACGATCACCACAAGCAGTGTATATTGCTCTTAGTGTGCTCATAAGCTTGCTTGTTTGTTGCAGGGTGAGCCGGGAGAGCGGGGATATCCAGGACCAAAAGGACCAAAAGGGTACGAGGTGAGTACCTTCCCAAACAATACCTGCAATGTGCTGACAAGATAAACGACAGTTTTAAATTGTATGCCTAATGGTTTTTTTTGTGTGCAGTCAGGCGCAGACCATCCGTTGCTTAATAATGGGTGGCTGCCCGTTTTTACACCCAGGTTCTCATACTCTTAGGTTTTTTCGGTAAAGTCACGTAGGTAAAAAATAAGAATAAAATAAAATAATAAATCACGACGTTTCGGAGGCAACACAAGTCTCCGTCTTCAGGTGGGACCGTCACAGCTAAATTTACTGTATCAAGTGAAAAGAAATCCTAAAGACAAGATCTTAAATACTAGTTAAGGGGAGGGGGGAGGGACTTATCTAAATGTGTCAATCAGGGACTGGGAGGGTGGGGGGGGAGTTAGTGGGCGGGGCTAGAAGGGAAGGAACAAGATGCACCCTTTTTAAATCCTTTATATTAAGTTCGCATGCTTGCTTGCTTGCGTGCTTGCGTGCTTACTTGCTTACGACCGTGCAAATCTTTCGGTCGTTTTTTAACCCACTTCCCGTGATCCAATCGAGCTGACATTTTCCACACAGACTCGTTGTGCCAGACAATTAATGTTCGTGAAAAAAAAATCCCAAAATGTTACACTTTTTAGGCAAAAAAAATGTATTTTACATTTATTCAAATAGAACTCATTCTTGGCTTTGGCTGAACGTCACAGTATAAGAGCCCAGAGCGTAACCCCTCCACAGGCCGTGGCAGAGTAGCGCAGTTGGTAGCACCCTCGCTTCCCATGCCAAAGGTCGCGGGATCGATCCCCGCGTCCTCCACAGGCGAATATATTTTTAAATCCTTTATATTAAGTTCGCTGCCACGCATATAAAGGATTTATAGTGAAAAACTTTGTTTTTACGGGTTATACTTATTTCTGGCAACAAAACTGACACCTTTTGCAAGGAATCATGCTTACATTAACCACAATACTTGCAGTCAAATGCAAACAAAAAACAATACTCTGATAATGTATGCATTGTCTTTGAAACTGATTATTGTGGTTAATGTAAGCATGATTCCTTGCAAAAGGTGTCAGTTTTGTTGCCAGAAAAAAGGGGAAAATCCCTATTAGTATATTTTGATACTGGCAAAGGAGGTCCCATGATGAAGATGCACCTCGGCAAGCTTATCTAGGTACAAAAGCCCAAAATATCAGCAATGTTAAACCCAGATTTTCATTCATTCTCATGAGTCTTACCTGGCCATTGTGGGCTTCTTGAGCCACTCGGTCATCTCCAGCTGCTGTCCTGTATTGGCAGCTTGAGAGGCTTGAAGCTCAGTTCCACCATGAGCTCTGAGCTGTCACGTGGACCTCGGCTCAAGATGCAACTTGGCCACCCCGTGTGTGCCATGTGCAAGCCAAGTGACTACTGCTTTCTCGTCTTCTTGGTTCTTTCGGTAAAGTCACGTAGAAGGGAAATAATAAAATAAAAAAAATATAACATAATAAAATAATATAATTATTATTATATTATTAGAGAAAGCAGTCGTCACTTGGCTTGCACATGGCACACACGGGGTGGCCAATAATTATTTTGTTTTATTTTTATTCTTTTATTATAAAAATAAAACATAATAAAATAATAATTATATTATTTTATTATGTTTTCTTTTTTTCTTTTATTATTTCCCTTCTATGTGACTTTACCGAAAAAACCAAGAAGATTAATCCTTGCAGTCACGAAAGCTTTAAATCGAGACTGCTTTCTCGTCTGAAAATCCTATTATTGCATTACCTCACATTCATGGCAGTGTTATCCAAATGCCTTTACCCACAGGGCACGAAGGGCAAAGCTGGTACACCAGGAACTCAAGGAAAAGCCGGACTTACGGTACGTTGTTGTAGTCCTGCAGTATTGCCTGTTAAGTTTGTTTACTTCTGTCATCATAACAATAATCATCATCAGGAGCAGCAGCTTGGATGAAGGCCTCTCCATATATGATGCCACCATCCCTCTTACGGTCCTGCGAATGTAATCCCCAGGGGCGTGTTTCCTCCGCTGGCTGCCATTCCTTCGCCAATCTCGTCCAAAGGCTATCATCTCTTTTCGCAATGTTTGCTGCCAAAAACCCACTTTTGGTAACAGTCAACGAGATGTCTCCGATGTGTTTTTTCGAGACGGTATTTGTTGCTGAATTCCTTCTCAGAGGCCATGTTGACTTTTTTCATTGCTGTATTTATTGTAATAGATTTTTTTTTTACGTGACCTGTTGCAAATGTTGTGTTTTAAATTTTATAGTTTTTCTGTTTCGTTGATGAAACCAGATTTAAGAGCATCTTAGCCCACAGGGTAATTACTACTATAATAGCCCAGAAATGTGTGTCGTGACGTCACTCCACATGGTGCCCCCCCCCCACCCAGCCTCAGTCAAACGAGACAGAACCTCCAATGGCAGATTTGTGTTGTGCGACCGTGCGTGACTTTTGCAATCTGGGAACATTGAGGTAACAAAACAGGTGTCAATTGGCATCTTAGCCTGGACTCCCCTTGGTCAACTCAGCCTGAAGTTCGTACATAGTGTCAGCTATAAACATCGGCATTTAGGTGACAAAGGCAGTTGGGAGCACATTTTACTGTACACACAATCCAACTTATGGCACTCAGTCCAAATTTCTAAATTAGATCAATTACTCTCAAATTACTGAATTTGGATAACACCATTTCGCAACATCACCTTCTACTGGCAGACTAATGCCCATTTGAAAGGCCAGTCCAGTGTACATCTTGTACCGCACAGGTACAGCTTCTGCTGGAGTTCACCTTGACTAGAATGCAGCAGGACATGGGAATGGTTGAGATGAAGATGGTTTAAATAGCTGGCTGGTGGTGGCGCATGCCTGTAATTCACCACTGTGGAGGAAAGGGTTGATGGATCGCAGAAATTTTGTGAAACTCCCTTTCCGTGGTTTGAGGTACCAAACCCTGGCTCACCAGGAGAAGAAAGTTCAGAAAAGCATTTTGACTCCACCTGTTGCGTCTGTATGAGATAGAGTTTTTCCCGCTCACACGTGTGGCTTTTCTCTGGGTGCTCCAGTTTCCTCCCACATGTAAGTGCTCATTTATTGGCCGATAACACCTGAATATATAGCGGAGCGCAGGAGCTCAGGAAATTGTTGGCGCTGGCTCGCCACAGAGCTGCCATTCTGCTTGTATCTGATTCATCGTGCCACTGACGCATTATTTCTCTTCGAGAGCGAGCGAATAATGTGCGTGTTTCAAGTTGAAATTATTATTATTATGTAAGTCACATTGAGTTGCTGAGGCATTTATGTGCCTCTAAAATGCAAATCTCTTACCCCTTAAATCCTAACTTGAACCTACGACGTGTAACGGATAAGTGTGCGAACGAAGCTTGTTTCTGTCTCTTTGTCCTTTGCACAGGGTCCGGTCGGGCCCCATGGGCCACGGGGATTGCCGGGCTGGCCCGGGCCGGATGGTGAGAGAGGGCTCGAGGGCGCGCCAGGCAAGGACGGGAAACCGGGACCGCCCGTAAGTGCCTCTCCCTCACGACAACCACGCAGCTTTTCTGAGACCCCAGCGCAAGAAAATTTGAAACGCCGTAATGACGTTTTCGCTACGGCTCACGAGATTATTGAACAGTGACGTGACGAAGGTGTGGAGCGGTGGGTGCCCCAGTAAACGTTGGGCCAACCTTGATCCAATGTTGGTCCAACGGTTCCAGCCACGCGCCAATATAGTATGTTTACCGGCGCAGTGTTTAGCGCAGAAAGCTGAATTTGTGTCCTGGTCAAGGCCAACATCAGTGGGGAGCGATGTCAAGACCACTTTCCACTTCACCAACCCATACTGACCAGCATGATGAAGTATGGCCAAACGATTCACCATTACTACAACCGCATAAAGAGACCATCATCCGGCAGTGGGTTGACAATGGGCTGAAGACTATTATCGTATTATTATTAATACTACTAAAACACTGGAATTGCAGAATTTGATGTCAACAAATTCATACCTTGGTGGTTGTTGATCGTTATTGAACATTCACTTCTCACTTTTCTAAGCTATTGCTAAATGTTCTTGGATATCTGTTGAGTATTTCAAGAAAATTCTTTCATAGTTTTTGTGCTTTTAAGGTGATAATTATATTGCTTTGCAGCATTTTGTGGTTTTTCAGAATGTGTGATTGATGGTACTCTTCCTTATTTGCGGCTTGGCAGCTTTGAAGAATGTCCGTGTAAAATGTTAAAGATTCTTTAAAAGGCCCAGTGAGTGAAGTTTATTGTGTTTCTTTTATTACATTCATTCTTTGTGTAGTGTCAAGTGATGAATCCCAGACCAGTGGGAGATAAACTGAATGCATATATGGAAATGGTTTTCTTTAAGATGGCAGTGTCCCTTCACTGACAGCTAAAGGATAAACCTTTAATCTTCAGCAGGTTATAGAGTGATCCATTTAAAGCATACACTGACTGATATACGCACATGCACACATGAACGCAAGCAGCATACCCAGGCGCACATATATTAAGCATATACTCTTGTCCACACACACAAAGACATGTACATACATAGACACGTATAAATACACACAGAAACATATAAATACATACAGACACATACACAATGTGTAAGTGCATAAAAACAGTGCACACAAGACAAAGATACCCCATATAGCCTTAAAAGACCGTTGGGGCAAGTGCTGTTATCAAGTATCTCTTAAGGCCGGCACGACACACGATGGGGTGGTGTGGCTAGAACCATGCCTAGGTGCCTTTTCTCCCAAGTGCTAATGTTTACATACCAAAGCAAGTATTTATTTAAAAGCTTCGTCGACCTATAGGAGGTCAAAGACTAACGTATGGTGCAAAAGAAGTTCAACATACATATATACAATATAAACCAAACTGTGGTGTGATAACCACTACGCCACCACTCCAGACACACGCATAAAGACAGATATCCTCTGTGTAGCCATCAAGAGACTGTTGAGGCAAGTGCAGTTAGCAAGCACCTTTGAAGGCCAGTATGGCGCACGAGGGGGTGGGTGGCCAGCACCACGCACCTACAAAGATAAACATAATACACATGGGAACAACAACCGCCATTCGCCACTAAGTGGCGGTGATGTCACCACGGTGCTTGTGCCAGGCTTTGTGCATTTTAAGGCCACACGAAGTATTGAACGCCCACTGGCAGGGGGTCACGGGACAGACCCAGGTGCCATGGGTTGGCTGACTGAGATGACTGGCCGATGCACCACCTGTAAATCCTACGATGCAAACTTGCTGTGTTTTAGCCACCTGGCACTCCGGTTGTTGTTGGGAGTGTCGCTCCTCTGCCCTCCATTGTTCCTGGAGGCCGACTGCTTCCAACTGTCCAGTAGCGTCCTTCATGAGCCTCCTGCACACCGTAGTGGGCACACGCACACTAATATATAAAGCTTTATTGCCTCCAACATTGAGTGAAGATATATATTTGTTGTCACAGGGAGATGCAGGCAGTGTGGGTCAACCTGGAAGAACAGGCCTGGCAGGTGCTCAAGGAAAACTCGGAAAACCTGGGCAACCGGGAGCAGCGGGACTCATGGGGGCCAAGGTGAGCTCTCTGGCATCCAGATCAAAGGCAGTGAAGCAAATGCTGTCCTCTGGTTGGATGGGGTTGAGGCGGTGGTCATTATTCCATGGGTGGTGACGCTCAGGTCACCACGTGTCCTGGTATTCCCCACAATTTTCAACTTTTTAGAGTCGCTGTCTTGGAGAATCTGTAATTGTTTCTAGGACATTGAATGCCTACATACAGGAGTGCCAACAAGCACATGAATTAACAGGTATACAATGTATTTGTCAGTTGTGTAATAATATGCCGGTTAAAAAAAATGTTTAGTTACATGTAGTTGTCCGCTATTCCGGTGTTGTGAGATTTTATACTTCTTCTCCAACATGCAAAACACGTTTGAATGAGGTATTGGCCTAATAACATTGTACAAGAACCCCCTGAAATAAAGCCTTGAAGCTCACTCTTTAGCGAGTCATTCATAGATAGATAAATGAATCACCTGTTATTTCCTTTTTGATGTTTTTGCTGTATAGTTCTCCAGTGTCTAGGTTGCTACCGAACGTTGTCTGACGCGATGTCAGATGTTTCGCTGCATTTGCTGGGAGCTTTTTCAGGAAATGACATAGAAGCTTCATAGAAGCTGCACTCAGAGTGAAACATCAGACGTCATGCTGAGCAACGCGCGGCACAAACCCGAAAACGCATCAAAGAGATGAATTACATCATCGTCATTACACTGGGGCATTTGATGCCAGCATTGAAAATCTGAACTTGGCTTATAAGTGTGTGTGTTTCTGTTTAAGGAGTTTTCTGTGGGGGGGGTTATTTTCCTGCGAAAGAATATTGATGGCAGGATCCACGTTGGCTCCCGTTCGAAAGTGGAAAAATGACCGAGTCCAGCCCAAGTGTTCCACAGCGAAACGAGAGCTGGACCAAATTTATAACCTTTGCTTCGCTACCAAAAAGAGAAAAAGCACAGTGATAGCTTTCACACTGCACCCAGCAGGCCTTGAAAAAAGAAAAAACTATGGCAGCGCCAAGTGGGATGTAAATTTCCCTTACATAAGCACTGAGGCGTTTACATTTACACAGCGTGCGCAACGAGCCATTTAAATTTACACAGCCCATACACTGGAGGATTTCATTTTAATGTCCCTTGCACTGAGGCATTGAATTAACACACCACACATGCTCAATGTGTTAATTTGCACAGCACATGCTCTGAGAAAGTTGCCCAGTGATAACAAGTACGCATTCTAACTCATTTCCCTCCCCCTCATCAGTTATGTTCAGGATTCAGTAAAATAATAAATACATTTTCTTTGCAGTTTTTTTATGGCTCATTTGTATTGTATATCGGCTTCGTTTTTGCATCTCGTTTGTATAGTTTGGTTTTCGCGCTAGGAACCTAAATGTAACTTCAAAATATTGATACTATTTCCTTATACCTTCAGTAATAGATTCTCATTCTTGGTTCTTTCGGTAAAGTCACGTAGAAGGGAAATAATAAAAATAAAAATAATAAAATAAATTACTTTTATTACTATATTATTTCCCTTCTACGTGACTTTACCGAAATAACCAAGAATATGAATCCCTGCAGTCACGAAAGCTTTAAACGGAAATTTAATAGATTCTCATACGCATAATTTAAAGCATATAATATGAGCCGAAGAATACATGTCAATCGATGCCTCGCAGCAATTCATTCATTTGTGGCCATGAAGTATGTAACGTCAGATTTTTGTTTCATTTGACAAAAAATTATCTCTGAAGATAGAAAAATGTTCAGTTTGACAGCCATGTGACAAACATTTAGCTGTAGCAGGGTAAATGGGATGGTGTGTCACCACTAATGTGTCTAAGAGGTCATTTGAAGGGATCTCAGAAATGCTTTTGTCATATCTTATTCTGTGTGCTGTGCTGTAACACACAGGGAGATGCACTGATCTGCAGGAGTTCAGAATTTATGGAGTCATGAGAGAGCACAACTGGTTTATAATCTGGTTAACACAAAAAGAGAGGGAAACAGTGGAAATGTAAATTTCGATTTAAAGCTTTCGAGACCGCAGGGATTCATCTTCTTGGTTCTTTCGGTAAAGTAACGTAGAAGGGAGATAATAAAATAATAAAAATAAAACATAATAAAATAATACAATTCTGACGACGTTTCGGGCACAATGCAAGCAGCCGTCCTCAGGTGAAGAACAGGTCTGTCGGAAAGACAGCGTCTGAATGTATTCATGAAAAATATACATTTAATATTTTTTTGAAGATGAATTTTACTGTGCAATTTTACGTTGCGACCTTTGAACCCTGACCTGTATAGGGTGATCGCGGTATGGATGGGCAGCCCGGGATACCTGGGCAGCGAGGAATTTTGGGCACCGACGGTCCGCAGGGCAACAAAGGGGAGACAGGCGAGAAGGGGCAGCTGGTAAATATTATAACCACATCAACAAAGCAAGTTCATTAAACATGTGCAGATATATCACACATTTTTTCATCGTTAAACCTCCTTTGCCAGTACCAAAATATAATGATAGGGTTTTTCCCCGTTTTTATGGCAACAAAACTGAAACCTTTTTACAAGGATTCATGTCTGCATTAGCCACAATACTGGTGTGGACCAATAAGTTTCAAGGACAATGCACATATTATCATAGTGTGTTTTTTGTTTGCATTTGACTGCAAGTATTGTGGTTAATGCAAACATTAATCCTTGTAAAAAGGTTTCAGTTTTGTTGCCAGAAAAAAGGGGAAAACCCCGATTATTATATATCACACTTATTTCATTGTTATAAGTTAATGCACACAGCAGAATAAAAAATAAAAAAAATTATTGCGAATGTGCTTGATTGTTTTCTAAAATCTGAAGCTGAACAGAGTTTGTTTTGGTACATTTTTTAACATAGTGCGAGGATATTTGAAAAGCACACTGCTACAGGATTTGATTTTACTCGAGCTACATTAGAGGAAGACTGTGCTCACAGAGTTGATAACATTATACTGAGATAAAAAAAAAGCTAAGCCCATGACACTTCTGTAAAAAAAATACACCAGGGCATGATTAGTCTGATGACCTGACAATCAAATAATAAATGAAATAAGCAGACAATGTGTCTGCTTAACATATCCGTTTACATGTGAAACTAAATCAATAATGTTATATAATTTCAGCGTCATTGTTTCAAGGCAAGAACATTCTATAACAGTGTTGACACATCTTCTTGGTTCTTTCGGTAAAGTCACGTAGAATGGAAATAATAAAGTAATAAACATTAAACATAATATTATAATTCTCACGACGTTTTGGCCACAATGCAAGCAGCCGTCCTCAGGTGGAGAACATGTGTTGACACAGCGGCTCATTGATTAGCGCAGTTTGCAATGTACGGTGCAAAATAAGTTCAACATACATACAGCAGAGACATTATTTTTAGTTATAATTATCAAATAAATGTGATAAGCCAGCATGCCCCTAGCGAGGAAATGTATTCAATGCACAATGTATTTTCCCCAATACCGTGCCTACATTGCAACATGTGTAGATGTAAACAACACGCATGCATCTTCCTGAAAATATACTGCATCGATATTTTCATAGTATGCTATACAATGGTGTGCTATGCAATGTATTCCTCAGATGAGGTTCTGTAAATATGCAATAAAGTTTAAAAATAAAAAAATCGGGTTTTGTTCAAAACAAGTACATATTGTTGAGGAGTTAAAGAATGATATATATCTTTAAAAAATGTAATTCTTCACAGGGGGACTACGGTGAAGCAGGAATTCCTGGCTTTGAAGGTTTTCCTGGGCCCAAGGTGAGATTATTGTAATGTCAGGCAATCAAGACAAAGTCATTTATGTAATTTATCAAGTTATGTGAAAGTCTTCTTGGTTCTTTCGGTAAAGTCACGTAGAAGGGAAGTAATAAAAGAATAAAAATAAAACATAATAAAATAATTCTCACCAGGAAAAATTATGTGAAAGTGTCAAGTTTGTCCACAGGGTGATTTGGCTGGCATTGACCTATCACCTCGCGACTGTCGTCTGGCATGCGTGGCTTTCACCACAGGGCCCCATTGGAGACAATGGATTTTCTGGCTCCGCTGGACCCACAGGCCCTGCTGGCCTAACAGTAAGTCACTGGCAGCGAGTAAGTGCACAGGTGGCAAGTGTGTGAAATGACAGTGTGGTGTATCAAGGTTTTGCTTTTGAACCACGTGATAATATAATGCAGTGTTCTTCATTGCAAGGCCCGCAGGCCACTGGCGGCCCCTGGTGGCCTTTAGTGCGGCCCCTGACGTGCGGTCCCCCGACAATACACATGTGAAAACACCCCATCATCATCGTGCTGTCAAACCCCAATGGTTTAAAACGTGTGGCGGCCCTCACACTGATGTCTTATCGGTGAAAGTGACCCCCTCTGAAAATTAGTCAAGAACGCTGCTATAATACGTCCGATTTTAGAATCTAAATAGTTTATAGCCTGGCTATTACTTGGATGGGTAACAGTCGGGGCTGTAGGTGTGGGGCCATGAGATAGCCAGGAGATGGCAATGTGGAGTGTCACCCCCTTGTAATGTGTGGGTTATCTCCAAGCTTTCAAGTTTCCTCCCATGTGCCAAATACTCTTTAGTGGCATCGGCCAAACATCCCAATTAGAATCCGAATCTTTGTTTAGACTGGAGGAATCCGATGAGCCGTGAAGCTCTTTTCCACAGATGTTCAGTAGGGGTGGGTCAGCAAGTTACACAATGTCGTAGGGGACTCCTGAACAAGTCTTGAGACACAGTGAGCCTTTACCGGATAAATAATGGTCATCATTTTGAATAATTGGCATCTGTTCTTCTATACAGTCACGATGCATGTAAACAATGCATATCTTGCTCAAATACCAGGGACTCTCTTTTTCACCTATATAGTTTATTTAATCTTAAGCGTTCTTAGTTTTGCATTTAAATGGATGCTTCATATTTTTTTCTGGAATATAAAATTATAATATATTAACAAAGCATTGTGTAGTATTCAAACTATCAACCAGTTGTTTTTTTCTGAACAGAAAATGTCGATGTTGTATCATTAGCAATAGTACACCATTGTGTGTGCCATATAATCAGATTAAAAAGTTGACAACGAAATAACCAAATAATGCATCCATGAATGCTCACAGTGATGAGGTGACTGCAAACATTCTATCAATCAAAACATCCCAAGCAGGATGGCCCCTCCTTAAGGAATCTTGACAATCAGTGAGACTTCTCTGGATGTAGTATGGTTAGCACACTGGACTTGCAATCCAGAGGCTCAATTTCCTGGTAGTGGCAAGTTCATGAAATCCCCCCACCTCTGTCCACCCAACGGTAAACATGGATACAGCGAAGTTAGTTGATCAACAAGTCATGTGCGGTGGGGCAAATTGTGGGTACTCCCACCTCTTTCAAGATGTTCGACCAGCATGGAAGAGTAGGCCAACATCCTCTCTATATGGGCTATTGAGAGCTCTCTCTGATGGAGCCCCTTCCACGAGCAGTGGCGAGAGCGAGTAATTACAGGGCTGGGTCGTAACCTTTACCAACGTTTGGTATTTTAGAGGAGCTGCTTTGGCTTCACACAAATGTATTAACTTCTTTTGTGCCGTACCTAGCCAACCATGCTAATCGGAGGTGCGGGGGAAGGACAACAAAATAACGACAAAAAGCAGCTTTAAAGAAATGAGTTTTAATCTAGATTTAAAAGTGCGTAGCTCCACTGGCTTCCTATTATCTCCAGTGGCTTCCTAAAAGCACTTCTAAAGAAATGAGTATATGCAAACTGATTGATCTCGTCAAATATAATCGGAGCTGCAATCAGACCCGCGCCGACTGCATCCCTTACATCGTCCAACACAAAGGGAGGCTTAGCTCTTTAAATGTTTGAGATGTGATGCAAGGTGTTTTGAATTTCCGTGGCCTTCTTAGCAATGCCTTATAAATGCCAATATTATTATTATTTATGTCCAACTTTAAGGGGGTGCTCTGGCAGCCTCCTAGCATTTGATTTTGATATTTGGTGTTTGCATGTTCTCACCTTGGTCGTGTGGAATATTTTTTATGGGTCCTCCGGTTTTTGTCCTCCACATTTAGAAACGTGCATTGAGATTATTTAGATTATTTTGCTGCTATACATTTGCACGTGATAAGCCACTTTGTTGAGCTATCATTTGTGGCCAAGTCGCTTCTGAAAAATAAGTGAATACTTCAGTGGGCTTTACCTGGTAAGATAATAAATAATTTCGTTTTATACGTATGTTTTTATGTGATTTGTTTATCGTTCCTATACTTTGCACTCCTGTCATGTTTTGTATTGTTCATTGTCGTAATGTTCTGACCCGCGCCCCCTTAGTGTACGTCTGTGAAAATGAGCTTCATATCTCATCAGGTTCCTCCGGTGATAAATAAATGTTCTGATTCTGATCTCTCCGTGGATGCCTTTACAATGATCGCTGCGCATGTTTTCAGGGAAGTCGAGGCATCGTGGGACCTGAGGGTGCCGTCGGGCCGTCCGGCCGTCCGGTGAGTCTCGCCGTGTACCCCCCGCCCCCCGACACTGCACGAGCCGCACAACACGCAGGGCGCATTGCGTTGTCGCACGCGTTCAAGTTCAAGTTCATTTATTAGGTATATAGCCTTGTGAGCCATTCGGCTCTTGAATCGGGTGCAACCGCAACAAACAAAAAACATGAACAAAAAAATATCTTAAAGTGAATATGTGACTGAGTGCAACAGAAAATCCAAGAAAAGACAGCAAAATATTGCAGAAAAAAACACCGTACACCAACGCTGTGTGCGTAAGGGGTTGTCGCGGGTGATGCTGATGTTTTGTGTCTTGACTCGTCTCTCTTCTCCCCCCCCCACCCCACAGGGCTTCAAGGGGATAAAGGGACAAGCAGGAGAGACGGTAAGGTTGCATGCCACTGGTGGGGAGCATTTCCCATAAATATGCTAAATTCCTCTTCAAATGCAAATTCTTTTGTCAAGGCTCTCTTCCTCCTCCCTCACAGCTTAAATAGACACTCCAAGCCTAAGACGTGTCATTTAGACTCGGTCTTATCGACAGACTTGTTCTTCACCTGAGGACGGCTGCTTGCGTTGTGGCCGAAACGTCGTGAGAATTATTTAATAATGTTTTATTTTTATTATTTTATCATTTCCCTTCTACGTGACTTTACCGAAAGAACCAAGAAGATGCAGCGTTGAGTTGGCACAGGCGAGGGGCCTGGGTTCGAATCCAGCTTTCAGTCGCCGTGATTTAACCTGGTTGCCAAGTGTCTTGATTTGTTTGTCTCAAGCCAGTCTTGCTGACCTGCCCATACTGAACATGTTTGAAAAAGAGCTTCAAAACCCATCAGATTCCTCCAGTCTAAATAAAGATGATTTATTTAGATAAAGATTCAAACTCTGATTCAATCACGACCTATGACTGCACACAAAATAGAAACGTCACATTAAATTTAGTTCTGCACTTAATTTCGCTAAATTCCTGGTCTGGAAATTAAAATATTGTTTGACAAAAGCAATAGTATTCTTGGTTCTTTCGGTAAAGTCACGTAGAAGGGAAATAATAAAATAATAAAAATATAAAACAATTAAATTCTCACGACGTTTCGACTGCAACAAATTTTCTTGCTGTGGATTTCACACCTGATGATGATTGCTTGTGTTGCAGTCGAAACGTCGTGAGAATTTTATTGTTTTATATTTTTATTATTTTATTATTTCCCTTCTACGTGACTTTACCAAAAGAGCCAAGAATATGAATCCCTGCAGTCACTAAAGCTTTAAATAAAAAAAGCAATAGTGTTTTACTTGTGTCTGCGTAGTAAGGCAATGAAGCACTTGATGTTGTTTTATAGCTAGATGAAAGGCCATTGAAAACATCCTCTTGTTTTGCAAGGGAGGTGTGTTGAAATGCCAAATGAAAATCTATAGACCTAGAAACTAAGTGCAGATGTTATTTTTTTTTTCAATAGTGAAAATATCTAAAGCATTGAAAATATAATTCTTACATTTAAATGTCGATTTCTGTTAAAGTACTGCCTTGGATTTTACATGTTAAATATTAAAGAATATTTCATTAAACATTGTATTGCGTAAAGGATGGTTTACAAAAAAAGTATCCATCAGTTTAAACGAAACAAAGTTCAGCTGTCCTTTTATCTTGCGATTGTGAAATTGATTTTAGAGGTCGCTGTTCTGGCAAATCTAAAGCAAACTAAATTCTACTGATTTCCACAAAAACCACATTGCTCACCGCAAACAAAGGGACAGGTCAATGGTGATGAAAAGACTTTCATTATTAGTTCATCATTAAAGACTAGGAGCCATGTGGAGCTAGAGTGTTTCATAGATCTGAACCATCTGGTATTGCTATGAATATATATAAATTTACAAACCTTAGTCAAAGCACTCATGGATGAAGAGCTCATGGCCCATATGACTCTTACCATGTCAGTAAATTGAACTGGTAGTGATGAGTTTTTTAGGTTCAAATACAGACTCCCACCCATAATTAAGCAGGTTCTCAAGTGTATTAAGTTGACCGTCTCAGCTCAATACTCAACGTTGCACACAAAAAGAAAAACAATCACACTAATTTTTTTTGAGAGCTTATTCCAGCTCCAAGAATTAAATGCTTTAATATGATTTGCGCATGATGACCACTCTGCAGGGCATTTTTAAAGGCGTGTCAATTAGTGTGAGATTTCAGTATATTGCAGTGACTTCAAAGCTCCTCTTCTTGGTTCTTTCGGTAAAGTCACGTAGAATGTAAATAATAAAATAATAAAAATAAAACATAATAAAATAATTCTCACCGACGTTTCGGCCACAACGCAAGCAGCCGTCCTCAGGTGAAGAACAGGTCTGTCAATAAGATAGAGTCTGAATGACACATCCTGGGCTTGGAGCGTCTAAATTCAGACTGTCTTATCGACAGACCTGTTCTTCACCTGAGGATGGCTACTTGCATTATGGCCAAAACGTCGTGAGAATTATTTTATTATGTTTATTTTTATTATTTTATTATTTCCATTCTACGTGACTTTACCGGAAGAACCAAGAAGATAAATCCCTGCAGTCACGAAAGCTTTAAATCGAGACTTCAGAGCTATTTCTGTGATGTCATATGCCATGTCCGTTGTCAGACGCAAGCTGATTGCAGCGCTTGAAGCAAGTTGCGAATGGGAACTTTTGAGGCTGGTGACATGATGCTGATGTCACAATTGTAATCAAATTGGGAGAAAATCAGAAAAAAATGCCTCCAAAGGAATTGTTTTTGAGCTGGGAATTCCAGTGTAACTTTCTCTGTGCTTCCACCCCATTCCCTTCGCTGTCCCTCTGGGACTCAGGGTCTTCAAGGGCCAAGGGTGAGTGACTTCTAAAGCATTTTGTGACTTTCTTTCATTTCTAGAAGTGTACCGACGCACGAGTTCACTGTCTAACGTCGGTTCTTAGGCTCACGATGCATGCGTTGCATTTGCACGTGTAAGAATTTTACTGTTATTTGTTTTAGTCCGTATATGTTATATGTACTGGGCTCACTTTAACCGTACCATTATTAGTAGCCACTACATTCACCACAATGTTTAATACAACATTAATTAATTAACTAATTAACTATTTAATTAATAATTTTTTTGTTTTCGCCCATGGATTATGACCCTCAAATAACCAGGGGCGCGAGGTGGCTAGTCATTACGCATCCAATAATCGCCATACGTTGCCGTGTTAGCAGAAACAAATACAATGTGTGCATGTGAAATCTGCATGTGTTCCATATGCTGATATTCTTCTATAGGTAATAGCCATTCACAATCCATTGCCTATCGTGCATCTCTTTACACATTGTACGTGACAGGGTCACAGATTAACACTCGTGTTTCATCTTTACAGGGACCAAAGGGACCGACAGGCCAGGCTGGACCTCCTGTAAGTTAAGCTTCTTTCATTAATTGTTTTCAATTACTCAGTGACTAGCTGGTTGGGGACTTGGTTTGAGTGCGTGACTCGCAATCAGAAGTTTGCCAGTTCAAATCCTAGTTGGGGGTCCATTCAGTTCTGGGCTATTACACTTTTGGGGAAGGTAGCAGTGGTTGTTCTCTAGGTGGACTCATCCCCATCATAAGGATGTACAGTTTCCACCACTGGATCAGGGATATAAACGAGAGGTGCTTGTTGTGTCATGCTCATTCAATCGAGAAATCCTTTGACTGTAACGTTATTTCATTACGGCTTTACTAAAACAACGAATAAACGGCTGGATACAGGCCTTCTCTTGCAGTGTTTGACCATGCTTCACCATGCTGGGGAGTGCAATTTTGTGAAGGGCATGGAAGACCGATTCGGATATCGTTCGTTGCTGACGTTAACCGTGATTGGAGATCGAGCTCACTTGGCAAGACTTAATAGCACAGTGCGGTGGCCACTGCACCACCGCTCCCCCCTGTTATATTATAGTAACCGATGCATTTTGCAGCTTTAACTTTGCTGCATTCATTTTTGTTCCAGGGTCCTCCGGCTCTACCGAGCTCTTTGGTGAGTCACGATAGACATTGCCGTTTACGTCCGACAGAAGCAATCGTTGCAAATTCAGTTCGATTTACCCTGAGCACAGATTTTTCTAAATATCATGCAAATTACTTGGAATGGTAGCTACATGCAACACACATAAGGTATGAATTAAATCAATCATTTAATGTCATCCTATATTAATATCTGACAACAACAAAGAGAACACAATCATTGATGACACTGCCTTGAAATAAACTTTCAAATATAAAATAGGCGACGTTTCGGGAAATGGTCCTTCTTCATAGCACGTAAAGGCATTGTTATTGACAAATGCGTTGAATATTTTTGTTAATTGTGCCTGCGCACCACTACCAACATGGCAACATCACCAAATGATTTGCGATATTGACATCTGGGTTCAGTGCTGCAATGTCACTTTGCGTGTTGCTGATGTACAGTGTGGAACACACTCAATGGTTCTCCCCAATGTGTTGTGTCTACGTTTAGAGACAACACGACTTTGGTGCAGCTCTCCAAGCCTTCATCGAGTCCAATACAGCACTTAACATAGAGGTGAGGGCAGCGCTGAGTGCCGTACGTGCCCATGAGACGAACCTTGCGTTGACAAAGATCCTTCGTATAGCTTGAATAGACTTTTGGGGCAAGTGCTGTTAGCGAGCACCTATGAAGGCCGATACGACACACCAGTGGGTGGGTGGCCAGCATCACGCCCGGCCGCCTTTGTCTCCGTGGTGGCGATGTTTACACACCGCACCAAGTACTCATTTGAGGCTGAGTCGACCTAGGGGAGGCCCAGGACCGTTTCAGATATTCATCACTCTTGTGGGCCGTGAGCGGGAATCAAACCCAGGTCGCCCGGCTCGATGCGCAGCGCACTAACCACTGCACTACTGCGCTCTGCACACACGCGTGCATGCGCACACACCCACGCACGATTGCCGCAGACCTATCAGGACTCCACCCTCCCGGCGATGGAGCAGGGGGTGGAGATACTCAAGACTCTGCACTACCTCAGCACGCTCATCCAGGGCATCAAGAACCCCATGGGCTCGCGCGAGAACCCCGCCCGCATCTGCCGCGATCTCCTTAACTGCGAGCAGAAGGTGGCTGACGGTGAGAGCTCGGCACTGGGAACAGAAGGGCCCCCGTGTGGCTCCCCGAGCACAACGGAGGCCATTCACAGCCGGCACTTTGTAAATGCATTGCCTTGACTGTGTGGCAGGCGATGTCCAAGTCAGGCCACTTGGTTGAGCCATCATTTGTGGCCATGTCGCTTCTGAAAAAATAACTAATAGCTCAGTGGGCTTTACCTGCTAAGATAAGAAAAAATTTGTTTAGTTTTATTTGTATTTTTAAAAAGTGATTTGTTTACCTTTCATATACTTTGCACTGCTATCGTAGTTTTATATTGTTTGTTGTTGTAACGTTCTGACCTGCCTCGACTGGACATCTGTGAAAAAGAGCTTTGTAGCTCGTCGGATTCCTCCAGTGTAAATACATTTTCTTATTCAAGCGTGACGCTTCAACAGCGAGAAAATGTATTTCGTATCGTGAAACTGAACTGTGATATTCTTTGGGTCTTTCGGTAAAGTCACGTAGATAGGTTCAAAGAAAAGAACAAAAGACCATGACGTTTCGATCGCAACACAATTGGTCGTCATCATCCCTTTCCTGATGATATTTTCTTTGAACTTATCTACGTGACTTTACCGAAAGACCTAACGAATACGAATTCCGGCAGTCACGAAAGCTTTAAGTCAAGATTGGAAAATGATAGTTTCTGGAATCAGAGTAAACAATTATAATTACGAACCTATCAGCTCCATCTGACTATTAAAAGCTACAGCAGGCACATTGCAGTGATGTTACAAGAGGATGCTATAGAGCAGCAGTGTCCAACTCGATTCTCCCGAGCCACATGCAGTCTTTAATCCACCCCATGCGGTTCTATGGAAAGGGCATAACAACATAAAACATACGATCACGGTAGCAAGAATAGTGAATGCCTGCCATGCTATGCTGAAAACTGTCAATACATATGTTGCGGTGCAATTCACGACTCCGAGGCAGGTTGCTGTTAGGGGCCCACGCCACGTTTATTTAAGGGATTACGCCAGGTTGTTAAGGGCTTACGCCAAACAACACCCCCCTAGCCAATAACTCCCCAGGGGACAGAGTACTGGGATCCCTACACCCCGGCTAACTCGGCTCTCCACCATGCCCCGGCCCGGGACCACTCCCAACCTCGGCCGGTCAGGCGGAGTAGCCTCCCCTAGCCTCGTGTGAGGACCAACTCCCCGAGTCCCCACTCCTACCCCCGACGAACCCCGGTTACATCCCGAGTCCCCCTTTAAATACCCCCCAGGAGGCATGACGTCACCGTCCCCCACGGCCCGCCTGACGTCACGTCCCGCGACGCCACTCTCTCCGAGGGCGCGCGTGACGTGATGTCACCCACTACACCTCTACACATACACTTGGCTCTTTGCAGAACTCATGGGTAATTTTTGGCTCTTGATCTGTTCCAGGTTGGCCCACCCCTGCTATAGAGGCTTCCTGACCTGTAATTTCCACTCAGCTTTAAAGTCATGCTCGGCAGCCTAGACCAGTCTCTTAGGTTTTTTCAGTAAAGCCACGTAGGTGAAAACAAAATAAAATAAAAATAAAACAACTAAATTAAATCACGACGTTTCGGAAGCAACACAAGCATCCGTCATCAGGTGTGACAGCTCCAGCAAAATTACTGTAGCGTATGAAAAGAGATATTTAGAGACACGTGTTTATATAGGGTACTAGAGGGGGGTGCATGCGGCAGTCACGAAAACGTCAAATCTAGAATTAGCCTAGACCAGTGTTTCTCAACTCCAATCCCCACATCCCTGCAAATCGCCATGATTACCACCCACAAGGTGCCTTCAGTGTGCAGTGGCTTAAATTGGGTCCCAATAGAAAATATTGATTATCGCAAATATGCAGTCCGTGGAAGGATCACGAGGACTGGCATTGAGAAACTCTAGCCTCAGGCACATACGCAATAGGTGTATCGTGAGATATGATAGATATATTTACTTGGGTTATGTCTTTAAACACTATTGTGTGCAGCATCGTGGCTGCCGAACACGTTTGCATCATTTATATCAACTTAGCTAACTCTTGGTTGTTGTTGTTGTACTATTTAGTTAAACGAATGGAACATGTTCAGGTTTTTTTGTAACATCGTAAATTCTCTATTATCGCTGCATCTAACTTTCAATCGCACTTTTCTCTACCAGGTAATTACTGGATTGACCCAAATCTCGGCTGCTCCTCGGACAGCATTGACGTTTTCTGCAACTTTACTGTTGGTGGCCAGACATGCCTCAAGCCACTGGCCATGAGCAAGGTAAGAACTTCCTGTTGGCCAGAATGTGCGCTGCTCTTTCACTGGACCACATTCGCCAGATAACCGGCACTGGGCAAGTAACGATGCATCAATTCATTGATTCGAATTGGGTTCTCAACACTCATGATACATGCATCGAATCGTGCGTGTGAGAATTATTTTCAAATAGGTTCAGTGTCCGAGCACCGCTGATATCATGGGTTTTAATCTGGGGGGTCCTCACGAGTTGATGCGCTCAGCCCAGTCACCAATTATTATTATTTTTTAAACATCTCACATTGGGTTCTTCACTTAATTTGGCAAATATTGCAACTCTGAAAATTAAATGTATGGGTCTGACTGCCATGTCACAGACGTTTCTCTGGGGTACTGCACGTGGGAAAATGTGTGGAAAAGAGGTCATTTAAAGGGATCTCAGGAGTAGTTTTGTGACGTCACCTTTTTTTTCAGAGCACCGTCATATACACGTGGGGTGATGCACCTATCTGCAAGAGTTCCTACATCACATTGCTTCGTCTCATTTTGTGACGCCACGAAATAACCAGAATCCAATCGGGGGGAAATGCATTAACCCTAAAGCTCAGCCATGAACTGCTCCACATTGTGCTCTGGAAGACTTATACAAGCAGTAATATTTGCTCACGAAAGATCGCTTATTGATCCCTTTAAGTAATAAGACGTATCAGATCAAAGAACAGCCTGTAAAGTTTAGACCAAAGGCCTCATGCTCGGTCTCTCGGAACAAGGGCGGCGGCATCTTATGGTTAAAAAAAATCTATCAATGTATAAATAAATTGATTCTTGAATAAAATTGTTACAACCCTATCCTGCACCTTGCAACTCCTCGCTCGCATCACGACGCGTCGCTGACCTGCCCACCACTCTCGTTCTTCCCCTCAGCTGGACTTCGGAGTGGGCAAGATACAGATGAACTTCCTGCACCTGCTGAGCTCGGAGGCCGTGCAGCCGGTGACGGTGCACTGCCGCGGCGGGCCAGCCTGGGAGGACCCCTCCTCACCGCACCCTCACCGCCACGCCGCACGCTTCCGCGCGTGGAGCGGCCGCCTCTATGAGCCGGGAGGCCTCCTGGAGCCGCGTGTACTCCACGACGGCTGCCGGGTACGGGCGGCCAAGGGGGTCGTTGGGTCGCTTGAGTGGACGGCGACGCCTGTCTCAAAGGGGCTTTTCGATCCGTCTTGTGCGTTTCAGGGTGGAGGATCAAGCACGGTCGATCGATTGGTCGATTTCGCAACCTCCGATTAGCACGGTTGGCTATGTCCGGTGTGAAAGAAGTTCAACATACGTGCATACATATCCGACACAAGATGCAATTTATTTGCTCTGATTAAATTGCAGGGATTGCGATCGTTGGCCGGTGGTTTTCGATCCGTCTGTGTGTTTAGAGTTGAGAACCAAACACCATCGATCGATTGATTGATAGCCTGCACAAGATGAATTTATTTGCTCCGATTAAATTGCAGGGATCGCGATCGTTGGCCGGTGGTTTAGAAGCACAGGCTCAGAATGATGATGGTGGTAAAGCGTTCCAAATATTTGCCTCGTGCGTTTTTTTCCAAAAATAGTTTTGTTGCTTATTATAAACAGTTGCGGGGGATGTGTACCGTAGACCCATTTCGAATTTGAACAATGTCTTTCAAATGAGCTATTGCTCATTGTGACTGTGATTATTACTGTCACAAATTAAAGCTGGGCCATACAAATACATAGCGATGTGTCTGCGATTTAATAAACATTCGAGGTGTAATGATGACTCAATATATCAATAGTGACTTTTAAGCCCATGATACATGCATTGAATTGAATATGTAAGAATAATATTTTTCGATCATGAAATGAATGTAATGGCTCACGAATATGGCTTCACGAAGATGGCACATAAGCAATGGCAGCAACTCGCAAATATTATTTCCAAAGATTAAAGTAGTATCGCCAAAGTATTGAATGATGGTCGTTCTGTTGACATTTCTACCGTATATGACGTGTCCATGGAATTTGCCCTGGGTTTAACCGCTCGTTTGACCCACTGCTCACTCGTTTGTGTGTCTGTTCCTCGCAGATGGACGATGGGAAGTGGCACAAGACCGAGTTTCTGTTTACCACTCAGGATGTCAACCACTTGCCAATTGTAGACGTCCATTTTACTCACCAGAAGCCCGACTCCCAGTACCATCTTGAAGTGGGACCCGTCTGCTTCCTTTGAAGATACTTATGCAAATTCTTATTATATTTTTTATTAGCAAGTATGAAATGAAGGATTACATGGTTTTACAAAAGGACTAGCATTTTGAAAGATTAAATCCAACTTTTTATTCTATTTTTATATAAGAATATGTGGAATTCACACCCACCACAGTAGCACGCAATTTGCCAAAAATTACGCAGAAAAGTTTCTCTCTACCGACTGTTACGCGTTCATATCTTGGCGTTGACCGCAGCTGTGAGAGAGGAGCTGCTGAAATATGCAAGAAACGAGGCTTGGGGTTGGTCGCGAAAAAGGATTCTTTTTTTTTTACGGGCCGATTCGCGCTCATTCGACTCATCCTCGCTGCAATCGTGAAGGCGTTTGTAAATAATTATTTAATAGTACGCTCGGCCACAGCGGCACTTGTGGATGCAAGCTGTTGGATCGAGAGTCTGATCGTTTCCAGATGTGCAATAACTGACGATACTAAATAACGTGATTTGGTGCTGTGCTCCAACACATATTGCAAACATATCTGGGAATGCTAAAGTGTTAATACCTTCGGTGCTCACAAAACACAGCAGTTTGATGTCTGTTGCTACATTTAATTACGCTTTTGTGCACAGTGACATTTTTTTATTATGTATTTTACAAAAAAACCATTGTGATAATTCAAATTGGTGCTGGTGTGTTTTTTGTGTTTAAGTTTACTACCTCATATAAATGACAAAACTTATTCGTTTTTAACTTCAAAATAATTTTAAAAAATAAAACAAAGGAACAAAAAAATACACAAAAATTCACCCCATCCTCCAAAACCCTTACGGCCAAATCACACAGTTTCTCACCATCGCGACTCGGCTTCGTTGCTGGTAAGTTGCTGCTGATTGGTTTGTGGCACCCTGGAGTAGTGGGACAGGCATCGTAGTTGTCACTTTAGGGTGGGATCCGAGTTGTAGGGTGTTAAAAAAAAAAGCCGCAATATGCTCACTTTCAAGCCATGCACACAGGGCGCTTTGTTTGTACATGGCGAGTTTCCTGCCCACGGAAAGATGTGGAGATGTTCACAATTCCAAGCACGGGGGGCCTACACCTTACACATTGCTGGTCTTTCACTTTGTCTTGTGTACGCTTTTCATTTGCTCAGTTTGAAATGTCTCGTACACAACTAGTCAGATGATTAGGTAGGCCTTCATGTCGACAAGCTTCGTAAAAAAGACAACTCTTAAGGACCGTATACATGAATGGAAAACTTTAAAATCACAGCACCTCTGTGCAATGTGATGTCACTATGTTGAGAACTGCTCTGGTTCTTTCGGTAAAGTCACGTAGAAGGGAAATAATAAAATAATAATAAACATTATAAACATTTTAGAAATGCAGAACAGTACCATATTTCAAACTTTCTTTTTTTTTCTCATGACCTGTAAAATTCATACTTTTCAAAATCAATTGACTCCACGCAGGGGAGCGTCTCAATGCAGAAGCGGAGCTTCCATTGTGAGTGGTTAAGACGTCGAGGATGGCATCAGACATATCTGTAGACCCCACTTAGTGCAATCGTGATGATGAGTTATTGACACAAGAGCCTGCGACAAAGATATCCTTATTCTACTCTTAACGTATCTCATTAGCCTAAACTATCCTTTGCTTGAGGTTGTCAAGAACTGCAGAGTGCATAGGCTACCGTTTGCGAATCGCCACGGCAGGTGTACTTTTAAATCTAGATTGAAAACTAATTTCTTTAAAACACCCTAATTAGCACAGTTGGCTACATAAGTTCAATATGCATACAGGTGTATTACGCAGCATATGCACGTCCATATAATTGATTTAAATTCCCTACGTGTTTAAATTCACTCGAAGGCCTACTTAAAAAAATACATATTGTCAGCCACATATTGGACTTGTGATCACAATGTTTGACAGTTTTAATTGTACCATTTGTAAAACTTAAATCGTGAAATATAATTATATGAACTTCAGCAGAGCTGTAGTGTTAAGTATAATGTCAATTCCATGCTACGTCTTGTTTATAAAAAGCATTCGAAGTAGGCAAGTGTTCAATATTGTGTAGAAAAACTAACTTTATCACATATATATTGTACATACATTTTTATTGACAGATTACGTTGTACAAAATAGAATTTTTTTCCAGGAAATTATTTAATATTATTTAAAGTCGCCATTTCATGTCAAGCAAACTGGCTCGAAATGTCAAAACCTGTACATTTTGCCTGTTTTTACAAAATTGTTTTTTTTATATCCAACACCAACATTTGTACGTTGTGTGTAAATGTTTTGACTTGAAAAAAAAGTTTATTAAAAAAAAAATCTTAGTTATGATGCTATTAAAGTGGAATGTGTGTGGATGCGCAAGTACAAGGTACAACAGGTAATTTTTTATATATATAAAGTTTGTTATTTTAAGTCATTCACTTTTTTGGTACTGTTTTATTTTGCTAAATGACCCATCAACACAGCATATACCTCGATCTATTTTCATAATCTCTCCTTGCTGTTGTTTCACTGCCACGTGGGAGTTTTTTTTAAGTAAACTCAACGGAGTAATCGTTTCACTGTTGGTTTGTGCATTCTTAAGGGTATCAAGAGTTACACTAACTCCCTCGATACTAGCTTGAGCACTCCACAAATACTGTGTACTTGATCCTATTTAAATACTCGATAAACTTCTCCATAGGGTCATGGGGTCTTTAGGGGGTTGAGCCCCCCCAGCTGAACACTTACCTCCACGTGTGAATTGTTATAAAGTCACGATTTCCATTTATTTAACATTGACTCTTAAGGACCCTACCCTTCCCTGTATGTTGGTAACACATTCCTGCGGAGGGAGCTGGTAGGAACGTTGGGTTGCTCGGTCAATGGCCAGGGTCAACGGCGGCGTGGTGTATTCCGCAAATATGCCCGACTGTGAGTGCGGGCACAAGCCGGCGTGAGTAGGTTAAACGTTGAGTTTATAAGGGCACCACTGGGTGACCAGCCCCTCCCCACCAAGCCCATCCCCACCCAGCTCCACCCCTCCCAGCCCCACTCAGCCCCTCCCCACCCAGCCCCTCCCCACCCTCCCCTCTCCACCCAGCCCCACCCCTCCCATTTTTGTATGCACGACGGACGGACACAATAATCCCCTGTGGGCTGGTGGAACCAGGTGGTTCCTACCAATATAACCCTCATTCAAATACGGCCGTGCCTACAGGATTGCCCCAAAGTATTGTGTGCTTTCCGTATATGGATCCGGCAGTAACATGCTTGAACTGGCTCGAGAGACGGGAAGACGAGGACGTGTGTTTGAGAACGTACGCCGATCTGCGAAATCGCACCGTTAAGGAAAGTGGGCTGGGTGAGGAGCTGGTCAAGACTAATTATGGAGTGACAGGCAAAGGAATGGAACACGCTTGAGACTGGGAGTGTCAACCACGACGCGCCACCAGAGGACCGCAGCAGATGGCAATGGCTTCGGGAGTCCTTCATCCAGCAGTGGATGTATCGTTGTTGATGTACTGTGGTCATATCTCAATGCGCTGCAAGTCATCTAGGTTCTGTATACTCTTGGGTTTTTTCGGTAAAGTCACGTAGGTAAAAATAAATAATAGAAATAAGAATAGAAATAAAAGAATTATTTCGATTTAAAGCTTTCGTGACTGCAGGGATTCATCTTCTTGGTTCTTTCGGTAAAGTCACGTAGAATGGAAAAAATAATAAAAATAAAACATAATAAAAATTATTCTCACGACGTTTCGGCCACAACGCAAGCAGCCGTCCTCAGGTGAAGAACAGGTCTGTCGATAAGACAGAGTCTGAATGACACGTCCTGGGCTTGGAGCGTCCAGCTTAAATAGACTTTACCGAAAGAACCAAGAAGAAAAATAATTATTATTTCTATTATTTTAATAGAAATAAAATAATTATTTTATTTCTATTCTTATTTCTATTATTTATTTCTACCTATATGACTACCGAAAACACCTAAGAGTATGAATCCTTGCAGTCACGAAAGCTTCAAATCTAGAATTAGGTTCTGTATCTAACCTTGGGATTTCAGAATCGTTTAGACTGGGGGGAATCCGATGAGCCATGAAGCTCTTTTTCACAGATGTCCAATAGGGGCGGGTCATATGCCTCGCTCTGGCGCTCTCCAAGGTTGACTCGGAATTAAATGAGTGGTGATTGCTGCGTCAACACCATTGCCATGAAGCAATGACGACCGGTACTGTTGTGCTTACTATTCTACTCCAACAAGTGCAATGCTGGTCATTGTAGGTGCTCCATAACAGCGCGTCCCACAATAGTCCAGTGCATGTGAGAATAGTTTGTGTTGGTGCATGTGTGTGTGCTTCACAACCAAATCCTTTTGATTAAAAACAAAGTTTATTTTCATTCAAACAGCCTAGACTTGATTGCATTTGAGGGTATGTTAGACTAGGGCTAAGAATCTGCAGAACTCAAGCTCCAAGTAACGGTCTCTCTTACATCAGCTGTTGACGAGAGAGACACGTGCCACACTTAAAACACACTGCTCTGGAAGAGTTCCAAATTAACACTTTGTCTCATGCCACAATACTTATGATGATGCTGATAGTAATGTTGGTGGCCATGAGAGGAACACACAAAACAATGTAAAGATGTTCTTGGTTCTTTCGGTAAAGTCACGTAGAATGGAAATAATAAAATAATAAAAAATAAAACATAATAATGTGAGAATTATTTTATTTAGTTGTATTTTTTTTATTTTATTATTTCCATTCTACGTGACTTTACCGAAAGAACCAAGAAGATGAATCCCTGCAGTCACGAAAGCTTTAAATCGAAATGGAAAGATGTCCCGTGCATGGCTTTGTGGCTCCTCCAGTTGCCTGCCTCCTTGCAATCGGTCACAAAACCTCCTTCCTCCAGCCAAATTATTTTGGAATTACTTTATTGGGCAGCTCCATCATCATCGTCATCACCACCACACAACCAACCGCCACCGTCATTGGAAAAGTCACTGCGATATGCCGCAGTGTTTCTCGCACTCCTCCCGAGACCCGAAGCGGTTGGCATTGCCCTTGCACCCGCCGTAGTTGAAGGCGAAGCAGGCGCCCTTGGTGGAGTCGAAGGCCCATGCCGGCTTCTTGGCCTTGCAGAGCCCCACTTCCATGGGCAGCCTGCACGCAGCTGCGTACGAATCACAGAGATCGGGGTGGAGAAGAGAGGTGGGGGGGGGTTCATCGTGTAGCCTTTACAGACTGCTGGGGCAAGTGCTGTTAGCGAGCAGCTATGAAGGCCGGCACGGCACACGAGGGGGTGGGTGGTCAGCACCACGCCCAGGACGCTTTTGTCTCTCCCCCCGGTGGCGATGTTTTTACGCACCATGCCAGGTACTCGATTGAGGCTGAGTCGACCTAGGGGAGAGGAGGGCCCAGGACCAGTTCTGATTATCGGTGTTGGTGGCCGTGAGCGGGACTCGAACTCGGTCTCGCCGCCGGGTTCGTTGCGCTCACCGCTACCACTGCCGCAGCTGCTTACGCACGCCGTCGTCGTTGCATTCGGACAGGATTTACACACACACAAACTTGTATTTCGTTGTTTCGGCGATGGGATTAGTGTGGGTTGAATGGGAGTAATACCCACTTACACTATGAGACCTCCTTTACCAGTGGCAAAATATAGTGATTTTCAAAGCGAATAAAAACGTGTCAATTTTTTATTTCAAACATTTGATGAAGTGGTGTTATTTGCTTTAAACAAATTTTCAGGTGGACTAATTGATGGTTAGAACACAGAGGTAATGTGTGGAGATAATGCACCAGTTCTGGGCTTCCACGAGACCAGCTCTTCCGGGAAGCTGCGTGGGCCATATGCGTTGGTCTGGTGGAGAAAGCACTGATGATGATGCTGAAGCCACTGCGAGCACACTCTGCAGTGTTTCAATGAATTCACCTGCACACGTTGCCTCCTCAACCTGGAGACATGATCCACTTGCATCAAACATTGGTGAGGAAGTCCCATATGCTGATGTATCATTTGAGTGCAATGTCTTAATGGCTACGTAGAGCCTTGTCTATTACAATATTTAACCGTTCCAGGATTTGTAACACGCCATATTCTCTAAAAAAGCTCATATGGAAACGCGGATGGCACCGATAAAATGTTAACTAAACAAAAGTGAAAATGCACATTTTAGCCTGGTCTTAAACACACCGACTACTTACAACCCACCACGATATCACGGCATGCAGCATACGGTCCTTTATGCTATACGTGATGGTGTGCTGAACGTGTCTCAATGCTGGCCACCATCAGTGCCAAGCCATTAGTGGTGTATCCCACTGGGTTTGTACCTTCGGTGCGGCAGGTGCTGAAGCACTCGTTCTCCGTGGCGAACCTGTTCTTGTTCCCCAGGCAGCCTCCATAGACGAAAGACTCGCAGTTCATGGACGTCTTGTTGTAGTAGAACTTGTTGAACATTCCAAAGCACGGGCCGGAATCAGAAGGCAGTAGGCAGAGCTCTGCGGGAGCAGGCGTGCTTCGTGTCAACGACTTGACCGGTTGCTAAGTTCAGTTTTTCTTAACCGGTCACTGCAATCTGATTTATTTAACTGGTCAGTGCAATGGCGTACTGAAAGGTGTCAGTAATGACGCCAACGTGATGTGTAAGTTGATACCCTCTTGCTGCAAGAAAGCCTCATTCAACCTTAAGACCGTGTTTCAGTGGGCTCCTGTATTGGGATAAGTGTGTAAACATGGCTTGACCTATGACCTGGATACCCCATAGGAGTTCCAACATCCCACATTCAAAATAATCTCCACTGTTTTGAAGGCCTCTGACCCATTTTCACTCGAGCCAATGTAAACATGTTTGATCTTCATCCAGTTCCATAAATGAGTGGCACGTGAGAGGAAACCAGAGTATACCACGGATATATCCCAGAATCCACTGCTCTACTGTCATCTCCTGTACACCCTGCATAAACTTTCAACAGTGTTCAGTTTTTTTTAATCTGTGATCTCCTCAACACTGGCGATTTTTTTATAAAGTCAGAGACCGCCAGCATCGCGGTGGTGAAACTGCAACGAGTCACTTTGTCGCCACAAATAAATGGTTATGATACTGACTTGAGAAGCCATTTGCTGTTACAAGGCAACAACTTGCCGATGAATTTTTTGTAGTACTAATCACATATCTGCATTTCCCATAAATATGATAAATTCCTCTTGATATGCAAATTCTTTCGTCAAGGCGCTCTTTCCCCCCCTTCCAACCCAGCTTAAATATATGCTCCAAGCATGGTGCTGTTTCATTCAGACGCTGTCGCCTCGACAGACCTGGTTTTCACCTGAGGACGGCTGCTGGCGTTGTGGCCGAAACGTCGTGAGAATTATTTTATTATGTTTTATTTTTATTATTTTATTACTTCCCTTCTACCTGACTTTACCGAAAGAACCAAGAAGAACTTGCCGATGCTTTGTGTAATTGACTTTGGGACAGCGCATTCCTTGCAGGAATATACCCAGTAAACGTGCAGAGTTAACCCAACGTGTCCATGTTTACTGGCTATCGTGTTTAACGTGAAATTTTGTCTTCACTGTTACCAGCAGATGTAGCTCAGTGTGTTTATGAGTATATTATTACTATTTTTATTTGCAGCATAAAATGTAGATTTTTTTTGAAGAGTTAGGTGGGATATTTTTTTCTTCTGGGCCTTAATTCACCTTTGTTTTCAGGTTGAAATCCAGAGCCTTCTTCCTCCGCTTCCATAATGGCACGGGGCACTCGCTGTGAAAAATATGTAGAAGCAGCTCAAGCATTCAAATAATCTGATTAGCTGTTACTACAAAACAAATAGTTATGAAACCTTTGTTCAAGGAGCTGATAGGAGAGGCCACTTACAAGGATATTTCAGGACATATATATGACATTCTGTTCTTCTGTCCGTCGAAGAAATACTTGACACTTTTACAGAACTACAAAACCGCTCAATCAATCCCTTTGAAATTCATCACACAAGTCATCCACACCGCTATCCAGATCCGTATAATGTTTGGACAAGATTGGCATTGAAATACTTCTGAAAATGCATTTTAAATTATAAATAATAATGTAATCCTATGTACAAATGCAATTATCATGTGTGTTAGAATACGTATGCGTGGGTGTTGGTGCATAACATGTATGTCCATTGAGTTTTCATAATTTCTCAAGCACTGTTTGTGCAGTCAAATCCCTTAAAAATCTCAGGTTCCATTAGGACGAGCGATCCAGCTAATTTCCCTTGTTTTCTTTGTGTTATAATAACACTGCGGAGGCCTCCATCCAGCAGTGGATTGACCATGGCTGATGGTGATGATGATAACGCACCCGATGTGGTACGAGACCCAGTCCATCTTCACCGGCAACGCATTCCTCTGAGAAGAAAAGATTCCACATCTCAATCTGATCGCATATACCGCCCAACACGCTGCCGTTGCTGCAAAAAATATGTAGAGCGTCTACAGTGTTTTCTCTTTGTGTCCACGTTACCCGTACGTGAAAGATTAAGCCATGCTTGGTGCAAATGAGCTGTAACAAAGAACACAACTCATTCTGTGGTGCAATTATCCAGGACAATGACGGCACCATTAATTGCCGGTGTTGGTTATATATCATTGAAGGAAGACCAAACGTAACACACACACACGGCTCTCATCTTGCATACACCGTGTGGTCTGTGCTGACATGACTTTGAAGCTGTGTCAATGAGGAAAAAAGGCTTCAAAGTTACATTCGAGGTTGTCAATATGACACCGTCGCGACGTCCGGCGACATCACTTCTACAACTAAACACATTATACTGGTAGGAACCTCCTGGTTACACCAGCCCACAGGGGATTATTGTGTCCGTCGTGCAGGGAGGGGCTGGGTAGGGAGGGAGGGGCTGGGTGGGGAGGGGAGGGTGGGGAGGGGCTGGGTGGGGAGGGCGGGGAGGGGCTGGGTGGGGAGGGTGGAGCTGGGTGGGGGGTGGGAGGGGTGGGCCTGGTGGAGATAGGAGGGTGGGGAGGGGCTGTGTCGGGAGGGTGGGGAGGGGCTGGGTGGGGAGGGGAGGGTGGGGCTGGGTGGGGAGGGGAGGGTGGGGCTGGGTGGGGAGGGGCTGGGTGGGGGTGGGTGGGGAGGGAGGGGAGGGTGGGGAGGGGCTGGGTGGGGAGAGTGGGGCTGGGTGGGGGTGGGAGGGGTGGGGCTGGGTGGGGAGGGGCTGGTCACCCCGTGGTGCCCTTATAAAACTCAACGTTTAACCTACTCACGCCGGCTTGTGCCCGCCCTCACAGTCGGCCATATTTGCGGAATACACCACGCCGCCGTTGACCCTGGCCATTGACCGAGCAACCCAACGTTCCTACCAGCTCCCCCCCGCAGGAATGTGTTTTGGAGCAGCCGTGCACTAACTCAACACAGTCATCAATTATATACTGCCTTAAAAATAAAAATGTGTAACAGGCGATGTTTCGGGCAATGGTCCTTCTTTATAGCACAGAACCATATACTGCACGTATATTACTGAACTTGATAACAAGGCAATCGAGTGGGTGGGTGAGTGATTTGGATATTGACCTGTGATAGCAAATGGAAAAATAAGAAAACGCCTACAACTTTGTGCATGTACTAGTGACATCGGTGCACTGTAAAATGGTGCCTGACTGTGGATTTTGAATTGTCATGTTCTCAAGAACAAAGATTAAAATCCATATTGGACAGGCCCGATAAGACACACCGCCTCGGTGTGATTCTACAGGGCAGGAGCTGTTTGTTGTCTTGGGTTGCATGTCCCATTGATAGTACGGTTCTTAGTACCAACTCAAATTCTCACCATCATTAGCGAGCACGAAGATCTGCTCATCAGTCAGGCCTAGCTCCAGGCAGAGGCTTCGGAATTCATCCATGAGGTCGTCTCTGATTTCCTGGGTCCTGGCTATGACAAGAGACACACATGAACATGCACATTAATCATCATCGTCATTCCCTACTGTCTTTATGTCCAGACTTAAGACCTTCCTCCTCTCGTCTGCTGCTACATAGGTACAGCATAAAACAAAAAGAGTCCATGATTTTCCCCCAGCCATGTAACCTTCTATTTCCAAAACGACTGGTCACCTCTCCCGTTCTTTTGCTGGTTGCATAAACAATTGGGCAATTGTTGGGACCGGCTCACCGTGTGGCTACCTTCCTGCTTGTCTGTGGTTCTTTGTGCCTCCGGGTCGTTCTCTCTCTCTCCTCGAGAACGAGCAAAAATACTGCGCGGTGCGTTACAAGTTGAAATTATTTGTATTATTATAGATGTTGCCTCAATCATTACACATTCACCGGATGAACTACAGGGCATTTAATCTTCTCACAGACACACTTTGACAACCTCGCACACATAACTACAACAGAACATTTACCTTTACTGAAAGCAAAGCCATCCAAGATGCTATTCACCTGTGGAATCTTGGTGCCATCAAGATAACCAACAGCCATTGTCTATCTACTGCTGGATGGAGGCCTCACAACACCATCTGCCATCCCTCGCAGTCTTGCGACGTCAGAATTCATCCTCACTCCTGCACAACATCTCAGCTCATTGCTCATTCTCCACAGTTGCCATTCTCTCAGGTGCGTCCCCTCCTTCGGCTGTCACTCTGTCGTCAGTCCTGTTCAGCAGGCATTATTCATTCTTATGGTATGTGCTGTCCACACAAAATCACACTTAAGGATTGGTCATGAACTGATTTGACGTGTGGTGGTGGTGGTGGTGAACAATTCCATAGTTCAGATTTGTTTAGCTGACGCGGGTTAGAGATCCCCAACAGAGCAGGTGAATGACCGTTCCTTGACCGACTAAACAAACCTTTCAAATCAACCTTGCTTTACCTGGATAAGCAACCCTTGCAGTCCCGTACTGATGAACTCTGCTCTGGCTGTAAACTTGACATGGTAGTGCACAGATCTGGCTATCAAATATGCTAGGTTTTAAGATAAAACTTTGCCCCCCCCCCCCCCCCCCCCCCCGTGCACTAGCAGCAATCGTTGAGACTTGGATGAACTTCTGGACCTGCCTTAATGTGCAAGCCACCGAGTAGTTGATTTATTTTTTATGTGCCTTGTCATAATTCATCCCGGCTGTTAAAGATCAAACTTTGATCGACAATTTTAAAATCAAGGCGCATTACGTGACTGAAGCTGTGATGAAAAGATGTAAGCAAATTGCTGTCTCTTTGTTCGTCAATAATTCATTGGTATTCAAAGCAGGTGAGAGCCATGTGACCTAGGTTTATGGGTTTTTTGTGTTTTCTATGTTTTTTAATGGGGTTTTTGTTCGTCAATAATTTATTCATATTTAAAGCAGGTGAGCGCCATGTGACCCAGATTTATGGAGGTTTTTTTTTTACAGGGAGCTGGATCACACAGCAATACAGTATATATGTAAACTAACAGTTTAAATAACAAAAGGCATAACGAAACAACACAAGCAACACTTAATAAATATTGGCAATTGACTGTATATATATATAACTTTCATTACAATGTATACGTCTCAGCTATATTGGTTATAATGTAGTTCTGGTATATAATATAATATGATGTAATGTTTTATTTGTTCATCAATCACCAATAATGTAATAAATGTTTGTATCTCAAACAAACGATGTTTTTAAAATTAACCTTGGCACATGTAAATGAGTAATTGTTTAGGAGTAGAATTAACTGGCTAAACATGAAAACTTTACTGCAAGACGTCTCTGCCTTTATGTTTCTCTTGCCATGAATGACAAAAAAATCCTTCCTTGACTCAAATCTGAGAATGAAAATGTTGAATATTCTGGCTATTAAAGATATACTGTATAATTACTAATTTAAACGTTTTCTTTTTCTGATGGCCTTTCAGCTATTGAACCTTTGGCACACATGCAATTACCGAGTAATTCACATGACGTATAGTACATTAGTCGTACGCACCACCCTTAATGAGCACAAAGGTTTTTACGTTATCTTGGGGACAGAGTTAAACATTGCACCTGTTGAATAGCACCTATCATTCTTACAACAAATTTGCAAACATTTTGGCTGAGTGTGACCTCAGGAAATGTACAAATATGTTTTCAATTTCCCACCACCAAAAATCACCCAGAATCCACCTGATGCCATTAGATCTCAGAAGCTAAGCAGATTTTAGCCTGGCTATTGCTTTGACAGGCGACCACCATGCACCATCAATGCTATGGGGCTACCTGGTGGGCAACAGAGGGCAGTGAGCAAAATTGTTTGCTAAAATAATGTACGGTACGAACTTCGCTCCTTCCACATCTATGCTCCCTGCCTTCACTAACCCACACCTACCAGCACAACGTGTGGTTAAATAACCCCCCACAACTCACACGCCCTGGAGAGGCCTTCATCCAGCAGTGCACAAGCGTTGTTTTGCTGCGAGAACACATCTCTCCTGTTGCTGCAAAGTTCCAGTGACTCCTTGTCTCTAGACGAGTGCAATTTAAGATCATGTTGCTCGTATATAAAGTCTTAAGTGGGCTAGCTCCACGTCATATTCAAGTGCTAATTCAATCATATTCACCTATAAGGTCCTCAAGATCTGCTAGTGGTGCCCTTATATGAATGCCTCGATTTTGATTACGTTTTGTGGCGATTGAAAAATTTACTGTGGTGGCCCCAAGTTGTGGAATCCCGTACCTGCGGAGACCAGGTTGTCCCACAATGTTGATATATTTAATTCCCGATTAAAACACTTTTTTCAAATAAAAATATTTTTTCTAATAAATTTTGTTCTTCTCTGGTCCTTATTTTGTCACCCGTTTCTGTATTATCTTTGTCCTTTTCATAGCATGGCACACTTGAGACATCGTGAAAGGTGCCTAATCAGTGCAATCTATTGTTGCACTTCATTAGACCTCCTTTGCAAGTACCAAAATATAATAATAATAATAGGGAGGGTTTTCCCCTTTTTTCTGGCAACAAAACTGAAACCTTTTAACAAGGATTCATGTCTGCATTAACCGCAATACTTGCAGTCAAAATGCAAACAAAAAACACACTGATAATATATTGGCATTGTCCTTGAAACTGATTGGTCCACACCAGTGGACAGCTTTCTTTTGAGCCTCGACCCAATTGGTGCTCGACCAGAGGACGCCAAAAGGCGTACAGCTCAAAGACAATGCACTATCAAAGTAACGATTGCTCGGGGTGAACATCTACATCTAAATTTCTATTTAAAGCTTTCGTGACTGCAGGGATTCATCTTCTTGGTTCTTTCGGTAAAGTCACGTGACTTTACCGAAAGAACCAAGAAGATGCATCTACATCTAATGATGTAGATGCTCACCCCGAGGGGAACCCCCCTATTATTATTGTTGCACTGTTAAATGATGCATGTGCAGGTGTAACGTGTCAGTCGCTGTGATCACCCACACATCAAGCGCAGGACCTTGACAGATTTGTCGGATTCCTTGTAGGCGTACATCACGGCGTACTCATTGTAGTTTGTGCGCACCACGATCATGTTCATGTGGATCGGCTTCTTCCATGCTGCAATAAAAAAAGCAATGACGATGGTCAGAGTGCATAAGGGGTTAATAGAGAAACCACGAAAGCAGAAAATAACAACCGTTTCATTCGGAATTATTTCTTCTCGTGTATGGCAAGGTGAAATTTGCAACGGAATATGTTTGTGTGCATTTGGAGGTTATTGAGTCATTCAATAGCCAATGTGGAGGCTTGGTGGTTATCGGTGATGTCGCCTCCGAATCGGCAGTGTGGGCAGATTCACGCCCAATATCACCGACTTCCACCAATGGGAATAATTTTGTCTGCTCCAAAGAATGGCACCATAATATTGTGCATTTAGATTTGACGTGGCATTTATTGTTCTTACGTAGTTTAACTTTAGTTTTTCCCACTAAGTATGTACACGGTACTGTATTAACAATATATTTTACTAACATCTGTGTTGTAAAAAAATATCACCTTGATGTAATGCTGTCAAAATAACCCTCATTTTATAACTTAACCCCTATACCCCTTAGTAAATCCACCGCTGGAGGAAGAGCTCCAATGCCATGCTGGTTGTGTGGGGCTGTTTGACTATTTATATGTAACCATGCTGGTTTAATAATAGTAGGTTTTAACCCTTTAAACTGGTACAAAAACTGACACCTTTATACAAGGCATCATGTTTGCAATAACCACAACACAAGCAGTCAAAATGCAAACAAAAAGAAACAACTCTGATGATGATAATGATATGCACTGTCCTTGAAGTTGATTGGTCCACACCCGAGACAGCCTAGTCTCCATTGGTGTTGGACCAGATGACGCCAAAAGGCGTACAACTCAATGCATGCTGGTTTAGTGCAGGTTGGTGAATGGTGGGGTGGCCCATGTCCAGTTCACGAGCCACGATGTTAGTCGTGGTCAGGAATCTCACTGAAGTTGCCGGTAATATCAGTCACCATTGCACAATAAAGAAACAGTTTAAATTATACTTTGACATTTCACTTTAGAATTTGCATTTCATCAAATTTCACACGCATTTTTCTTATTTAGTTGAAATATCACTTGCCACTAATTTTAGCCGTTGCCAGGAATTAAACTCAGGTTACCAGGTTCTAAATTTAAAACTAATTTCTTTAGAACTGCTTTTTGTGTTTAGTTTAGCACGATTGGCTACGTACGGTACAAAATAAGTTCAATATACAATAAAACCTTGGATTGCGAGTAACTTGGTCTGCGAGTGTTTTGCAAGACGAGCAAATGTTTTTAATAAATAATAATTTGATAAACGAGCGAGGTCTTGCAATACGATTGGCACGTGTATACGCTTTGTCTGCCGAGCGTCACGTGATCACAACTGATATACAAGTGCTTTGATATACGAGTGCTTTGGATTACAAACACGTTTCCAGAACGAATTATGCTCGCAATCCAAGGTTTTACTGTACATAGATACAGGTTCATAATGCAGTATGCAAACCACTGCGCCAGCACTCCGATCACTACGTTCAAGACTCATGTGACAGATCATGAGATGTGTGGGCAAACGCACCCATAATTGTGAAAAACCTCCCGTTGGCGACCATGTTCAACGTGGACGTCCTTTGGTGGCACTCCCCTTCTCTGTTCAAACAACAGGGAAGACACGTGTTCATTCCAGGAATACTATAACTCATCAGCCACAATCGATCCACTGCTGGATGAAGGCCTCCCCAAACCATCACCATCTCTGGCAGCCCTGTGATGTAACAAATCATATAATTTTGATTTAAAACTTTCGTGACTGCAGCGATTCATATTCTTGGTTCTTTCGGTAAAGTCACGTAGAAGGGAAATAATAAAATAATATAAATATAAAACAACAATTCTCACGACGTTTCGACTGCAACACAAGCAATCATCATCAGGTGTGAAATCCACAGCAAGAAAATTTGAAAAAAAATTGTTATTGTTTTATATTTGTATTATTTTATTATTTCCCTTCTACGTGACTTTACCGAAAGAACCAAGAATATAAATCATATAATTGTTTTATTATGCTCGTTTGTCCAAGAAAGCCTCACTGAGTCTCATGGATATTTTTCAGGGCGCTCTTGCCAAGTGTTTTGCAGTAGGGAAGGCGATTATTGCTTTGTATATTCCAATTGAGTAATTTGTTCAAACTTGAACCATAACGCCGGCACGTAATGCCCGCCTACTCTTGCGAATGACATTACTGGATCTGCAACGTCCACTGCCAAGCAGACTGTGCGCATATTATGTAGTTAATAGACCCGCAGTAATTTACAGGACGGCCGCCAATTTCGAACCGTGAACCTCTGCGAACGTACGACCTCTAGCCAACGTCACTTCCCCAAACAAGGACGTACAATGCACGTTGTTGTGGCGGACAGTGGTTGCAGATGAAAATGAAACGGTGGTATTTTCTCGTTTCATGCAACTCGTCGACTGGGAGGTTTTCAGTCACAGGAGCGCCAAAGCCGGCGGCGGCTTCATCAGCCGAGTTTTGACATCGACAGCTGCCTAACAGAACTGGTCTAGCGAGGGTCCACATCATTGGTAGAGTTTTGACGCTGTGCTCGCATTTCAGTCATCGATTAGGCGTGATAGGGTAGGTGTGTTTACAGTAGGAACACCCCTGGTGGATATATTGGCAGGTAAACCGGTTGCTTTAATTAGCAATAAAAAAAACAGGTGACACATTCTACACAAGGCAAACCGTGAATGCAATTTCTCCTTAAACTACATATTGTCGTGCAGGCAGACAGTAATGTTGCCCTAATGACTGTTAATGTTAATAAATTAGTGATGTTTCAACTAATAAAACCCAATTGTCTAATTTCAATTCCAATATTTGGAATCGATCGTCGGGTTGAAGTCGACTCCATTGCAAAATAAAATCCATTTTTCAGGCATATGGACTTCCCGTCGCACGCAGACTTTAGCTTTGTGAAACCGCGTTATGGGGCACTATGGACCAAAACCCTGCACTGTGACCTTGTTAAAAAGCCAGTTATGCTATACAGACAAGTATTAAACACGGGACAGAGTGATCCGATGTTGTGCATCATACATTTTGGCCCAAGCGCTGAATTTTGGGCTGAGAATTTCGAGAGAAGCTGGGGCAAAGCTGGGGGGGTGGGGGGGGAGTTTGGCCCCTTCCCGTTAGCCCCTGCAGCTACCACGGGTAGCAGCGGTGGGTTGCCGGGGTACGTTACCTGGCCTTGGTGGAGGTGACGGTGAACGTATCCTCCTCCTCCCCGGCCATGATCTCAAAGGAGCCGCCCCGGTGCTTCTGCACGTGACCGGGCAGGTACTGGCAGTTGCCGGCTATGGACACCACGTACCATTTCCCTAGGAACTGCGCGCAAGCATCCGCACGCAGGTAAACAACAACAAAGAACAGCAACAAACAGCCGCCATTCGCCAATGAGTGGTAAGTGATGTCACCACAACGCTTGTGCCAGGCTAGGTGCACCTTGAGTCCATCACGTCGTGGACGTGTGGAACTTTCTCTCGCTACTGGCAAGGAGGTCGAGGTCATGGCACACACCCGGGTTAATTTCCGTGGATGACTGGCAGAATCAGAATCTTTCATAATCTTAGGTTTTTTTGGTAAAGTCACGTAGGTAAAATTTATATTCTTAGGTTTTTTCGGTAAAGTCACGTAGGTAAAAAAACATTTTACCTACGTGACTTTACCGAAAAAACCTAAGAATATGAATCCTTGCAGTCACGAAAGCTTCAAACTCAGAATCTTTCGTTACACTGGAGAAATCTGATGAGCTATGAAGCTCTTTTTAACAGATGCCCAATCATAGACGGCACCGCCTTTGCTCCGGACTGCCCAGGTGAGCACACACACACACATGCGCAGCAGGCACATGTCGCCACAAACACAGGCAGCCTCACCCTCGCTTGCATTTCATTCAACTGCTTTGGACGAGTGTTGTTTGCGAGCGCCTATTATCGTATGTATCTTCTTGTTTTATTTTTATAATAAAATTAATTTTATTATGTTTTATTTTTATTATTTTATTACTTCCCTTCTACGTGACTTTACCGAAAGAACCAGGAAGATGAATCCCTGCAGTCACGAAAGCTTTAAATCAAAATATCGTATGTATGTTGAACTTCTTTCGCGCCGTATGTAGCCAACCGTGATAATCGGCGTTGTGGCTGTCATTGGTAAAGGATGCTTGGGAGTGGTGAGGCCATCAACCATGATCATTGCTGCCTTTCTCGTGCTCTCTCTTCAAGCTGATTTAGCAGACCATATTATAGCAGCTACACACTTTAGGCCGAGTCAACCTAAGGGCAGTGCTAGTATACATGAAATATGTATTGTACTTTTGTTGCCGGAGAGAGTTGTACCCACGTCTTAGTTTGTAAAATATATATAATGCTACAGTCAGCACTCTAAATGCGGGTTTCGGTCTGAATATAGCTGTAAGTTACCCACTATTTTTGACACTCGTGATTAAAATGTATTTGAGCTCAAATTCAACATTGCCATGAAAGTCACGAGCAATTTAGATGCACCGTGTACAATATGTCATGCGAACCGTTGGGCTATGTATTTAGCTCGGGCCTTCTTCCATCTTAACTGCAATGTTATAGCACAGAACGAGGTACTTTGAACTGCTGATTAACAATTAGATGGGTTCTCCAATCTGACGCTTTAAAAACTTTTTTTCATTCTAAACAAAACGAAGATTATTAAGTTTTGCCTTGAAATTAAATTTTTCGTGCAAGGTAAAATGGTCAGTACCCAATGCAAGCTTATATGGTGCACTGACTACAAATAACAAAAGTAACACACTTGTAAACATTTAATTACATAGGCAATTTTGACCAAGTGACTTAGTTACAAGTTTAATTAATGTTTTAGGCTCTAATAAGAAGCCAAAATTGTATACAAATGTAGTCAACGCTATGCATATACTGTAACTAGAAAATTCCATAAGCCAACATTTCTGAAGTTGGGTCGCCAAAATATTATGCCCCGGAGATTCATTATTTTCACTCGTAGTGTATCAACCAAACATTCTGAATTGCGTATGTCGCTTACTCAACACCTTAACCAGGCGCCGGCAACAAACATAACAAAAAGAGCTTCTTATTTTCGATTTCGCTAAAAATCTCAATTTAACACGTAAGCTTTCGACCAATATCATCCATAATTGATGGTTTTTGGAGGGGGGGGGGGTTAGGTCACGTAAATATATAAATGTGTCGTTCTCTATAAAGAAAATATCTCAATATTTGAAGAGCATGCACAGAATGCGGTGTGAATGGCGATGTCACGAAGCAGTTATTTAAAGAGCCGCAGGTTGGCGACCACATGGCCTAAACTATGACCCCCGCAATCGGTGAACCGAGTATTTCGCCTCCTGTTGCGTCTGACCTTAAAGCAAAATAGCGAGCAGACGAAGCTTCACAACCTGGTCACAAGTACAATCAACTCTCGTCATTGTTAGTCGTAACGGGTATGTACAATTAGGAACGAAATAACTCGACGAAAAATGAACACGGTATGCCAGCAGGTCGGCCGGCCAGCCAGCCAAGTTACCTTGGTCACGTCAAAGTTCTCCTGGACTTGAATCTCATCTTCGCTGGGGTCCGTGGGCGCTGCGTCCACATAGAACACAACCGCCAGCAGCAGGCACAATACGAGCTTCATGTTTTCCTGGTGGCTTTGCAAGCCCTTTGCTCTCTGGCTCTCTTGCTTCGCTCTGGCTCGCTTGCTTGCTGCTTGATTGCCCTCTGTGCCACCGCCCGCAATTGTGTGTCCGGTGGGCACATTCACAAGTCACCCACCCACCCAGCCACCCACCCACCCACGCTGCGCCAGCATCCCGCGCGTTATCGGCAGCACCGTCAGCATAAATATATAAATCGGTGCACAGGGCATGTTTGTGAAAGATTGCACGGAATTCTTTGTGCCTTGTGTTTGATACAGCGGTTTGGCATTCCGCAGTGTGTTTTTTTTTCTTTCTCCCATGTGTTTGCGCGAATGCGCTTTGCACGTGACTTTGTTTGCGTCAATAGTCATCAGTTCTTTTACAATGATCGTGATGACACTCGTGTCTATCCTTGGTACCGCGGTTAGCGCTTTGTTCTATGGATCTGGCGACCTGGACTAAAGTTGAATGGCATTGCTAACATTGCCCACCCCCCCCCCCCCCCCTGCAATGACCAGTAATGTGCTGTAAAGTTACAGCCACCATGACAAAGGAGCTGTTCACAAAGAGCTGTGCAAACATGTCATGTTATTTTTTTATATCCTGTGATGGGGATTATACAAAAAAATATTCCAATGTTTTTCCTGTTCAAAGTAACATTTTGTTACGTTCCAATTTTTTTCTGGCTCTTGTTATTTTCTGTTCCATTCCCCGGGTTTCTTGGAAAGTTTATTTAAAATTCCTTAAAAATTATTGGAATGAAAACAAAGAAAACGTTCATTATTGTCCCAGCAGTAAGCATGACTACCAATGGCATGGGCTGCTCAGAGCACGTGACGAAGTCTGATGCAACACACTGTGCACTATAAATAATAACAAGAGAAACATTCTCAATAACAAATGGTCGATTTTAAACCAGCAATACTCGTCGACCTTTATTTATGAAATTCAACGCATCTCATGATTCCCAAGGTGTATCAATCATGCTTGAAGGTTAAAATAGCCAAAGGTTCCCATAAGGGGCCGCCCATAAATTACGTCACGCACATAGGGGGGGGGGGGGGTCAGACATCTGTGACGATGTGTGACGAGGAAAGGGGGTTTGAGAAATGTGACGTCACATCAAAATGCGCAACTTTAAATAAATCTAGACAACACGTTCTCTTTAATTAAATAGACTTTATAATAAATGTTTTCTCCTACAACATCAGAGTGCAGCGCCACATTAAATACGCACTACAATGACAATAGTTTAAAGCGATATGAAGCATGTTTTATTTGGGGGGGGCGGCAGAGCTTTGTGACGTCACATTTGAGGGGGGGGTCTGACTTTTTGTGACGCTGTGTGACGAAGGGGGTAGGGGGTCAAAAATCGAGTGACGTCATTTATGGACGGCCCCTAAGGTTATTTTTACACTTAAAATACTGTTGAATTTTGTGGATATGGGAGTGTTATTGCCAGATACCATTATCTGCACCAATCAGCAAAAAGAACTCCCAGACAATCCACATTGCTGTATGCAGGTAAACGCAGATAACATTGTGAATTTTCTGCCAATTCCGGATGACTCCTCTTATATTCATGATAATAAAATGTATTTAGTCTTGCCAGGGGACACTTATGGCTGACTCAACCATAGATAAACACAACCAATTAAATCAAATTTGCATGTCATTCCTTTTTTTGTGAAAAGCAGATAATTCGAAGACTCCATATGCGTATATTAGGATTGTTTACACATTCACTATCACTGTAAATATATGTTGAATTTCTTTCACACCGTAAGTAGCCAACTAATCGGAGGTGCGGGGTAATATGGTTCATCCCATCCAGTGTTCAGAACCCATTTCCTTCTCATGTTAAACATCGCCTCCAAGTGCCCTACCCACTCGGCTACAGTCTCTCCACTGAATGATGCCGAGTTTTCTTTGTAAGTCTAGTGGAGTGGTCAGAGTGGTTAGCACAATGCAGTTTTAACTTGGGTGCAACGTTGACGAGATGTTAACTACCTCGCCCGTGATACAGGAGGTCGTTGGTTCGATCGCGACCTTGACGCCTGTGTATTTGGAGTTTGCATGTTCTCCACGTGGTCACGTGCGTTTTTCTCCAGGTCCTCCGGTTTTTCCTTCCACGTTTAGAATCGGCATGCGTTGAGAGTATTTGCCTGCTTTTAAATTCCCACGCGATAAGCCACTTCGTTTGTTATTTGTGGCCAGGTCGCTTCTGAAAAGGAGCAATTTAGCTCGATGGACCTCACGTGGTAGAGTAAAAAATAGTTTAAAGTTTAGTTTAAATCTTGTCTGATGTGAACGTATCCACACTTTGACCCCCACTGCACGAGTTTACTAGTGCACCCATTCATACTGCTTGGTGGACAAGCGCAGGGAATAAAAACTAAAAACTTGCTCCATTGTCTCTGCCGCACCAGGAGATCGAATCCAACCGGCGACCTCTGGATCGCAAGTCCAGTGTGCTAAGCGATACACCACAGAAGAGGTATGAGAATGTATTGTTGGAAAATGTAATCATTGGACATATTCTATGAGTGTCCAAAAACTTAACGTCTAAAAGCTGTTGCTCATCATGAACAGGTTTTTTTTTTACCCCTTTTGTATGCAGTCGTGAGTGCAATTCTCTACGGTGAATCTTGCCCGTGAAAAATTTCCCGTGGCTTTCGACCACCCTGTCACAGTCCTCGCTTACAAACACATCGACAACACCTCCAGACAGTCGCGTAGCTATCAAGCGAGTGTGTAGGCAGTGCCACTGCTCTCCCCATGGTCGCGTGGAGTTTTCTCCGGGTCCACACTGGTCCCCCCCCCCCCCCCACACACATTTTAGAAACACGCGTTTAGAATATTTGACTGCTATTTCCACACGATATGACGCCACTTCGTTGACCAGTGGGCCTTACTTGGTAAAATAAAAATAGTAAAAAATTGTTTATAAAATTGAAAATAAAATAAAAACTGCACCCAGGTCCATGGGCCGAAGCAGGCCAATCTCTGGGCATGTAGACTGGGGAAGTTTGACCGAGGACGCCATTCCATTTCATGTGTAGTGGTGTTAACTACTCGCTGTCCGCAAACTGAGAGAGCGGATCGTAAACAAGGTTTTCCCGCTCAATCAAACGGTCAGGGTCAAATGGGGTGAGGTAGGATCCAAACGCCAGATTGGGAAGGACCAATCAGAGGGTCTCACAAGGTGGCCGGGGATTGGACAACCCGGCCACGAACAGATATAAAAGCCAGAGCGCTGAGAGCTCTTGGCCAGTTCTGCTACACGAAAACCCAAGTCGGCCGAAGACATCTAGGACCCTGGACCAAGCCCTCCAGCCCTTATCAGGGCTAGGGCTCAGTGTAACCAGTGGTCGGGGAGAGATCCCCTAGGTCCAGCCAGAGGACGCTGGGAGAGCAGGGAGATTAGACAGCCTGCAAGGTCCGGAGGCTGTACCTCCTCAGGGTAACGGGTGAGGGGACCATATACCCCTTTGTGTGATAGCGACTGTGTATTAAGACAATAAACAGTGTGTGCCATAAAGAAGTTTAGAAGTCCGTCCTTTACGACACTACACATGTATCAGGGCCCATGCTGACCAATCCATGCGATCGCCTCCACTATTGGCCACAGGTGGAGTTTGACTTCGATATTTGGGAGGGCAGGGGTTCGCTTTGTCCCTCACATTAGGAATCGCAGGTACATGTAATACATTTATTTTTAATCCTAATTTTAAACTACTGAAAATAAGTTAATAAAGGTGCTCAGTTTGGGGGGGACATTGCCCCCCCCCGTGCCCCTCTAATCTCCTCCCATACTCTTGTTCCTCTTCCATAACAGGGATCATTGAGAGCGTCTCTCTCCTTTTCATCATGGGAGGAACAGTGCTGAAAAAGTGGCTATGAAATGGCAGTATCGCATTGGATCGAATCCATGCATGCAGAGGTTTTTGAGCGTTAACCTCTCGTACTCCTCCTACATGCCAATCACTCCATTATGGAATTGGATAAATATTTCATAAGGAGGACCCTCCTAAACAAATCTAGAGACTCGGTGAGGCTTCGTTGCATAAGCAAAATATATTGCCTTGTTATTAGTAAGTCACTCTGAATCACAAATCATATACGTTTCAGATGCAGTGCACAAATCAGCTTTATTTTCGTAATTTCATTGTGGCAGTCATTTATTCACACTTCTTTTGAGATATGTTACAGTTCTAAAATAAATGCGGCAGAATATGATCGTGGAGGTATTCCATCTGGAAATACCGACAGCCAACACGTGCCAACTGACAGCGATGGTCCAAGCACTGCTATGGGAAATAATAATCTGCCCTGTGTCAACATATCTTACATGCTTGATGTCATTTGCGTCTATATGTGCGGCTTAAGCGATGTTCACGTCTTTTTAATGAGGATCTGTCTTGTTCTACGCGGGTAGACATTGGAGGTTGTTTACTCCTACAGAGTGCGTGGCACCAGAATCAAACCCTGTTCTCCAGCGATGCACTCGTCTGAAAATGACAAATCACAGCAATCGCATTATTTGGTTCATCCATTGTCTTTCCGCAGACGAATGTCGGCAGAAAAAGCAATGCTGTAATTACAAGGCAGCGAGAGAGCATTACTTTGATGCTTAATATCGATTTGTACACGCACGCTGTGTATTGAATCAGGCGCGTGAAAATAATTTGAACAATTCATTTTGTGCAAACCATATGCTGATGTTGAATTTAGCATAATAAGGCAAATAGAGCCATATGCTTGAGGCAAACCCAACGGACAATGCAGGTGAGACAGAAAAATTATGAAAATTAACTATTCTTGAATCCAATTGCGTTCCTGAATTGTGACAATTCATTGCATTTCTGCGAAACTGAATCAAATACATATGATTTACCAAATTTCACTACTGCAATCATAACCCTCACTACTTTCCATAGTAAATTATTGTCGTCAAATATAATTTATATTTATAGAGCGCCTAAGCTCGAGGCACTTTACATAGTTTAAAAAGCTATATCCAAAATCTGGTAATTTACATGGCAGAGGCGTGCGAGGGCTGAGGAATAAGTGACCATAACAGAGGGCACGTGGGGGTCGCGAAAGGGCAGGGGAGGGATGGAACGGGGCGGAGTGGAGGGCTGAGGAATAAGTGACCATAACAGAGGGCACGTGGGGATGAGACGGGACGGAGTGGAGGGGCGAGAGGAGAGAAGCGAAAGGGAACTGGCAATGGGGAAGAGGTTGAGGCTTTGAGAGAGGAACAGAAGGTGGTTAAGGAGGGGGGACTGCTTAATGAAGACGGGAAGTTTATTCCAGTGGAGGGGTGCAAAGAGGGAGAAGGATCGAGAAGGGGACTGGGCCCAGGGAGGAGGAGGTACACGGAAACAGACAAGATTGGGAATGAAGAGGATGAGAGGGGGGACATGCAAGGAGATGAGAGAGGCAAGATAAGGTTGGTCAAGGCCATCGAGAGATGTCAAGGCTTCGTGTAAGGTATTTGACGAAACAGCGACAGTCAACGGGAAGCCAGCGAAGTTGAAGGAGGAGAGGCGAAATGTAAGAATTAAATGGGAGATTTCAAATGAATCCTTATCAGTCTCTAGTATTCTTATTTTTTTAATCCTTATTGCTTCAGGACAGCATTTCTTCAACTCCATTCCTCACAGCCCCACACAGTGCAGCTCTCCGTGATTGCATACCACCAGGTGCTTAATTTTCACGATTATCTTAAAAGCATTGTCATGACGGATGGCCGTAGAGTGATGCTCTGTGATTCTACAGAAATGGTGCATGCTACCAGCACGTTTCCACCTACGAGCTGATTGAAAATAGGAAATTCTTCACCATTACAAGTACAGTGATTCATTACCGATTATACGTAATAACCATCAGTGAAACAGACAATATTTACACACACACAAAGACTTATACACATGTGTGTGTATAGATGTATAAATATGTACACGCATGTAACGATACTTGAGAATACAAATACATTTATAGATGCAGGTACATATCCACAGACACTGTTGATACACGTAGAAACATATTGACACATTCCCTAAAGTAGAAACACAATACATATGTTAAGGCCAAACTAAACAGTGCTGGAGCGCGTACCGGTGTAAGGCAGTGGGAAGACGTTCTCCTCTGCGAGTCCCATCTCCAGGCTCAAACTGCGGAATTCGTTCATGAGATCCTCGCTGACGTCCGGTGATCTGGCTGTGGAAGAACGATGCAAGATTTACCGCCATCATGGTTGTGCGGCGTAGCTCGAACGTGAAAGCCAATGGGGTGTTCGCGTTGCGCTGCGTGTTGCTTGGCACGATGGCTGACGGCTTCGATGCACGTGCTCGCTCGCAGCACGTGGAGCGGACGCACAGATGTCGTGCTGATGAGCAAATATGCAGTACAACTAAAAAACACACAGGATTCACGGTTCAAATTCCGTGTCGACTCTGCAGATTGAGCCACATGACAAAATCATGGCCTGACTAATGTTAAGCACCGAGATGACCTGTGTAATGTTTGGTTGCAAAGCACTTTTTAAATCCTTTACATTAAGTTCACTTGCTTGCTTGCACACTTATGACCGTGCAAATCTTTCGGTCGTTTTTTAACCCATTTCCCGTGATCCAATCGAGCTGACATTTTGCACACAGACTCGTTGTGCCAGACAATTAATGTTCGTTAAATTTTTTTTCTAAAATTTTACACTTTTTAGGAAAAAAAAATTGTATTTAATTACCAATTGCTTAATGGTGGCAGGCAATCATCTGACCCATAGGTGGCAGCCATCTCAAGCCAAAGGACGAGAGGACTCTAGCCGCCACGCATATTAAGGATTTATAGTGAAAAACTTTGTTTTTACGGGTTAATTTTTTCTCTTATTCTCATGCAACGAATGCCCTGTCGATCAACATGCATCATCACTCCATCGGGTATTATTTCACGTATCAATCCATACATTCGTTTACTTTCCACAAAACAAATGAATTGCATAGATTAAGATGCATCAATCAATGAGGTTTGAGAAGAGTGGGGTTGAAAGGTGGCTTAAACATAAATTACAATTTGCAACCGTTTGTCAAATCCACTGTTGGATAAGGCGCTCCCCACACCATATAGGTCATGTGGGTCGTTTTACTATACTCCTCCCCCCCGCCCCCCACTACTGGTTAGTGCGATGGATGAGCCGTGATCTCGTTGGCCCACTTTCGGGCGGATGAGCCACTGGGATCCTCCGATTGCCTCGGTCTCCTTTGCTATTGGATCCAAGTCCCATGCTGATTACGCATGGTGTGGAAACTAATGCGCAAAAGTGTCCTCGCGTTGATCTGCTCACGCGTAGGCGTCCTCCATGAAAGAAAACTGCGTACCCACGGAACCCTGACAATCATCGCTGATCATGGTTAGTGTGAGTTGGTGAAGCAGGGAATTCCAGGACCAGTTATGATATCAGCCGACACTTATGCTAGCTGCGGCTGGGAATCGAACACCGTTTGCCGGGTTCATGATTCGGTGTGTGGACCACTGTGCCACCACTACGGCCCATTTGTTTTTATTGAGAGCCCGGCACTTCTATGCCACAATCACAATACTGACGTATGAGAAGTCACTGTGTGTAATTATCCTGCCACACGACTTCTCACCTCACTCTCCCACATCTCACTATACCCTGGTATCTCTCTGCCCTCCCCAGATCTCATCGTCACGCTCTCCATTCCCCCTTCCGCCTCGCCGGACTCATCCGTCGCACATCGTCGGTGAAAAACACTGATCATCTTCTTGGTTCTTTCGGTAAAGTCACGTAGAATGGAAATAATAAAATAATAAAAATAAAACATAATAAAATAATTCTCACGACGTTTCGGCCACAACGCAAGCAGCCGTCCTCAGGTGAAGAACAGGTCTGTCGAGAAGACAGAGTCTGAATGACACACCCCAGGCTTGGAGCGTCTATTTAAGCTGGGTTGGAGGGGGGGGAGAGCGCCTTGACAAAATAATTTGCATATCAAGAGGAATTTAGCATATTTATGGGAAATGCAGATATGCGATTAGAAGTCAATATCATGTGAGCCCACTGAATTGTAACAGTGATCTGCCACGGCTGAGGTGTTTGTCCTACCGTGTTTCAAGTCTGCTTTATGTTCACGGATGCGGTCCGAGACATGTCGTTTGGTTTCTCCAATGTAACTGCTACCACAGAGGCAACTTAGTTTGTAGACGCCAGGGTACTGTATGTCTAGAACCACACCGATCAGCTGCCATTTCTTTCTTATTCTTCTTCTGCTTCTCTTGCCGGCCATAGAACCCAAAGAGCACTTTCACCGCAACACAACCAAGTCTTACCCAGCATGCGCATGGTCCGTATGATTTTGCCCTCCTTAACTTTGCCGTAGTAGAGTATTGCGTACTTCTCGTAGTCGGTGCGTATGACCGTCAGGGTCATGTGCCTCGAGTGTCTCCATTCTGGACGCACACACGGACGAGAAACGAGGCGATCACGTGTGACCCTTCTTATGCATTCGTTATTACAGCGAACACAACAGTGTGTCGAGCTCTACACAGAGTGGAGTCTCTCTATGCGATCGCGTTGTACCTACAGAAATACTGGAATCGTATCCTTCTGCAGGGTTGTCCGTAGAGGTGTCGTCCATTATGAACAGTTATAATGGCACGCAGCATATCTGTCAACCCATACAGTTTACCCCGTATTCTTGTACAGGGAAATTGAGTTTGTAGGTCCATACGGCGTGCAGCCGTTTCAATGCGGGCAAAAAAATGTCTTTGTGTTTCTCCCTTGTGATTAGATTTTGTAGGATGAACGTTGATATTTAGAAGGGCACGGGGTGGCCAGTAAGGTCTGAATTGGTCTGTAATAAGATAGGCACTGATAAGGGGTTGACAGGTTTGCGATAGTTTGAGCTAGTTCACTGAAAATTGAACTATAGATACGCTCGCATGAGTTGATGGATTTCATCCTTCTAAACATCAATGTATTTGTTGATGACACAAAATCGTGTCTAGATTTGACGGACACCCAGGTATTTTACCCCAGTTTCCGGGGGTACAATTGTTTCAGATGCTTCTGTCATGTGCTGTTGAAGAGCCCTCACTCCAAAACGAATATGTTACCAAAATCTCAACCATGCAGTTCAAACTGCTGTGTAATTATCATTAATTAACATGTGATAGTTTTGTGATCGGCACCAATTTATGTGGAATTTGGATTTGCACTTTTGTTGAATTCTGACAGCTGAGAGAGCTGTGACGTTATGATTGTGCTTATCAGCAGGAGATAGATGTTTGCCACAAACACAAAAAAACAGCTTTAAATAAATGAGTTTACAAGCTAAATTTAGAAGTGCATAGTTCCAGTGGCTTCCAAATATCGGATAGAAGAGCGTTCCAGACAGCCACAGAAGCCCACCTGAAAGTGCGCGATGCAGTGACCGTCTTTCTTACGGATTAAACATTTATGTTAAAAGGTTAATGGAGCAGCCCAGAAATTGCTTGCTCACACCACCTGCTGGTGGAAGGACGTCAACTAAAATAATAATAATAATAGTTCAATTCGTAACGCGCGCAAATTTGCAGACGTAGTGGCCGCAACTCAGAGGCGCGGAGCCAAGCTCGGAGTCGCTCGAAAGCACGGTTGTAGAGGTGAGTTGTTAAGTCTCTCTTGAAGGAGGCGATTGAGGTGATGCTGCGAATGTGCAGAGGGATATCGTTCCAGACTGTTGGGGCTGCCACCGAGAAGCGGCGCATAGACATGACCATCCTGGTCATGTCTATAGACATGACCAGGATGGTCATGTCTATGGGGGGGGGGGGGCACTAGAGAGCCCCTCCACATCGTATTTTGGCCTCCTCTTCCACGCTGAGAAGATATCTCGGATGAGGTTGGCGTACCAGCTGATAAACGAAACTGTGGTGAACCCGTTTATGCTGCTGGGGTGGACAGATGTGGGGAGGATTTAATAAACGTGTCCACGACGTACAATGCATTTGTATGTACACGTATGTAACATCGATGTGCATTAATTGATTGAACTTAAAGAAAATACAGAAACAATGAAATATGAGTCCGGTAATGTAAACATGTACGTGTATACCTGTGCATGTACGTGTGTTTGGTTTGGCCTTAACATATGTATTGTGTTTCTACTTTAGGGAATGTGTCAATATGTTTCTACGTGTATCAACAGTGTCTGTGGATATGTACCTGCATCTATAAGTGTATTTGTATTCTCAAGTATTGTTACATGCGTGTACATATTTATACATCTATACACACACATGTGTATAGGTCTTTGTGTGTGTATATATATTGTCTGTTTCACTGATGGTTATTGCGTACAATAGGTAATGAATTACTGTACTTGTAATGGTGAAGAATTTCCCATTTTCAATCAGCTCGTAGGTGGAAACGTGCTGGTAGCATTCACCATTTCTGTAGAATCACAGAGCATCATAAAATACATTCAGTCATGATCACTCAGACATTCAAACAGTGTGGTCCTGCTTAGAATGACATTGAGAGACAGAAAGCATATGCGGGTTAATGACATCCATATTACAAAAAGTGGTCTTGGGAAGTACACGTAGCTCTGAAGGTTATGGTCCAGAATTAAAGCAGAGTGACAAAGTGGGAATGAAACCAAGAGTCCGGGAGGATGATGGAACAATGAAATCGATTCAAGGGCAAGTGCTGGATGGATCATTGCACCGCAAGATCTTGAGAGGTGGTGCCGGGTTGGGATAGGCCTTTATCCAGCGGTGGATTATCATGAGTATCAAGGCTAAGCATGTAGTCCTTGCTGCTACTGCAATAATAACTATTATCCACTATCGGCCATGATTTTGTCCACTTGGATGAAGACCTCCCTCAGCCATTGCCATGTCTCACAGCCTTGTGGGGTCACAATGCATCTTTAACACCTACACGTGAGCCAATGCCATCGCTAGATTCCCACGGTAACCATAGGTTTTAGCGCTTTTGGAAAACTGAACTTACTGAAACTCAACTCCGAGGAGAGCGTGTATAATCAGTGTGAATTACCTGCTGTGCCATACGGATCAGAAACATGGAAATGAACAAACACAATCGAATAAAAGACGAAATGTGCACAAAACCAGGGGAGACCTGCATACCTGGAATGCCACTCGGTGGCAGAATGAGAAACATGTGGGTTGGAGAACATAGGCAAGTTAGAGATGTCGTATTGATATCGCACCTCCGATTAGCAGGATTGGCTACGTACGGTGCAAAAGACGTTCAACATATTGTTAAGAAAAGTGGGGCTTGGGCAGAGCACATCGCGAGAAGGGTCGATGGCCTATGGTAGAGCCAGTGACCGAGTGGCAGTCAAAGGAGAGAACATGCCCAAGAACACTGCAATAATGAACCACCAAAATCAACACATCTTAGCAATACTCTAGGAAAGTGGTGTGAACAACAAATATCTTGCCATCTGATGAATCTATAAACTAGTTTTATTTCACCAGGTAATGCCCACTGAGCCATATAGCTTTTTTCCGAATCGACCTGGCCACAAATGATAGCCACAAAGGATAACAAAGCGGCTTTTCACGTAGAAATCTATAGCAGCCAAATATTCTATAAAGTCATGTTTCTAAACGTGGAGAGAATACCCGGAGGACTCGGAGAAAAATCCACACGACCACGGGGAGAACATGCAAACTCCAAATATACAGCAGGCATCGTTAGGGTCGGGATCAATCCCACGACCTCCTGCATACCAGGCGAGGTATTTAACATCTCGCCACCGTGACTGCGCCAGCGACAGGACCTCGGGACCCATGCAGGAAGTTGTCGTTTACTTGGACTTGGTGGACGTGACGGTGAACTTGTTTTCCTCCTCGCTGGCCTCCAGCTCCATCTTAAAGCTCCTGCTGAGCTTGGTGTACTTGGCCACGTAGTTGCAGTTGCTGGCCAAGGCGGTCACGTACCACGTGCCCAGGAACTGCCGTTCAGCCGGGGTGAGAGCGACGGGTTTGAACAAGATATTTTAAACAAAAGGGCATCGCGCCGGCATTTCGGTGAGCACAGATCGATTATGATGAAGGCGACGCAGAATAATATAGCAAATAGGGAACCTTGTTTTTGTTTTAAACGTGGTAGGACTGCATCGGCGAATGCCGGAAGAAGCTAGGAGTGAGATTTTGGAGCAAGGAAGAGAGAATTGCAATACCGGTGGCATAGCGTAATTGGCATGGGCCCTGTCCAATGTGTAGTGCCATAAGAGGGGAGAGGCTGCTGGGGGCTCTGGGATCCTAGGCAGATAAGCCCTCGGCGCCAGGCGCGAGGATCCCAGGCACCCCAGACACTTAAGCCCCTTGGCGCCACCAACGGGGGGGCTGTGTGTGCTCTGTGGGATATCTGGGGGCGCACACAACCCCACCCCTCGTTGGGGACGAGGCATAAAAGGGCAGCTCCCTGGCCGATCGAGTCCAGTCGCAGCTCAAGACCCAAGACCCGCCAGCCAGCCAGCTTAGGACCCTGAGCCCCCTCGTCCCGCTTGTCCTTGTAAGGGCCGGGACGCTGTGAGGGCCAGTGGTGGGACTCTGGGACTCCCGGCTCTACGTCCTTGTGAGGGCGAGTTCCGAGGAAGTGTCTCCGGAACCCATTACAAATGTGTCCTCTTAGTAGGCTGGTAGGGGTGGTCAGTGCTGAGTGGTGGGGGTGGTCAGTGTTGAGTGGTAGGGGTGGTCAGTGCTGAGTGACAGGGGTGGTCAGTGCTGAGTGGTGGGGGTGGTCAGTGCTGAGTGGTAGGGGTGGTCAGTACTGAGTGACAGGGTGGTCAGTGCTGAGTGGTGGGGGTGGTCAGTGCTGAGTGGTAGGGGTGGTCAGTACTGAGTGGTAGGGGTGGTCAGTGCTGAGTGGTGGGGGTGGTCAGTGCTGAGTGGTGGGGTGGTCAGTACTGAGTGGTGGGGGTGGTCAGTGTTGAGTGGTAGGGGTGGTCAGTACTGAGTGACAGGGGTGGTCAGTGCTGAGTGGTGGGGGTGGTCAGTGCTGAGTGGTGGGGTGGTCAGTACTGAGTGGTGGGGGTGGTCAGTACTGAGTGGTGGGGTGGTCAGTACTGAGTGGTAGGGGTGGTCAGTGCTGAGTGGTAGGGGTGGTCAGTGCTGAGTGGTGGGGGTGGTCAGTGCTGAGTGGTAGGGGTGGTCAGTGCTGAGTGGTAGGGGTGGTCAGTGCTGAGTGGTGGCGGGGGTCAGTACTGAGTGGTGGGGGTGGTCAGTGCTGAGTGGTCGGGGTGGTCAGTACTGAGTGGTAGGGGTGGTCAGTGCTGAGTGGTAGGGGTGGTCAGTGCTGAGTGGTGGGGGTGGTCAGTGCTGAGTGGTAGGGGTGGTCAGTGCTGAGTGGTAGGGGTGGTCAGTGCTGAGTGGTGGCGGTGGTCAGTACTGAGTGGTGGGGGTGGTCAGTGCTGAGTGGTGGGGTGGTCAGTACTGAGTGGTGGGGGTGGTCAGTGCTGAGTGGTAGGGGTGGTCAGTGCTGAGTGGTAGGGGTGGTCAGTGCTGAGTGGTGGGGGTGGTCAGTGCTGAGTGGTGGGGTGGTCAGTACTGAGTGGTGGGGGTGGTCAGTACTGAGTGACAGGGGTGGTCAGTACTGAGTGACAGGGGTGGTCAGTGCTGAGTGGTGGGGTGGTCAGTGCTGAGTGGTAGGGGTGGTCAGTGCTGAGTGGTGGGGGTGGTCAGTGCTGAGTGGTAGGGGTGGTCAGTGCTGGGTGGTAGGGGTAGTCAGTGCTGAGTGGTGGTCAGTGCTGAGTGGTAGGGGTGGTCAGTGCTGAGTGGTAGGGGTGGTCAGTGTTGAGTGGTAGGGGTGGTCAGTGCTGAGTGGTAGGGGTGGTCAGTGCTGAGTGGTGGGGGGTGGTCAGTGTTGAGTGGTAGGGGTGGTCAGTGCTGAGTGGTAGGGGTAGTCAGTGCTGAGTGATGGTCAGTGCTGAGTGGTAGGGGTGGTCAGTGCTGAGTGGTAGGGGTGGTCAGTGTTGAGTGGTAGGGGTGGTCAGTGCTGAGTGGTAGGGGTGGTGAGTGCTGAGTGGTGGGGGTGGTCAGTGTTGAGTGGTAGGGGTAGTCAGTGCTGAGTGGTAGGGGTGGTCAGTGCTGAGTGGTAGGGGTGGTCAGTGCTGTGTGGTAGGGGTGGTCAGTGTTGAGTGGTAGGGGTGGTCAGTGCTGAGTGGTAGGGGTAGTCAGTGCTGAGTGGTGGTCAGTGTTGAGTGGTAGGGGTGGTCAGTGTTGAGTGGTAGGGGTAGTCAGTGCTGAGTGGTGGGGGTGGTCAGTGTTGAGTGGTAGGGGTGGTCAGTGTTGAGTGGTGGGGGTGGTCAGTGTTGAGTGGTAGGGGTGGTCAGTGTTGAGTGGTGGGGGTAGTCAGTGCTGAGTGGTAGGGGTGGTCAGTGTTGAGTGGTGGGGGTGGTCAGTGTTGAGTGGTGGGGGTGGTCAGTGTTGAGTGGTAGGGGTGGTCAGTGCTGAGTGGTAGGGGTGGTGAGTGCTGAGTGGTGGGGGTGGTCAGTGCTGAGTGGTAGGGGTAGTCAGTGTTGAGTGGTAGGGGTAGTCAGTGCTGAGTGGTAGGGGTGGTCAGTGCTGAGTGGTGGGGGTGGTCAGTGCTGAGTGGTGGGGGTGGTCAGTGCTGAGTGGTGGGGGTGGTCAGTGCTGAGTGGTGGGGTGGTCAGTACTGAGTGGTGGGGGTGGTCAGTACTGAGTGACGGGGGTGGTCAGTGCTGAGTGGTGGGGTGGTCAGTGCTGAGTGGTAGAGGTGGTCAGTGCTGAGTGGTAGGGGTGGTCAGTGCTGGGTGGTAGGGGTAGTCAGTGCTGAGTGGTGGTCAGTGCTGAGTGGTAGGGGTGGTCAGTGCTGAGTGGTAGGGGTGGTCAGTGTTGAGTGGTAGGGGTGGTCAGTGCTGAGTGGTAGGGGTGGTGAGTGCTGAGTGGTGGGGGTGGTCAGTGTTGAGTGGTAGGGGTGGTCAGTGCTGAGTGGTAGGGGTGGTCAGTGCTGAGTGGTAGGGGTGGTCAGTGCTGAGTGGTAGGGGTGGTCAGTGCTGTGTGGTAGGGGTGGTCAGTGTTGAGTGGTAGGGGTGGTCAGTGCTGAGTGGTAGGGGTAGTCAGTGCTGAGTGGTGGTCAGTGTTGAGTGGTAGGGGTGGTCAGTGTTGAGTGGTAGGGGTAGTCAGTGCTGAGTGGAGGGGGTGGTCAGTGTTGAGTGGTAGGGGTGGTCAGTGTTGAGTGGTGGGGGTGGTCAGTGTTGAGTGGTAGGGGTGGTCAGTGTTGAGTGGTGGGGGTAGTCAGTGCTGAGTGGTAGGGGTGGTCAGTGTTGAGTGGTGGGGGTGGTCAGTGTTGAGTGGTGGGGGTGGTCAGTGTTGAGTGGTAGGGGTGGTCAGTGCTGAGTGGTAGGGGTGGTCAGTGCTGAGTGGTAGGGGTGGTGAGTGCTGAGTGGTGGGGGTGGTCAGTGCTGAGTGGTAGGGGTAGTCAGTGTTGAGTGGTAGGGGTAGTCAGTGCTGAGTGGTAGGGGTGGTCAGTGCTGAGTGGTGGGGGTGGTCAGTGCTGAGTGGTGGGGGTGGTCAGTGTTGAGTGGTAGGGGTGGTCAGTGTTGAGTGGTAGGGGTGGTCAGTGCTGAGTGGTGGGGTGGTCAGTGCTGAGTGGTGGGGTGGTCAGTGCTGAGTGGTGGGGTGGTCAGTGCTGAGTGGTAGGGGTAGTCAGTGCTGAGTGGTAGGGGTGGTCAGTGCTGAGTGGTAGGGGTGGTCAGTGCTGAGTGGTGGGGTGGTCAGTGCTGAGTGGTAGGGGTGGTCAGTGCTGAGTGGTAGGGTGGTCAGTGCTGAGTGGTAGGGGTGGTCAGTGTTGAGTGGTGGGGCTGGTCAGTGTTGAGTGGTGGGGGTGGTCAGTGTTGAGTGGTGGGGGTGGTCAGTGCTGAGTGGTAGGGGTAGTCAGTGCTGAGTGGTAGGGGTGGTCAGTGTTGAGTGGTGGGGGTGGTCAGTGTTGAGTGGTAGGGGTGGTCAGTGCTGAGTGGTAGGGGTGGTCAGTGCTGAGTGGTGGGGGTGGTCAGTGCTGAGTGGTAGGGGTGGTCAGTGTTGAGTGGTGGGGGTGGTCAGTGTTGAGTGGTGGGGGTGGTCAGTGTTGAGTGGTGGGGGTGGTCAGTGTTGAGTGGTAGGGGTGGTCAGTGTTGAGTGGTGGGGGTGGTCAGTGTTGAGTGGTGGGGGTGGTCAGTGTTGAGTGGTGGGGGTGGTCAGTGTTGAGTGGTGGGGGTGGTCAGTGCTGAGTGGTAGGGGTGGTCAGTGCTGAGTGGTGGGGGTGGTCAGTGCTGAGTGGTGGGGGTGGTGAGTGCTGAGTGGTAGGGGTGGTCAGTGCTGAGTGGTAGGGGTGGTCAGTGTTGAGTGGTGGGGGTGGTCAGTGCTGAGTGGTAGGGGTGGTCAGTGTTGAGTGGTGGGGGTGGTCAGTGCTGAGTGGTGGGGGTGGTCAGTGCTGAGTGGTGGGGGTGATCAGTGCTGAGTGGTGGGGGTGGTCAGTGCTGAGTGGTAGGGGTAGTCAGTGCTGAGTGGTAGGGGTGGTCAGTGCTGAGTGGTGGGGGTAGTCAGTGCTGAGTGGTAGGGGTGGTCAGTGCTGAGTGGTAGGGGTAGTCAGTGCTGAGTGGTAGGGGTAGTCAGTGCTGAGTGGTAGGGGTGGTCAGTGCTGAGTGGTAGGGGTAGTCAGTGCTGAGTGGTAGGGGTGGTCAGTGCTGAGTGGTGGGGGTGGTCAGTGTTGAGTGGTGGGGGTGGTCAGTGTTGAGTGGTAGGGGTGGTCAGTGCTGAGTGGTAGGGGTGGTCAGTGCTGAGTGGTAGGGGTGGTCAGTGCTGAGTGGTAGGGGTGGTCAGTGCTGAGTGGTAGGGGTGGTCAGTGCTGAGTGGTAGGGGTGGTCAGTGCTGAGTGGTAGGGGTGGTCAGTGCTGAGTGGTGGTCAGTGCTGAGCGGTAGGGGTGGGCAGGGCTGTGTGGCGGTTGCACGCGACAAATACCCGCGAGGCGTCAAAGTCCTCCTGTGCTTGGACGTCGTCCTGCTCGCCATCCGTGGGCACCGCGTGGCCCTGACACAGGGCGCCGAGAAGCAGCAGCAGTAGGCACGCGATCCGCATGTTTGTTGCGAACCGTTCTCCTGTCGACGAGCTGAGCAGAGAACTTGGCAATTTGTCCGGGTACCCGTGCCTGCGGCCCTTTTATATTTGTGGCTGTAAACCATTGATTTGTCTTTATTGATTGGTATCTGCTTTATTTGCACAACGATGTTGTGTTAAGCGCTGCGTGTTTGTATGTATTTTATTGAAACGTGTATGATCATGTATGATGAGTGAGCACTTTTTCAAGTGGGAATGATTACCTTCATTGGCATTTGTGCTGGAAAGAAAGTTTGCTGTGTTTTTGTTACAAAATAGCCAAAATGAGAGTGTATACCGACTTGTGTATTGCTTTAAAATATATTTTGCAACATTTTAACAACATGGAAATTGTCTTTATTGCAGCATTTTAAAAATGAACGCATTAATTCTAAATGTTTATTAATTCGTGCATAAATTATCGTGAAAATAACTAAGAAATTAGATTTTCAACTCCATGACCCATTTTTAAATTGTATTTCACGAAAATGTCGCCGGCAGCTGCATCTTACGTTTTCTTAGTTTATCCATGAACGCTATGACATTTATGATGGTGCCAAGCTTTTCTATGACCTTTGTGGGCATTCCTTCGTGTGGAATGTGGACTTCTGAAGTGGTGCCAGTTTTTCTTCAATACAGCCACCTGGTTGATACAAACTCAGCTTTTACTGGTAGGAACCTCCTGGTTACACCAGCCCACAGGGGATTATTGTGTCCGTCCGTCGTGCAGGGAGGGGCTGGGTGGGGAGGGAGGGGCTGGGTGGGGAGGGGAGGGGCTGGGTGGGGAGGGAGGGGCTGGGTGGGGAGGGGAGGGGCTGGGGAGGAGAGGGTGGGGAAGGGCTGGGTGGGGAGGGTGGGGAGGGGCTGGGTGGGGAGGGTGGGGCTGGGTGGGGGGGGAGGGGTCGGGCTGGGTGGGGAAGGGCTGGTCACCCCGTGGTGCCCTTATAAAACTCAACGTTTAACCTACTCACGCCGGCTTGTGCCCGCCCTCAGTCGGCCATATTTGCGGAATACACCACGCCGCCATTGACCCTGGCCATTGACCGAGCAACCCAACGTTCCCACCAGCTCCCTCCGCAGGAATGTGTTTTACGTTTAGTTTGTTGTCCTTCCCCCGCACCCCTGATTAGCAGTTGACTACGTACTGCGCGAAAGAAGTTCAACATGCATACAGTCCATACGGGAGTTGCACAGAAGAAACGCTACATCCCAAGTCACACTTTTGCTCAAGATCTTGGAAGCGACAATTCCCATGTGTCACCCACAAACCATGCCTTTGAGTGTCTGTAACTCCGCAAGTGCATTCAGTGGGGATAGGTCAAAGTGGATGAAGACCCTGGCTGAAAAATGTGACGTTACTGGATGGCCTCAAGCTGCTTGGGTCACTATTCTGCATGCATCGCTCGACAACTCACATCACTGGTATATGCCAACAGAAAATGCTTCTCACTAGTCATGCGGAGATTTGAGCTTTTCTCGAAGAAAAGTTCCATCGGTGAAAAGCTGCCACCTGCAATAGATGCATTCCCAGAGCATGTAGAGAGTAAACTATTAATATCGTTGCATGAATCTCATATCACCAGTTAGCCAATGGATGCAAAGTTGATCATGGTTAAGAGCTTACCCCAGTGCTGATTTTTATTTTTTTAAACCCAGCTCCTACAACAGTCTTGGCTTTTGCACAATGTCCATGCAAAGCTACTTGTGCAACTAAGCAATGCAAATGTAGAAAGGAGGGAATGGTGTGCTCTTATAATAATGAAGAACGCACCAACATACTTGAAGCCTTGTCTCACTCTTGAGCAGTCATTCATCTTAACTATCACTACTTTCTCAGTCTTTTGCTTGAAGGCTAATTCATGTTTTGAGACCGACTGCATCTTATTCACATGAAAATATTGGTGAGAATTTAATATTTGCAATGTTTTTTTTATTTAGACAGGCTGGGAAGAATCAGCTTTCTGTAAATCCAGACAACCTTTAGAAGTTGTATTCAAGTGAATTGCCATCCTGTAGTAGAGTACATTATATTATCTTGAACGACGCCTTCTTCATGGACATACGTGTTTTATGTCAGTATCCCTGAACAAACCCCTCTATAGAAACATAAACAGCGCTACTTCAGAAGTTCACATCCACACGAGGGGTCGCCCACAGGGGTCATAGAAACACGCGATACCGTCGGAAATGGTCAAGCTTCATGGGTGAACCGTTCGAAACGTGTTGGTCCTGGCATTTAGACGGTGCTATGGTACAACCTTTGTGTTAATCCACTGCTGGATGAGGACCCTCTCCATATATGGTGGGGGTCGTGGAGGATATTTGACCAGACTTCACGCACGCACATTGGTCGGAGCTGGTAAGGGCATGAAGCCGACGTGGACAAAGTATAGGACTGGACAATAGATTGTGTTGCGTTTCCCTCTGCTGTCGACCACGAAGCTTCGCAAGCCCTATTACAACCTATGTGTACACGGTGGTCCACCCATCCAAGCACTCCTTGGGCTCGACACGAAATCATGGTGTATTCTGGGTGATGGTTATAGACAATTGTGCTATATATTAATACAAAAACATTAAGACCGTCTCTCTACAAAAGACAAACCCCAGCTAGCCAGATCTCACATTTAGGCGGGCAAGTTGACTAAATTCACATAGCCTCCTTGACGACCTCGAGTAACATGGCAGCAGTGCAAGCCCAGTCAGTTCTGCCCTACGGTGGAGAGCTCCGTTGATTGTCTCCATCTCTAGCTTTCATTTCTCTGCGTTTGCATCTCCTGTTGTGTCCATCCGTGTTTGTGTTGACTGCTGGTGTATTCTTTACTTCTCAGCGAATCACACCTCAAGGGCAAATACGTAACACAGTACACAACACATAGTACAATAGTTTGCTATTTTATGTTTAGGGAAGAGAATGTAATAAAATGTTATTTTTTTTTCATGCCAAGCTATGGTTTTCAGTTATTCGTGATTTTAGGAAGTCATTCTTAGTTTTGCAGCTTTCACAGGATCTTTCAGCTGGCCAGACCGGGCCTTCCTCCTCCATACTAGTCCAGCTGGCTGAGGTTTATCTATATTGCTTTACACCGTATTCTAATATCTCAAATGTCAACGTGCAGCATAACACAACCACACACAGTATAGACAGAATATTTTATTGAACTCGCCAAAGCACATGTATGCAACATCGAGCGCTTATTTATAAAAACGGATGGGCAGAGTAGAATCGAATGCATTCTACAAACTCAAGCCTTGCGCAATATTAACGTAACTCTAACCACAGACCTTTTAACACAAATGTAAAAGATCACACATTTCCCAAAAATGCAAACATTTTACAAAAACGTAACCATCCCACGGTCTGGCAATGGTGAGTGCGGTGAGCTGGGTTCCATTTGTTTTCGGGGTTGAGAAAGTCTTCCCCACTTGCAAATATCAATCGACTTAGTTCAGAATAGCAATCTGATTCAAAAAGCAATTATTTTGTTACATGTAGCGAATGTAGATGTTGGGAGGGGCGTGCATGAAAATTCCTTGCATAAAACATATAATAGGTTCTTACACTGGAAAATGAATGCACATCGGGAGCAAACAAAACCATTGAATTTATGCTCATTCAACCTCTAACTAGTTTGGTAGAGCCAGACGAGTTGAAACAAGAGCAAGGAATACAGCCATCTCCAGTCCTGCACACCGCCACCTCCAAACAGGGACGCGTGTACTTGGAGGGTGACATGGGGAACCTTTCCCCATCGTGCCTCTCCCACCCCCCCATGTCGCCAGCACAGTTACAAGCTGTCCCACCGTCTCGTGGTGCCTCAGAGCTCGTGGTCACCACTAGCGGCGCGGGCCCGAGAGACTCGACTTCTGCTGCTTGCGCTCCTTCTGCCCGATGGTGCGGAAGACGCGCTTCTTCACCTCCTTGATCCTCTGCATCTTCGCCTCGTCCTCCTTCTGACGGCGTCGCTGGTACTCGCCGTGCTTCTGCAGCGCCTGCTCCTTCTGCTTGCGCACCTTCTGGTTCTTGATGGTGCCCAGCGACTGCAGGAGCTCGGCGATCTGCGGTCATCAATGCAGAGGTGGTGGGTCAATCGGGGTGGAAACTGTGGCGCCGTCAGCCCGGAACAAATAAGAGTGCGGGCCACGCGCACGCATACGAGTTGAGCAAAAGTGACTCGCACTCAACGACTTGCGCGAGGCTAGGGGCACCGAGGCCTCATGAGTGTTAAAACGTTTGCTGGAAAGAGGTCACATGACAGAACCGTGACGTTATGGATTACTAACAGCCGTTGAGTTAAACCACACAATTGCAGGTACCCAGAATGCATCCAAACAAAGGCATCTCGTAAATGGGCCAAAACTTCACCACACCCCTTCTTTTTTCATGGTTGCCGAACACAGGCCTAAAGGCCTACAAAAATTGCTAATGATGAGTGCAGAAAACAAGGCGTCGCACTTCTTGGATTGGCCTCGGTTACATGAAATTGGGAAAATATGACATTGGAGAGTTGCAGAGTGAAGCAGTGTGAAGAGAACACGAAGACAAATTTGCATCCAGTATCTTAGCTGAACAGTGTGGAAGTGGGGAAGTAGTCAATTTGGGACGAGTCATCCTTGGCAATAGCGTAGGGTTTCGGACGTTAATTTGATGAAAACGACTGTGGTAGCAGCGATGAGAGAGAGACAAGGAGGTGACAGAACGACAGTGCGAGAGTGACTGCAGTGAATCCGTGAGTGCAGAAGCAAGCAAGCAAGCAAACATCATAGCAATGGATTCCATCCGAAGGGGCAGCGGACTCCGTTAGACAAGGCGCACGCACCTTGCGCTCCATAGGCTCCCGGACGACAGCAGGACGCACGCGGTCGCGTGGGACACGGCTCGCGGCTTCCGTCAACTTGGGCTTGGACTTGAAGGGCAGCGCTTTCTGCAGCTCGCGAGGGATTACCAGCGGGTTGAACACCCGCGGCTTCCTCTCAATGGGCTGCACGCAGGGAATGCATGGGCGCACGCACACACGGGCGATGAGAAAAACAGGTTAGCATCCACACAAAGCATTGGGGACAAGTACTATAAGCTAACGCCGACGCTGTTATCTATGGATGGAAATCCAACCCAGGTAAGCCAGGGTGTGATAGTGGAGTGGAATGAACCACAGTGCTAACTGAAAACCACATGCAATTCGCACAAAGGTAACTATCTCCATGGAGTCTAACTACACTGTTAGGACAATAACTGTTGGTCAGCACCTATTTGGACCATGGTCGTCTCTCCAGTGTTGATGTCTGGCACACACACAAACTGCACAAGGCACTTATTTAATGGTAGGTAATCGAACCCCCTTGGCCGGGTTTGTAGTGCACTGTGTTAACGACTGCAACCAATAGAGCTGCACCACAACAACAACAACATGCGTGCAAGCACACGCATTCATAGAGGGAGGGGGGGGTTGGGGGACAACCTTGTAGATTGAGTCCTGGTTGTGCACCAGCGGCACACCCAGGTCCTTGCGCAGCTGCCCCAGGGTGCGCATGCCCGTCCAGGAGGCGCGCTCCTCCGTGGGCTTCAGCAGCGTCGTCACGGGGTTGTAGAGCTTGGGCACCTCCACAGGGCACCACGTGCGCACAAACACGATGTCTGCGAACGCACACATGTAAGTTTCGATTTAAAGCTTTCGTGACCGCAGGGATTCATCTTCTTGGTTCTTTCGGTAAAGTCACGTAGAATGGAAATAATACAAATAATACAAATAAAACATAATAAATATTTTTTTATGTTTTATTTGCATTATACAAATAAAACATAATAAATATTTTATTATGTTTTATTTGCATTATTTTATTATTTCCATTCTACGTGACTTTTCCGAAAGAACCAAGAAGATGCACACATGCAAGTATGTGTGGTGAAATTATTTCGCAGCATACGTAGCCAACATTTACAAAAACTGCCGCTTTCCCTGTGAAAAAACTAAACCTGTGGGCATTACCTATGCTCATTGTGTTTGATAATATAAAATAAACGTTTTGGGATCGCCGATCGATCGTGTTCCCATGAGCAGTTCATCACGGGCTGCGCCAAATCTGCAGTGGCCATGAAATGAGGGTGTGGGGGGGGGGGAGAGACAGGAAGAAGTACGCGTACCGCTCATGAGCAGGCGGTCCTCAAACGTGGCGCGGAAGGCTCCCTCGGGCGACTTGATGGCCTTCTTGATCTGCCCGCGGACTCCGCTCACGGTGCGCAGCGACGCTCCCTCAAAGCGCGCCACCTCCAGTGCCGAGCTGAACATGTCCTGTACTCGTACATACGCACACGCCGACAAAGACGAACACCACCCACATCGCCATGCAGTTAGGACAAATGCGTCTGTGTATGCTGGCATGGCACGCAATAGGGCAGTGTGGCCAGAACCCAGCCGCCATCATCCTCCGAGCATCGATGGTTGCACGCCTTGCCATGTACTCGTTTAAAATCGAGTCGACTTAGAGCAATCCTGGGACAAGTTCAGATAATCGTCAGTGATGTTGAAAGAGAGCATGAATCAAACTCAGGTCGCCAGGTTCATATTACAAGCGTGGTAACCACGACGCTACCGCCCCCCCAGGCACACTTTCACAATTATCACAGCAGTCGTGTGCAAAGTTTCCGAGACCATGACACTTGTAAGCACCAATGTTTATCACAGACAGCAACCCAGCGCTCTAAAGTAAGGACCACAGAAAAGTGCTGGCTCATTGCCTTGACAAGAACATTATTTACACGGCGCACCTATACACAGTGCGAGTAATTAACGTAATTTGACGGTTACCATGCCAGTCATACCTTAATGAAAGTTGTATTCTTGTAGATCTTGAAGGGGCATCCCGTGAGCTTCAACTTCTTCACGATCTTCACAGACTTGTCCAGGTCAAGCACGGAGCCCGTCGCCGCAATCCGGAAGTCCGGCTGAGAAGATCCGCAGTACAGAAAAAAACAAACGTGCAGACTCGGTCAACCCCATCGGAATGTTCCCCTCTCTCCACCCAACTCGGTTTTCCTCCATTCATCTGGATATGGTTTTAGTAAATGTAAACGATACTTACAGAGGAACCAGCCACCGACTGCACAGCCAGGAATCCGGATCCCTGCGTCGTGATAGGTCCTGGCAAAGGAACAAAAAAATACTAAGTACATACGAGTGTTGCGTGTGCTATATAATCTGTTCCTCTTCATGTCATGTGCCAGCAACCAATGTCCTAAGTCAAGGACCTCACATGGAGTGGCTTCAATCATCACATTTTCTTCCTCAGCCTCCAGCACCACCATATCTCCTGTACCTCGTTCAAGTGCAGGATTAAGACCTCCCTTTTCTCCCCTGCCTCTGACCGTCTCTTCTAAAGGACGTATCTTCAACTTGTACTTTCTATAACCATCCTCTTCTATCTTTGCCCACGTCGACCTCCCCCGACGCCCTATTTTTGAATGTGTCTTAAGATTCAGCCACATTACACACTTTCTTGGTTCTTTCGGTAAAGTCACGTAGAAGGGAAGTAATAAAATAATAAAAATAAAACATAATAAAATAAAATAATTCTCACGACGTTTCGGCTACAACGCAAGCAGCCGTCTTCAGGTGAAGAATGAGACACTGCCAAGCTAGCAGCTTATATATAAGCTGCGTTGGAGGTGGAAGAAGAGCGCCTTAACAAAAGAATGTGCATATGAAGAGGAATTTAGCATATTCATGGAAAATGCGTAGGAGGTGGGCGGGGGGGTTTCAAAGTCATATTATGCCCATGCATTATGCAGGATCAGCAGCACCAAGGGGGGGGGGTGCAGGGATTAGCAGTAACAAAGGAAAGGAATGTTAATGATATGTAGCTGCAGTTACTCAACAACCACGTAGAAAACTAAAGTATAAACTACATAAAAAACTAAAGTATAAATTGCATAGCACCATCAGTATACTTACTATACTCTACAATAAGCTGAGTTACTAACAGCAAGTAATACATTACAATTCTACGTCGTAAAAATTTATATAATATGCTTCCATCTAAACTATATTCTATTGCATCACACGAGCATATACCGTACTATATACTGCCAACATTAAATTATATACTGTATTGCTGTAAACCAACCTATACCTTATACATTTAATATAACACTATGTATTATTCTACCCACCCTAATGTGTGTCGAAATTTAACATTACACACTGTTCTGTACTAATCGTGAACACATCAAATTATACTCAAGCATTCAAAGCACATGCATACACACGGCAAGAATCTCCTCCGCAGCTGCTGAGACTGGTTATTTGCAATGAGTACAAATGTCAATGCTGTCATCATCATCAAGTATGGCAGTACAATGTCGCATATCTGACTTTCTGAGGACTGTGTATAGGTGAATTTGTGAAAAGTTTGAAACACAAATAGCTTCCCGGACAAAAATAAAACGTAAAGGCCATTAAACGTGCCGAAAATGCTTCGCCGTGCATTATAAACAAATTATGTACTACAGATTTAAGAATAAACAAATGCGTGGTGACAAGGTCGGATTTGTGAACACCAATATAAAACGAGTGACACCGTGTAGAAGTACCGCACTGGGTTTCTGACGGGTAAACCGATCGCGGCGGATGCAGGACAGTCAGATATGCGACATTGTACTGTCACACTCACGACGTACGAAGTTGTGCGCCTTTTGGCGTCATCTGGTTCAACCCATGTGAGACTAGGCTCTAAGGAAAGCTGTCTCGGGTGTGGACCAATCAACTTCAAGGACAGTGCATATATTATCAGAGTTATGTTTTTTGTTTGCATTATGGCTGCAGGTATTGTGGTCTATGCAAACATGACTCCTTGTAAAAAAAGGTGTCAGTTTTGTTGCCAGATAAGGGTAAAAAACCAAATATCAAAAAACCGCTCGTTCGGTGGGTGGCAGAACACTCGCAGCTTGACCAGCGGCAGATTCCCCCCCCCCCCCCCCCCGTATGTCCACTCACCCCAGATGGCCGCGTGGCAGTGCATGTGCTGCGGCGTGTACTTGAGCAGGCGGTGCCGGCCATTGTGGTCCTCGATGTAGTACATGGGCACCGTCTGGAATCGCCGCCAGCCAAGCGAGAACACGAGCGGGTCGCGCGTCTTCAGGATGCGCTTGTGCCAGCGGTGCTTCTTCACCCTCATCTGCGGCACACGGATCAACGCGGGCGTCGTCTTAACGTGAACGCAGAGCAAAGTCGTATTTCATGTAGGCGCGCGTATATATTTTGTAAGTTGAGTCCTTTATCCATCCATTGCTGGATGAAGAACTCGCCATGTCTTTCAGTCATGTTTGGAGTTGTTTGACCATACTTTGCGGTGTAAACAGCGGTTAAAATGGATAAGCCGACTGTTTCCTTCATAGATCCATCTTTGTATAAAATATCTTACGTATAAAAGTAATTTTTTGTCTGTGTCCATCTGTCTGCCTGTGTACGTAACTAGCGACGGATTTAACTCGCAAACTGTGGGGTTTACGGTGTTAAAAAATACCCAGATACCACACAATAAGACCGGGGGTGAGCCAGCGCTATTCGTATTTCACATCCGTCAAGTAGTTAAATTAATAATTTTGTACTATTTATTATATTACTATGCTTAGCAAGTGCCAAAGCACGCATCTGCGCATGCGCGAAACGTAAAACGGACGGGGGGATGCTGGGGGGGGGGGGAGCAGCCCAACCCCAGCCTGCAAAGGTGCCACATCGGCCGGCTAGCCAATCAAGGTGAGGCCGGGGGCTCTGCACGGGACTAGGCCTCACCACTACACTCTGTGAAGTTAGTACTATTATAGAGTCGATATATACTATTATTGAGTCAGTAGATACTAATGTAAAGTCGGCAGATACTACTGCAAGAGTCGGTAAATGCTACTGTAGAGTCAGTAGATACTGCTATAGAGTAAGCAGATACTGCTATAGTCAGCTGATGCTATAGTCAGCAAATACTGATATATAGTAGTTACGACTAGAGTCAGTAGATACTACTATATACTCCGTAGATACTACTATATACTCCGTAGATACTACGACAGTCAGTATATACTGCTGTAGAGTTGGTAGATATACGACAGTCAGTATATAGTGTTGCGATGTGATATTTTACATCGTGATATTTTATTACTTTTTATTCACTTTAGTTTCATTTTAATTATTATTTTATTATTTTTCTATCTACGTGACTTTACCGAAAGAACTATAGAATAAGAATTCCTGCAGTCACGAAAGTTTGAAGTCAAAATTTAACAGCTCTGATGTTAACCATGTAAAATTCATGACAATAGGTTTTCCCCTTTTTTCTGGCAACAAAACAGGTGTTAAGTTGTTTAACACCAAACTGAAACCTTTTACAAGGAATCATGTCTGCACTGATAATATATGCATTGTCCTTGAAACTGATTGGTCCACACCAAAGACAGCTTTCTTTTGAGCCTCGTCTCAAACGGTGTTGGACCAGAGGACGCCAAAAGGCGTACAGCTCAAAGTCAATGCACTATCAGAGTAATGAGAGCTCGGGGTGAGCAGCTACATCATGGGACCTCCTTTGCCAGGACCAAAATATGAAAATAGGTTTTTTCCCATTTTTTCTGGCAACAAAACAGGTGCTAAGTTGTTAAACACGAAACTGAAACCTTTTACAAGGAATCATGTCTGCATTAACCACAATACTTGTGGTTGGAATGTAGAATTGGTAAATAACATATTTGTTTAGAACTTTAAAAAATATACAAATAAAAGAAATGTAATATTAAAATTAGAGGATTTGCATTTGCGTCATTGTTTTGGTTACCCCCCCCCCCAAAAAAGATATCTATATTAAAAGCAAACAAGATAACAGCAAAAGGAAACATCCTGTACAAATACCTAACCAGAGAGCAAACAGATAAGCGACTACCATATCTACATTGAATGAGTAATGGGACTGAAGCAATATTCTTGAATGTTAAAAAAGTTCAGCTCTTGACAGAGATGTTTTAATGTCTGGATGTCTGGGTTTCAAAACCATGGCATTAGGAGCCATTGAAGAAGCTTGGTTTTAATTTGCTGTGCAAAGTGCCAGTGTGACCAGGTTTGAGTACTCTTGTCACCCCAGAAATTGAGCTCCACATACCGACTGAACTCTGCTTCATAGAACCCAATTACGATGCTCCAGTGCTCACCAATTCACTCTAATCACTCAGTTGCCGGCTGCTTCATGATTTATAGGACTTTGGGGCTGATGCGCAGCAACTGCGATAAAAAAAAAATCACTCATAATTATTTTTTTACCCTTTTTATCTGGCAACAAAACTGACACCTTTTTTACAAAGAGTCATATGTTTGCATAGACCACAATACCTGCAGTCGTAATGCCAACAAAAAACACAACTCTGATCACTGTCCTTGAAGTTGATTGGTCTACACCCGAGACAGCTTTCCTTAGAGCCTAGTCTCACATGGTGTTGGACCAGATGACGCCAAAAGGCGCACAACTTAAAGACAATGCACCATCAGAGTATGAGAGCTCGGGGTAAGCATTTACACCATTGGAACCTCATTTGCCAGAAGAAAAAATATGATAATTGTTTTTTTACCCTTTTATCTGGCAACAAAACTGACACCTTTTTTGATATAATCCAAAATAACTGATGTCAGCATTAACCCCGAGACTGTGGCACTTTGAAGGATATTTAGCCAATCACGTGGTGTTTCAAAATCAACCAAATCTGTTCTAATTTTAACAAACCTCATTGCACGTGTCCCTGGCTTTGTACGGGAGTAGATGCATTACAAAAAAATGGCGCACAAAGCAAAACCGCACGAGACAGCTGAATGCCAAGCGGCACACACAATACACACACAATGTTGTCCCACGTCTTACCGCTTTGCCACGTTGGAATTTAAATCGCAAACATAATTTTGGGTAGAAATAGGTTAGACACATACACGCGAAATCGCATAAAGCGAGAAAAACCTGCATATGAAACAAAACGCCGCACACCAAGCTACAATGATTAACCGCCGTGGTCCCATGGCTATTAGGATCAACATTTACCACAGGTTCAAATATCACCGACCTGCCATCAACTTTGATCGTAGAGAGATAATGAACCAGAACACCGACGCAATCACATTTTGTTTACCTGCACGAAGCCGACATTTCCTTCACCGGCGCCAAGGCCGCCAAGGACGATGGGATATCTGGAGTCCAGGTTTGCGATGAACTCACAGGGCATGCTGGAAACCTCAACGCGGAGGTACATGCCGGGGCGGAATCCCTCGTAGAGCACACGTGCCTCCTCGCTCACGTCCTCAAATTCCGCCCTGTTCAGCTGCCGACCGACACAGCAAGCAGTTGTTGAAGATCAGTGTCCTCAAAGTCTACTCGACATTCCTCTCCCATCATTTACCCCACAGTTGGGGGAACCCTTCCCGTACGAGGGGCCGAATCGGCCTTTGGAATATTACTGCTGTGCGAGCCCCATGTGAACGCACGCCCAAATCGCTTCCGTCAAGGCACGAGGCCACCTGCATAATGGAATTAACCGAGTGCACTTCAACAAGAACAGTGTATTCATAATCAACGATTTTTGGGTTTAGATCGCGTTTATTTATAAATGTGTCGTAACCCTCCACCACCCGACACGGCCAATCAGTAAAAAATGTGTCACGTTGACAAAGACAAATAGTTCACTGCTTTAGCCCACCGGTGTGTTGAAGCAACAACATTCACAATTTGAGTACGACGTTTCGCTGGTAATTACAACCAGCATCATCGGGCAATTCGCCTTAGTGATCAAAACATCAGGCTGTTTCTAAGTAGTAGAGGCCTCATGAGGGTGCAGGCTGGACTAGAAAGGTTCCCCAGCCTTGATTAAAGGCCAACTGGGAGTTGAACCCGGGTTAATGACATTACAACAGTGTGTATGTTAACCATACAAGACAGCCAAATGGGGACCACGATACTGTTCTGATAAGACCTATTGAGGATGAAACCGGTCCACATCTGTCGAAAACTGCATTATTGCTTAAGTCAATTGGTCACAGATGCTCAAATTAATTTTTGTTATGGTGAACTAAGAGAAGAGGCCTACAATGCACGTTTTCACAATGATGATGGTTGTTGCATATGTACAAAGGCACAGTGCTTTTTACACATTTTTGCATGTTGTTTGAAACTCGGGGCTGTAAGGTGGCCAGAATAAGGCAGTACGTTGATGTATTTAAATCCATGTGGCACAGCTTTTTATCTGCCCCTCACACGCAATCAGTAATGGAATTGGCCCACCACTCCCAATGCAGATGCATACACGTATATTGAACTTCTTTCGCACCGTACATAGCCAAATGCGCTAATCGGAGATCCCTCCTGACAAAGAATTGCGGGGGAAACACGGCGATGTTTACCCAAATAAAGAACACCATACTTCATTTGCACCGCCCACGAGCGACGGGCCCCCCCTCACCTGTGCCTGCTTGTCCATTTCCGCCTTCAGGTCGTCGAAGTACGTCTCTCCGCCCTCGTCGTACTGCGAGTCAAACATCTCCTTCAGCTTGCGCTTCTGCTCCAAACGCTTCCCCCGCAGGTCACTCTCCTCCCCTCCCCCCCTTCCTGCTGCCCCTTCTCCTTGCCCTCGCCGTCATCATCGTTGGCGCCGTCATCTCCGTCGTCCGAGCTGCCAGCCTCGGCTCCCTCCTGTCTCACAGAACCCATGGAAAGTTGACGAATTGTCACCATCGTCCAATTATGTAATGCCGCACGCGCCTCCCGTGCAATATGTATCAATGCGCCCCACCATTAACTATACGCTCGCCTAGATACAGTAGAACGCTGGCAAAAAATCCCTTGGATTTTTACGTTTGACTTCGTTTGGAGATTTACCCAAAACTAGCATGAGTGTCATCGGCAAAGATATTTAATTCTGAGTGATTTCAGTTGAGTCCAACATTCTTTAAATCTAAGAACAGAACTGGACCTGCACATCTCCTCGATTAATGGAAAATGAAAGACGAGTCGGTGCCATTGTGGCCATGCAAACCAAACTACGGCCTACATAGCAAACCACTGTAGCTTGCGCTCCCTTCAACTGAGAAATAGCACAACTGCATGAACTCTCTAAATCCCTCTCATGGCTGGCAGAGCTTGACATTAGCATTCAGTTCCGAACATGTTGCCAAGTGCAAAAATAAAATCGAATATCCTTGCGGCCATGTATCCTTGCTGTACATGTTACAGGCTCGTCCACGACCTAATACACATTTGATGTCTTATGACGTAAAAGGTTTCAATAATAAGTCACCCTTTTTGAGCAAAATACACATTATGGTCTGTACGGGTATTCCAGATCCAACCAACCAGGGCTGCTTCCTCAGGGCTAATAAATGACGAGGTGATCCCCAAAACCCAATATATACGAAGTTCCAGCCCGAACAAGAAAATAGTCCAGATTTAAGAAACCCTTTACAGTTTTAAACATTTGAGATAGGCTTCCATTATAATATATCAAAAAAACAGTGGATGTTATTTCATGGTGCGTATACTTTCAGGGGAAGAAAAACGATCTCAGAACCTCTCACAAAGAGGTCTTTTTTGACGAAAATGCAGTGAAAATATTTATAAAAGTCGTCAATCGTATATATTTGTTTATTATTCCCGAAACTGAACAAGAAACCCCAGTTAACTAGTGTCTGTTAGTGCCACAAGAACAATAATTTAATTAAAGACAACGCATAATAAATACAACTAAATAAACAGCAAATTACTTCTTCTTGGTTGTTTCGGTAAAGTCACGTAGAAGGGAAATAATAAAATAATATAAATAAAACATTATAAAATACAATTCTCACGACGTTTCGGCCACAACGCAAGCAGCCGTCCTCAGGTGAAGACGCTGTCTTCCCGACAGACCTGTTCTTCACCTGAGGACGGCTGCTTGCGTTGTGGCCGAAACTTCGTGAGAATTGTATTTTATTGTGTTTTATTTTTATTATTTTATTATTTCCCTTCTATGTGACTTTACCGAAAAAACCAAGAAGATGAATCCCTACAGTCACGAAAGCTTTAAATCGAAACAAATTACTTACAGCGCCGGCTGAATCTTTCTTCCCATGAATAATCGTTCCAGCTTCAAGGTCCTCAAAGTCACCATAAAGGGCATCTTCAAAACAAAACAGAGAGTTAAAGTTGGCTCAAGTTGATGAAGCACATACAAAAAAACATTACCTTTCCCCGTGGAATTGCACCAACAACTTGTAAAGTAGTGCGGTAAACACAACACCATCATCAGCCGTGATTCAATCCACTGCTGGATGAAGGCCTCTCTCTCCAAGCGGCTGCCATCTCGCAACAAAAATCAACAGACCACCTCTGCACGAGCCGAGATCGCCACTCCCACATCTCACCACTCCCACATCTCCACGGTGGCCGTCCTCTCGCACGCCAAGCGTGGATCAGGCACGAGAGGTTTGCCGCGGGTGCCCCTTACCGTCTTGGTCCAGAAGCGTTTTCGCGTCCTTGTGAGCCTCCCACTTTCCCGTGACGAAGCAGTCCTTGATGCTCTCCACCATCTGGGGCGAGGGGACACGCACGCAGGGTGCGGGTTCGCGGTCACAACGTGGAGCGAGCGTGCCGTGCCTTCGCGCCTATTAACATCTCTGGTCCTACCTATGCTTCAACAATAAACATGAAACGCAATAATAATTCAGATTTAAAAGTCATCCTCAAACAATGGATCTCGGAGAGGGCCGTGCAAATAAAAGAAAATGAGAAGTTTACCTGGGGAAAAAAAAAACATAGAGACCAGATAGAGAACGAGAGGGAGGAGGTGGATTTAAACAGGTGGTGAGGGTCTTTCAGCCAGAGATTTAAAAGTCTGGATCCATTGACTGCGATGGAGACAACTCTGCTTGCACCTGACCTTACTACTGTGGAGGCATTTCTACTGATGGGCATGTAAGAAACGATGCGTCGATTTACGGATGAAATATTTTTGTCTTCTACTATAATTCTGCTATTGGGGGATGTCACGAGGCAAAGCATGCACTTGTAAATCTCGCAGAGCAATGCTTTCTCCCCGTGTGCTGTAGAGAATGACCTGCAGAAGCAAATTCCTCACAACCTCTTCCGAGATGCCTTCAAATAATGATTTATACCCACGCACTGGGGAGTGAAATACAAAACTCGAATGTGATGCCGTTTTGAAAAGTTATTGCCGAATGGGCTGAGTCCACCAACTCACTTTGATTTGAGAACTTGGTATAATCACAGGCGACTGAATGGATTTGAACCCAGGGGGGCTCAGCGCTCTGCCCACCTCCATCAAGCCCTCGGTGCCGAATTGTTACCATGCCTCATTACCACTAATAAACACACACCTGGACTTACCACCGACCATGGGTCTTGGCCTCACCAACGAAATAATCACCTGATCTTACAATCGAACACAGCACAGACCTGAGTGTCGAGGCACATCTGGCCGTCCCCTACACGGGCATACACATAAGCTAAAACCAAACCATTATAATACATTTGATCGATTTGTTACTCTGTACGTTCGGTACATTCCAGCTCGTTGCAGGGCACACAAGGTGCCGCACCCAGCCTGAACACACTGACCCCGCCCATATTGGACATCCGCGACAGAGCTTCATAGCTCATCGGATTCCACCTCCTGCAGTCTAAATAAAGATTCTGATTCTTTCTAGATTTGAAGCTTTCATGACTGCAAGGATTCATACCTTTAGGTTTTTTCGGTAAAGTCACGTAGGTAAAAAATAATAGAAATAAAATAATAAATGAAAATAAATCAATTAAATCACGACATTTCGGAGGCAACACAAGTCTCCGTCTTCAGGCGGGACCGTTTTTTACCTACGTGACTTTACCGAAAAAACTAAGAATTCTGATTCTTACTCTGGAGCCGACACCTGGCCGCACACGTAACTCCTGTTGCCCCCCCCCACCCCGCCCCCCCCCCTCACCTCGTCGAGATCCCAGTCCTGCAGGTTCTCCGGCGGGTACCGCGTCGAGTCGATGTCGTCGAGCCGCCCTCGTGCCGTGCGCTCGGTGCGATCCGCCACGCTCACGCGGAACAGCCCTCCCAGCTCCCCCCCGCCGGACTCCCCGTCACCGTCCTCCTCTCCCTCCTCCGCCTCTACTTCTACCTCATCATTCGTCAGTGCGGAGGGCAAACACGGCACTGATGTCACCGCCGGATATAGCCATCGTCGCACACCATCGTGGCCAGGCGGCGCCAAACAAAACAACAAGAGCGGCCATTTATTTTTGAAATCGGTAAAAAAAAACTCAATATTTCACGAACCGCAACGCACGTGAATACGAGACGGTGGTGCTCAAATAAATAACGTCACGAAACAGTTCTTAATGAATTTTGATTGAAAGCTTTCGTGACTGCAGGGATTCATATTCTTGGTTCTTTCGGTAAAGTCACGTAGAAGGGAAATAATAAAATAATATAAATATAAAACAATTAAAAATAAACAGTTCTTAATGAATCGCACGCCACTACAGAGCCGCAGGTTGCCGAACCCCTGCCAATGGTAAACTCGACTTCAATAATCAGGGGTCGGCTACCAAGGATTTTTTTTCAAATTTCAACAACCGCAATGCAGTCATTAAAGAGCCACCACATGTTAGCCGTGGCCAGGAATCGAACCCGATTAATTTAGATCATCAAAATAATCAGGCCCGGAGTTACATAAATGATGCTCATAAGCAGCACGGGCGTTATCGTCATCATAGCTCGTCCTTCTATAGCACCACTTGTAATCAGAATAATATTGTTAATCACAACCGCAACCATCCACATGGAAGTTGTCACTGTCGTTCATCAAATCAGCGTCAATGCCAGATTTTGGCACGGCTGTCATTGTGACCACTGGACAAGAAATTATCCCCCCCGCCAAATGAATCAATTGTTAGAATTCTGGGCTACGACTCCATCCAACAATCGATTCCTTTTGTTCTCGCCTTGACCATCTCATTTATATTTTCCTTTTTATTTTTGCCCAGTTTGTAGGTTGCATTTGTTTTATTAACCTAATTGTAATAGTAACATATATTAAAAATTCACATCCTTCAATAACATTCATGTTGAATGAAGAGTCATTGCCCAAAGTGTCACCAATCATTTATTCCTTTCAAGGAAGCACAAATGTATTAATGTTTCAAGTTATTTTTGTTAATTGATCATGTGCACCCTCTGCCAATGTAACAACACCGAATAATGTGCATAGAAGAAGTTAATTTACAGCGCTGATGTAAATTCTTTGCAAGATGAAGGGCAGTTTTGGGGGTTTTTTTTTTTACCATTCCTGGCTGTAAGGGTGGTTTGCCCATGAGCAATTCAGACATCATCAGTCACCAACATTGTCCAGAGCCAGGAGGCGGGTCGCACAGTTCACACCGCAGTGCGCTAACCATTGCACCACCGCTCCGCCGAGCGGTAGGATAACACTTACATATACTTTGCTCAAGCGATAAATAGGTTGATTTCCACACGTGTGATGCAACTCATCCACCGCGATCTTAAGAATCACTTTTAATCTGCGGCTTGACCATCGTGACTGTCCATGGCAACAACAGCCGACATCCCTGCCGCCCCCCCCCCCGCTCACCGTTTAAACAGTCCAGCGAACTCCAGTCGTCTTCACAGCAGCGGATTTTGGCTAGCTATCAAACAAAGACGGTCACCGCATCATGCACTTTCAGATGCGCTTCTGCAGGCCATCTGGAATGCTCTTCCGTCCGATATTAGGAAACCACACTTTTAAATCTCAACTGAAAATAATTTCTTTGTAACTGCATTTTGTGTTGTTTCTTGTCCTCCCCCCTGCACCTCCGATTTAGCACGGTTGGCTACGTACGGTGCGAAAGAAGTTTAACATACAGTCCTATACATACCGTTCCCGTAGACGAGTTTCTGCAGATTCCCTGTTGCCCTGCGCCGCCGCACAAATGCCTCAGCAGCCTTCTTCACCAGGTCCTGCTTCCACATGACAGCGCCTGCGCAAACACAAAGCATGCGGCAACGGTAACCTGTTTGCTTCGATAGATTCTATCCCAATCGTGCCATCAGTGTAACACAAGATGAAGCAACTATTTTAATCTCTCAAGGGCAGCGCAAACCTGTAAGAGAATGGCCCATGGAAGCGGATATCATAGAACTACCACTGAGATACCTTCAAGTGGCCTCTGGCCCACAGAGCAGAGGGAAAATCTTCAAATCAAGATTAAAAACTTTCCCGCCCACCCTGCACATGAGAGTATTGTTCGTTGCACGAATCGCTGGCTATCATCACGACCGTCGTGTGTGTGCGAACACACATACCTTCCGTTTCCCTGTCCGCGTCCTCAGTTTCCACAAACATATCCTCGCTTTTCAACATCTTCTCGACGGCATTGTCATCACTGTCCTCATCACTGCCATCATCATCATCTTCTTCATCACCCTCATCATCGCCACCGCTACTGCTATGGTCGCGTGAAGCGTTGCCCGAGTCCATGGGAGCTCTTTTTGAGTTCTTTTCCCGCTTACTCTTGGCAATAATCTTTGTTGCTTCATCATCATCGTCATCATCTTCGTCGTCATCGCCTTCATCACCGCTGCTTTCATTACCATCTCGGTCTTCAATGGAGTCTCCCAACCCTTCAGAAACATCTCCATTCGATTTTTCTTGGCATTCAAAATCGGAGGCTTCACCTCCTGACTTATCCTCATCACTTTCCTCGTCGCTCTCATCTTCGTTATCGATATCATCATCACTGCTACCATCTTCATTGACAGCCTCATCATCATCATCGTCATCGTCGTCGTCACCATCTCTATCGAGGGAAGGCTGCCCTTGCTCCTCGTTCTTCTTGATGCTCACCACCCTTGGCTCCTCTTCAACGTCGTCGTCTGTGGAAGCCGCCATCTCCTCCTTTGTCAAGACGGAACTTTTCCTCGGCCTTTTCTCCGGACTCAACATGGGCCCTACACGGCCAAGGGGCTTTTTCTTTGGACTTTTCAAATATTCCTCTTTCTCATCTTCATCATCGTCACCATCATCGTCTCCATCATCGTCATCATCATCTCCCGAGTCCTCCTTTTCATCCTCTTCTCCTTCACTGTCATGTTCTTCGCTGTCATCATCATCATCACCATCATCTTGAGCGCCAGCGTCACCACTTTGAGAACTGAACACAGCCCGGCGTCTCACCCGACCCGTGCTAGGATCCGTCACGCGCTCTTCCACGGGGGGATCCGTCACGCGCTCTTCCATGGGGGAATCCGACCTGCAGCATGGTTACAATTGTTATTGAGTCTTTAACAGCAGAGATCTAGTTTGTCAACACATAAACCTCAAGACAAGCGCGATGGCTAGAAACACGCGAGCACATTGCACAATCAAAAACAAAACCTCAACACCAACGCCATTTCATAAATGGCTGGCTACGTAACCTTATCAGACGATTCTTAATGCTATACGCGCTAGACAAATCACGAGAGATTTATTTAGTAGGATGTAATGATTGAATTGTCACAAATTCGGGGTCACAATTCGATTCGTGAATTGTTTCTCCGTTGCCCTTGTGGCACATGTCACATCTATTTTGGTTCATGCGGTTCCATGCACAAATCACAATCGACGACTATGAACTGGGAATACTAGATTTGTATTAAAATTATTAAATACACGTTTTATAAGATTGTTTGTTGTATCGTTCATATTTAGTTCTGCCAAATGTGTCGATAATGTTAACATTGTAAATTTTGCTATATGCAGTCATGTTTTTAATTTAGATTGTGCCTGAATCAATCACAATTTCATGGTCAGTAGAAATAAAAAAAAATTCCATGTTCCTATGGTGGGTCGTTTTAAAAACCGATATGAACATTTTTTTGTATTTCTCACCGTGAAGACCGCACAATTCTCACTACCAATGGAGTAACACTACTTTACACACACAAAGACCAAAGACAGATCCCCCAAATAGCATGAACTGACTCATGTGGCAAGTGCTGTTAGCGAGAGCACCTATGAAGGCCTGAACATCGGACAAGAGGGTGGTGGACAGCACCACACCCGGTCCGGTCCCCCTTTTGTCTCACGAGTGGCCAAGTTTAGACACCACTCCAAGTACTCACAAGTCTATCTAGGGCAGGCCCAGGAACAGATCGTCACTGGTGTTGGCCGTGACCACGAACCGAACTCGGGTCACGGGGTTCATACCACCGCTCCCCACAGGCATGTACAGTTCCATCCAGTGCCAACATGCAGTGTTCTTATGGTTCACTGCACCACAGCTGCCATTTCTATCATCTTCATTGCATAGAATACATCTTCTTGGTTCTTTCGGTAAAGTCACGTAGACGGAAAATAATAAAAATAAAACATAATAAAATAATTCTCACGACGTTTCGGCCACAACGCAAGCAGCCGTCCTCAGGTGAAGAACAGGTCTGTCGGAAAGACAGCGTCCGAATGACGCTGTCTTTATTTTATTATGTTTAATTTTTATTATTTTATTCTTTCCCTTCTACGTGACTTTACCGAAAGAACCAAGAAGATAAATCCCTGCAGTCACGAAAGCTTTAAATTGAAAAATGCATAGAATACGTTAATTAATCGGCTCCACCCAGTTCATCAGGACGAGCGCTACTCACGGTGGCTCCTCTGCGTCCGGCTCCTCCTCCACGTCAAGCGACTGCATCGGCTCCGAGCGGCTGAAGAGCGCCATGCGGCTGGCTGCCATCTTGACGTCCAGCGTGGACTGGTTCGCAATGAGCGTCTGCACGAGCTCCTGGGTAGGCCCCTGCGTCTCCTCCAGCTCCTCCTGCAACGGGCGGCGGCGGCGGTGAGAGAGCGCACAAGGCAAGGGAAATTAGGTGACGGGAAAAACGGAAGGGACGGAGGTACAAGGGACGGCCGGGTGTCAGGGAAAGGAGGCCACAGTGAAAGAGAGTTAGGAATTGGGGAGCAGCAGAAAAAGGGGGCGTGAAAGTGAAGGAGGGGTCGTGAAAATGGGTGGCAGTGACACAAAAAAGAGAGCAAGGTGAATTAAATGGTTATAGCCATAAAGTACATGACAAAATCAGAGGCTTCCTCTTACTACTATGCCTATGGTCTCATCTTAGCCAGTGAGTTAAAGATCATCCTTTGAATCCTTTACCCAAAGGATCAATATTGATAGGTAATACCTAAAATGTTTCAATGTAATTACAATAGAATCCTGAATGCTCTCATGTGAATAAGCACTCAATAAGGAATTGGTCAAATATCCCAAGCTGTAAACTCGTGATAATTTATCTTGTTGGGAAAGCAGGCGAAATTTAAAATAAAACTGTTACGTAGCACAACACGGAAAAAAAAAAAAACACGAAATTTTCTGAACAAGAATCTACAAAAGTGACTGCAGGTCCGCAAAGCTCCCACCGGACATATTGTTCTAGACGCGTCCGCACACCCGCGTGTCTGCGTGCGTGTCTGCGTGCGTGCGTACCTGCCCGTGCTTGTGCGAGTGGCTGCCGCCGAGGTCGATGTAGACGGCGTCTTTGTCGTAGACGATGCCTCCGACCCCGGAGAAGGGCGCGTAGATGAGGCGGTCGCGGTGGTCAAGCGTGCGCTTGGTGCGGCGCTCGGGAAGGGGACACGGGTCCGGGAGGAAGCTCACATCGCGCAGGAAGAAGTCGCCTGCGCCTGTGTGCGTGTGCGTGCGTGGAGGGTGGTAGTGTAGCGGTTAACGCACTTGCACAACAAACCTGGCGACCCGAGTTCGATTCTCACTCACGGTCAACACCAGTGACGATTATCCAAACCGGTATTGGGCCTCCAAGTTCGACTGAGCCAAAAATGAGTACCTGGTGCAGTGTGTAAACATCACCACTTGGAAGACAAAGGTGGCCGAGCGTATTGACCACCCACCCCATTTGTGTGCCGTGCCGGCCTTCATAGGTACTCGCTAACGGCACTTTCCCCACCAGTCTGTTAAGGCTATATGGGGGATATTTGTCCGTCTTTGTGCATATACATCAGCGAGCGCCTATCACATGTTTTATTTTACCAGGTAAGGTCCACTGAGCTATTTAGCTCTTTTTCAGAATCGACCTTGGCCACAGATGATAGCTCAATGAAGTGGTTTATCACATGGAAAAGTATAGCAGCAGCCAAATACTCTGCATGTATGTTGATTATAAATGTGGAGTGAAAAACCAGAGTACCTAGAGAAAAGTCCACACGACCACTGGGAAAGCATGCAAAATTCAAATAAACGGGCATTAGGGTTGAGATCGAACCCACAACCTCCTGCATACCAGGCGAGGTAGTAAACATCTCGCCACTGCGGTGCCCCACGGTGGCCCTCAATGTGCCCGCACGGCACGCAGAGAGGGGCGGCACCAGCGTAAACGCGCGCACGGGCGCCCGCCTTCGCCCAACACTCATCGGTCAGATACTCGCTCGATGCCACTACTGGAGTGGGCAACCGGTATGGGGACTGTCGGGAAATCACCTGGGATGTGCACCTGCGAGCGGCTCTTGAGGTGAGTCCCGTGCAGGTACCCGTAGAGCGACACCAGGCGGTCGCACTTGGGGTTCAACCGGACCTCCTCCGGGTTCGTCAGGTCCTCAATTCTGATGGGACGCAAGCGCACACGCGCACTTAGTAGGTTTGCGGAGAAACGTTACTGCGACTGATAAATATTACTTGGACATTTACAAACACCTGCTTGTTTTCTCAGAACAAACTCAGTGCTCACTATTCTTTTGGTATACCTACTATAATCACCCAGGAATGTCTGTGCTTAATGCTCGTGACGTCACTCCACATCGAACAGCCTCCCTCATTAATAATCATGAGCAGGTGACGTCCTCCAAATGGACACCCCCCCCCCCCCATTATTATTACCTACTATAATGAGCCAAGAATGTCTGTGTGCAACACTCGTGACGTCACTCCACGTCGACCAGCCCCCCTCATTAATAATCATGAACAGGTTAAGTCCTCCACATGGACCGCCCCCTTCATTAATAATCATGAGCGAGTGACGTCACTCCATATGGAGCACCCTCCCCACTCATTAATAATCATGAGTAGGTGGCGTCAGTCCAGGACGAACAGCCTCCCTCATTAATAATGTTTACAAGGTGACGTTCTCCAAATGGACACCCCTCCCCCCATTCATAATAATTAGCGGGTGACGTCACTCCACATGGGGGGCCGAGGCACCTCCTCCCCCCTCTTCGGCGTCAACTCACAACCCTCACTACAAAGGCAGAACCCTCACGTCACGCGATCCCGTAAACGCTGTTGAGACATCAAAGTAAAAAGGACGTCATGATGAACAAGGGATTATAACCTTTAAATGAAATAGGTCTGTGTCACCGCGCCCTTACAAATTGCACACGCATTGATGCAATGAATATCACGTCGCAGTCTGCTTTTCGCTTGCAAATTTCAGATTTACTGCAATACACCCGTCCTTGGACGGGCAAAAGGCTAGTAATATAATACTTGTATATATAATAACAGCACACAGCTATTTTTTAGCTTGTGTGAAAAACCTTGTCAAGTTACAGAATTACTATCACTTAACCTATCATGTGGGTGTTCATGTAGGTGTGTGTATACATCTGCGTCATATATGTATGCGGCGAGTGGTGGCGTAGTGGTTAAGAGCTCGGCGCTTCAAACCATGCGATCTGGGTTCGATTTGTGGCCAGATCGACTCCAACGAGCACTTGGTGGGGTGTGAAAACATTGCCACTGAAGAAACAAAAGGCGGTGAGGCATGGTACTGGAAACCCAACCCATCGTGCCATGCCGGCCTTCATTAGGTGCTCACTAACAGAACTTAGCCCAAAATTCTGCTTTGGTTACAAAGGGGGATCTTGTGTTATTCGTGTATACATGCATCCGTGTACGCATACATGTGTGTGCATGCGTTACATGTGTGTGACCGCGCGCGTGCGCGTTTGTGTGTGCCTACCTGTCGGCGAGCATGTAGGGGTGCGTCGTCTGCCAGGTGAGGGGCCGAAACTTCATGACAGAGATGAAGCGGCCGAGGTTGTGAATCTCCTGCTTCTGGTACTCTCCGTTTACCATGCCCGACAGGTAAAACAGCTTGGCCCCCTGTAGGTTTTAGCGAAACACAACAAACACAATAAGATGATCGTAATACACCGCAGGAGCAAGTGCTATTTAGACAGTGCCTAGGGAAAGTACGGTACACACAAAAGGATGTGGTCCTTCCCTCGCAACTCCGAATAGCACGGTTAGCTACGTACTGCGCGAAATAAGTTCAACATGCATACATACAATTGGATGGGGATGGTTGTTGACAGTTAAACATCTGGCTACATTTGTCTCCCCAGTGCTGCTATCTTATTAACCCAGCACCTGGTAGATCTCGGTCCAGAAGCGGTGCTTCAGCTTCTTCTTGGTCTTCTGCAACTGCTTGGAGTTGCGGAAGGCGTCCAGGTGCGTGAGCACGCCCATGAGGCGCGGGAAGCCGTGCACCTGGCAGATGTTGAGGAACTCAAACGTCTCCATCTCGAAGCCAAAGCTCGCGTCGATTAGAAGCAGAACCTTGAGAGAAAATTAACGACAACCACACATCAGCGATATATGTCACGAATGTGACACTTTAATATGAAGGACATGTGACCAGGATGAATGACCGGCTGCAAATTATAGTGATAGAGAGATTACTCAAAGGTTGCAAGGGAAAGAGGAAAACCATTATCTCACCATAAAAAAAAAATCTAACTTGTAATAGATAGAAGCGATCTCAGTTGATGGATGCAACAATGGACAGCAAGTAGTGCAGAGACCATTGCTATGAGATATAATTTAATGAAAACAAAAAATAATGCACCAATAGCGAAAGAGGCCAAGGGATTCAAAGAATGCGGCAGAGCCAAGGAGGGGTGTTGGCGGGTGTCAAGGTAGGGCACGGAGTACGAGGCAGAGAGGATGGCGTTTGTGATGACTGTAATGTCGGGAAAAATTGGGCACTCACCAGGTCAGCCACTTTCGCAATGTCGATCATGGAATTGATGTCATTGCCACATTCCATGATTGTCAACCGCCGTTTCTTGCCTGTTCAGGGACATTCACATTGTTTAATCACTCATCCATGCACCAATATTATTAACTCCTTTTATTCATATCCACGTTGGAAAAAATGTACATGTCGTGTATATTGTAATCTTCCCAGTTAAATTTCAATTGTGTTATTAGCATAATTTCATGAAATTACATTTTCCATTTGTAACTTTACAAGAATGCATTAGCTCATAAATCCATCCCAGTCTTATTTATCCGAAGGCACTGCACATACCCTGCTATAGTAGAGTTCACAACATGATAAACCAACAGATAGCTTACGTCTCAAAAGTTACGTGTCGAATTAAATAAAACAATTTAAAAACGTGTTTTTGTGTGCGCGGTCATTGGCCGATTGGGCTGAGACCATCAACTCAGTCCACTTGAGGACCCGGTTTAATCACAGGATCATAGCAGAGGCGGTTCATTGCTCCAACATGGTGGTATTATGTATCTATTCGCCTTCCGAGCCTCCTGACCACCTCCAGATTGCACTGTCCTTATCTACTCACAAGACGCATACATTTCCAAGATGGTATACATTTCCACATGATAAGCTACTTTGTTGAGCTATCATTTGTCATGCAGGTCACTTCCGAAAAAAAAAAAGTTTTATTGGTATATATATATTTTTAAGCGATTTTTTTATTTTCCTATACTTTGCACTGCTATCGTGTTTTTTATTGTTTGTTGTTCTAAAGTTCTCACCTACCCCTACTGGACATCTGCGAAAAAGAGCTCTATAGCTCATCGACTTCCTCCAGTATAAATAAATATTCTGATTCTGCATTAAGGCATGCCGGGCCAGGGTGCAATCTCACCAGACACAATGGTGATGGGTCCCTTGGGCTCGCTGAGCTTCTGCCGCGTGAAGTTGCGCACGAGGCAGCTCACCAGCGTGCTCTTGCCCACTTTCGGGGGCCCTACAACGGCCACAAGTATAGGCGGAGGCTCGAGGGGCGTGCGATCCTACCAGGGGAATGTGGTGTTTGCGTGCCTTCAGGTCCTGAGTCCTAAGTGAAGCCACAGCAGCAAGAGATTAATATAAATATGCGTGAATGCATTATAATGCAACAGTTGGCTACATATGGCGCGAAAGAAGTTCAACATAAAATAACATTTAAAATTCCATACAGTTGCATGTGACATGTGTTTAACCATAATTTGGTACTAAATTCAAATGTTTCAACAATGAGATCCAAGTATGCAGTCAATGTAAGTCTTCAGTCTTCTTTCATATAAAAATAATTCACTACTATAGCAGCCCACCTGTTACTTGTTTTTGTGTCACCTTAAACATTACTACAGTCATCTGGGTTGAACGAATATCATTAATTCGAATCCAGATTTAATGACTATCTTAATGCCAAAAAGGCCCTGTTAAGGGCCAGAAACTGATCACGCCAAGTCATTTTTAGTTTACCAACTAAATATTGATGGGACTGTTAAGCCCTAAATGTGACTTCCTGGCTGGAAACTGGAGACCAAATAATATTTACCTTGTCGCCTTTCAGGAGACCACCAATGTGAATATTCCATACAAATGACAAAACCATAAAAACATTTAAAGAATTCTAACTATCAAGACTTCTCTTGGATGTACCACCGCATCTATATACCAATAATTACAGGTCTTCCATATGACCAGAAAACACGAGTTTATTAACAACTGTACATCATTTGGCACACTAGTCTCATGCTGTTCTATGACATACATCTCTCTTCTGCCAGGTATTACTTCCACAGTGACCGTACTTTTGTGGGTGATGTTGACGGTAGCGCTAGAGATAACAACGCACAAACCATACGTTAACGCACAAACCATATGTTAACGCACAAAGCCATACGTTAACGCACAAACCATACGTTAACGCGCGCACCTGTGGAACTGCTTGGCCATGCGCACGGCCGACTGAAAGGCGAACGCCTTGGGGTTACGTCGCCGTGCGTCCTCCACATTCTCCGGCGCAGACTTCGCTCGTTCCGCCTTCTTCCTCTGGGCTCCACGGGTCCACTCCCCCTCGTCTGCTCCATGCTGCTGGCCATCATCGTCGAGACCGAGCTGCTGAAACTTGCGCTTCCTCTTCTTGTCAAACTTAGGGCCGCTCTGCCGCTTGCGGTGCAGCTTCTTATTATCCTCCTTTTCCATGCTGCTCTGCTTTGTGGCCTTTTCTATCTTCATATTAAAACACACACAAAACAATAAAAGCACTCGTTACACCTTTATGCAACAATGACCTCATGACTTATAATCACAAATCCATATACAGTATTGGGGTACAATGGTGTGTCAGTGGTTCGCTTACTCTGATATGCACCGAGCAACCCGAGTTTTATTCCAGGTTACGGCAAATGAGATGTGAACCGGTTCCGGATCCCTTTCACCAATCCGCACTGACCGACGTGAAGTACAGTATAGTCAAACAACCCCCATGACAGATAAGGTATTTATCCATAAGTGGATTGACAAAGGACAATTAATTATAATGTACTGTATGTACATTTATATTTTATGCAGTGGGGGGATGAGCCCAATTTCACTCCTCCCACACTAATCCACTAAATAAATCCAAATGAAAACTCGATGTCAGCTCAATATAAAAGTACGGTGTAAACGAATTACACTTCATGAACACGGATTTACTCACACCACACATTAAGCTTGTTTTATAATAGATATTAGGATTAAATGTTTAACACCGGTAAATCACACCCACGTATGCATTTAGAAAGTCCACGCAGATGAGTTGCCAACCGGCTTGTTGTACTGCAGCCAATTAGAACATGAAGTGCACACACCTGAAGTCTGCTTATCCCCCCGCCCTCGAATCACCGTTCTCCAGGCGTGCGCTGAACAACTAATCAGCAATGCTCTTAACATTTGTGTTATTCAAAGAGCATGGACATGGTCGATCAACCCTTTGAGGGTTCGTAACAGAGGTTTTAGTTTTTTTGGGTTAGATCGCGTAAGTATAAATGTGTCATCATGGGATCTCCTTTGCCAGTACCAAAATATACTAATAGGGTTTTTCCCCTTTTTTTTGTCAGTTTTGTTGCCAGAAAAAAGGGGAAAAACCCTGTTAGTATAAATGTGTCGTTAATCAAAATTAGTTAAGCCCAATGGCCATATGAATGAGTGTTAATATGTGCATAGTAAAAGGCGATGAATTGACGTTATGGGCGGGCCGAAACGCGTTTTTCATCACGGAAATATTTCTCAATGCAAGCAGGAGGGACACGAGTTCTTCATTTAACATCTCCTGCACGATACCCATGCCACAGCCTGCGAACCCCCTCTTGAAAGTCGTTCGCGTCTCGCCAGGGTGGCGCGCCCAGCGTTTAAGAGCCTTTGCATTCGACTCGTTAACAAAGTAAACTCAAACGTACACACGCCAACTTAAATTCACTGCGCGATTACAAACGCGAATTACCACACATTCATTTGAGCGCACACTTCACAGGCCGCACACCGCCTTCACAGGCCCGGCCAGCACTCACCGACGGCGAGTTCAACCCCCCCGCGTGAGAGGAGGCAGGACACCGGCTGTCTCGTTACTGCGCGACACCGCGCGGAGTCAACGCGGCCACGAGTAGCGCGAAATCGAGAATTCCCACCCGGCAGAATCAAGCGCACGTGGGTGCAGACATGAGCGCCGCCATGTTCGTGGAGACGCGGTGCGTTGTGGGAAGAGCTCACGTGACCTCCGAGGAGGGGGGGGTGGGGACTACGGAAGCCGAGTAGGTCAGGACGTCGTGGGGTGGGCAGCTACGGAAGCCGCACGCGGTCCTCAAACTCACCTTTCGCGATTTTTAAAAATCAAAGTTCCATAGGGAGCCCCCTCTCACTCTCTCTGTGTTGTTGGCATCGGCTGCCGCGTTGCTCGCTCACGCTCTCTCCCATGCCCCGCATGGCGCCGCAAGCAGGCCCACAGTATTTCCGTAGGACGGGCCTGGCAGCCGTGACAGCGATCTGCCTGGGACTCGGCCTGTACACGGTGAGTCTCGTGGGCTGGACAGAGCGGTCCAGCATGACAAATGAACGTTGTCCTTCATTCATTTATTTACTTACTTATATATATCAGATTGCAGTTGTTGAAAGTAATGTTTCCCCCGCATTGTGCAAGGTTAATTCAGCCAGAATGTAGCGTATCTCGTCAGATCTGGGAAGTTTAGAATGCTTGAGCTTGAATTATCCTCGGTTCTTTCGGTAAAGTCACGTAGAATGGAAGTAATAAAATAATAAAAATAAAACATGATAAAATAATTCTCAATAATAAAATAATTCTATTATGGTTTTTTTATTTTATTATTTCCATTCTACGTGACTTTACCGAAAGAACCAAGAAGATGAATCCCTGCAGTCACGAAAGCTTTAAATCGAAAGGTCCATCTGGATTTGAAAGTTTTCGTGATTGCAGAGATCCATACCAAAGAGTATGGACAGGTATACTCTTAGGTTTCTTCGGTAAAGTCACGTAGGTAAAAAAAAATAATAAAAGTAATAATAGAAATAAAATAATGTGATTTATTATTTTATTAATATTATTACTTTAATTGATTTTATTTTCATTTTTTACCTACGTGACTTTACCAAAGAAACCTAAGAGTATAAATCTAGAAGTATGGACAGGGTCGATCAACCCTTTGATGTTTTGTAACAGAGGTTTTTAGTTTTTTGGGGGTTAGATCGCGTAAGTATAAACGTGTCATATTCTTGGTTCTTTCTTTTCTTGGATTTTATGTTTGCACTCAGTCACATATTCACTTTAAGATGTTTTTTGTTTGTTGCGGTTGCACCCGATTCAAGACCCGAATGGCTCACAGGGCTATACCTAATAAATGAACTTGAACGTAGAAAGGAAACAATAAAAGAATAAAAATATAAAACAATTTAATTCTCACGACGTTTCGATTACAACACAAGCAATCATCATCAGGTGTGAAACCACAGGTGCAGGGGAAGAACAACAACCTAAACATGCAATAAAGCAGTTCTAAATAAATGACTTTTCAATCTAGTTATACCAGATGTGTATGTTAAATGTTAATAAACAAGCGAGACCACATTGAGATTCATAATCTCTCGTCTACAATCAACGCATCTATGTCTCATTTGACAGTTTAATGGGAAATGTAATTCATTTAAAAATTTAATAATTTCATTTGTGACAGCCAAACCCACAAACAACACTCGTGTTTGCACCTGATTCTCTTTGTTTCAAGCACATGCCAAAGTGCCTTCCTTCCAGAGTTCTGCCACAAGAATACATTATCTTGTAATTACATTACAATAATGTGGTTTATTCTGGCCGCAACATATTTTATTAATCACTTGCCCGTTAAAAGTCTGAGTTTGAACATCTTAAATTTCGATTTAAAGCTTTCGTGACTGCAGGGATTCATCTTATTGGTTCTTTCGGTAAAGTCACGTAGAAGGGAAATAATAAAATAATAAAAATAAAACAATTAAATAATTCTCACGACGTTTTGGCCACAACGCAAGCAGCCGTCCTCGGGTGAAGAACAGGTCTGTCGGAAACAGGTCTGTCTTTCCTGTTCTTCACCTGAGGACGACTGCTTGCGTTGTGGCCGAAACGTCGTGAGAATTATTTTATTATGTTTTATTTTCATCATTTTATTATTTCCATTCTACGTGAATTTGAGCATCTTATTTCAGGTCCCGGTGACCTTTACTTCATTGACGACTTGCATCTTTCTCTCGCTGGGTCATTATTCTTGCGACAAGATTTTCGTAACCCAAGCGCTCAGTGGCCCTGATCATAGGGCACAGGTCCAAAGGTGTAGTGTGGTCGATGAACTAACCTTGAAAGATATGACCAACATGGCTGTGCTTGATGAATATCTGTATTTTTGTGTTTCACATTTTTTTCAAGATCTTTTTTTAACATCATCCTAGCCTTGCGTATGTGCAGAGAAGCAAAAAAAATCCAGCATCTGTATTTGTGTCCATTGTTTGATGGATTTCTTTCATGGGGCACTGCTGACGACACTACCACCTGATGAGAGGGAGTGAGTGTGTAGAGTTCAGAACAATCTTGCCATTCCTTATCACTGAGGAAGCACTGTAAACCCAGTGTTATATTCGGAGACCAAAAGGTCATCTGTGGGTCAGTTAAAACTTGACGTCTTATCAAGAATTACGCTTTTATACATGTAGTCAACTCTGTGTCCCCTCTTCTGTGCCGCTCATCTCATTATACTTCTCCGACTCCTTCCCTCACCACCCACACCTCATCGCCCTTCCCCTGGTTCCCCCACTGCAGGCAGTGGTGCTGGCACCGAAGTCGATTCCATACGAGAGCCTGGGCTTTTTCGGCTCTTTCCTGCAGTACCTGACTGTCAATCATTACGACAAACTCTACTTTGGGTGGGTTGACAGTGCACGGTGCACACACAATATGCACAGAAATTCACACTTTCTAGATTTGAAGCTTTCGTGACTGCAAGGATTCATATTCTTAGGTTATTTCCGGTAAAGTCACATAGGTAAAACATTAAAATTAATAAAAGTAAAATAAAATAAAAATAACGACGTTTCGGAGGCAACACAAGCTTCCGTCTTCAGCTGTCGTGGCTGTGACGGTTCCACCTGAAGACGGAAGCTTGTGTTGCCTCCGAAACGTCGTGATTTTTATTTTATTTTACTTTTATTAATTTTAATGTTTTACCTACGTGACTTTACCGGAAAAAACCTAAGAATAGAAATTCACACCCAGACAACAAGTATTTTGCATGACAGAGCTCCATTATCTTTGGCTGAAATTCATCTGAAGCTTCTGGCTGTCACGAGGAGACTCCTGTTTCTGTTTTCTTTTGGTCCACAGGTATTATCTGACCTGGATCATCCACGGAGTCGAGGCCCTGTACACCTACAAGTTGGCTGGGTACAGCCAGAGCCACTGCACACTCCACTGTTATTGTAACCCTTTCTGTTGTCCACATGTCACAATTTCACCCTTCCCTGGCGTGGGCCTATCTTTCCATGGCACGACTATTGCTGCTGAATTCCCACAAAGTGGTACACTTCTTATTGCAGTCCGGGGGGTGACGGGCTGAGTCAACCCCTGGACTGGGACTTTAATTTGCAACCTTCTGAATGTGAGACAGGCATTGTACCCATTGTGCCACCTGTTGTTGGGTTTTTTTTTCATCATCATTAACTGAAATCACTATCCTGCTCAATGAAGGCCTCTTAACAGTCAATATGATGTCTAACTTGGGTATGTATGGTCTCTAATCCATTTGTTCAACTTCAGTGTATCTCGGTTTCATTCCCAGTATGGACCTCTTCATGCCTATTTGCAAACTGCTGAGCTTTTGATCTATTTTCTTCATCAATGTCCATGCTTCTGATCCATATGCTTTATCAGGCAATATGCATGTTATTGTACTTGAACTTACCATTATTAATGTAGAGCAGTGGTTCTTAACCTGGGGTGCACACCCCCCCCCCCCACCCTTCCTGGAGGTGCGTGAAAATGAAAGGGATTAAGGATGCAGTAAAGGTTAAGAACCACTGATGTAGATATTATAATTCATTGGAATGTTTGACCAATTCTATGAATTGATGCTTGGCTTCATGTGGGAGCAAACCAGTCCCGGAGAAGACTATGCATATGAGGTGCCACTCAGCGCTACCAGTTGTACACAACACCACCTTGCAAATTAGTATAATCTGCCAGTAGAGGGCGATGCTGCTGTGGTTTTCCCATTATATGATTTGTGGATGTTTTAAAAATGTAACAAATTTGGACCATGGTGCAAAGTTTTGTTAAACATCGTGTTATGTAATTTCCTATAAAATTCACTAACGTGCCACATTGTTTGTCTTTCCGACGACCCCGAACCCCTGCCATCCTCCGCACACCCACACTAGCGACAAGGGACTCACGGCCACCACCAGGCTGAAGTGGAGCCTTCAGACCCTCTTGTTTGGAATATTTTCTCTGAAGCACCTCAACGCGTACCTTCCCCAAAGCCGAAGAGAGGGTGATGGTGTGCGTCGATGGCTGGTGATGTCCTGGTGGCGGCATCGCTTCATTATAAACTCATCCAGCCGAGGCCTAATGCACCTCCAGTGTACTTGTGATTAGCTACCTATACTGCCAGCACCAACAGACATCCACAAAAGCAGTCCATCAGGTATGCATTCATGGGTTTTCTGATTCATATGAATTCAGAAACAAAACATTTTCTCTGTATACTTGGTATTACTGCACTGTACTGAAACTAGTCATCTTCTTGGTTCTTTCGGTAAAGTCACGTAGAAGGGAAATAATAAAATAATAAAAATAAAACATAATTATATAATTCTCACGACGTTTCGGCCACAATGCAAGCAGCCGTCCTCAGGTGAAGACCAGGTCTGTCGGGGAGACAGCGTCTGAATGAAACATCACCACGCTTGGAGCCTATATAAGTTGGGTTGGAAGGGGGAAGAGCGCCTTGACAAAATAATTTGCATATATTTTATTATTTCCCTTCTACGTGACTTTACCGAAAGAACCAAGAAGATGAATCCCTGCAGTCACGAAAGCTTTAAATCGAAAAATGAAACTAGTCAGTTTAATGAAAACAGGCAGCTCACAGCATCTGGATGGAATTTATCCCAGTTTGAAAGTGTATATATGTGTTCCATAAATTTGAACAGCTGTTAACGGGCAGCAGGGCACTACGTCAATGAACTTGTGTTATACAACGGTGGTAGTCTCTTTAGTCAGGTTGATAATGATGGTGATTTTATTACAGTAATAGTAGCCAGGTGGCTTAGATAGATAATGTCAAGAGTACTGAACAATGCTTAGATTCTGGGTTCCAAACGAGGCAGCCATCCATTGATTATCTTCTTGGTTCTTTCGGTAAAGTCACGTAGAAGGGAAGCAATAAAATAATAAAAATAAAACATAATAAAATAAAATAATTCTCACGACGTTTCGACCACAATGCAAGCAGCCGTCCTCAGGTGAAGAATGAGACATTTCCAAGCTAGGAGCTAATATATAAGCTGCGTTGGAGGTGCAAGAGCGCCTTAACAAAAAGAATGTGCATATGAAGAGGAATTTAGCATATTCATGGGAAATGCGTAGGAGGTGGGTGGGGGGGGGGGGTTTCATAGTCATATTATGCCCATGCATTATGCAGGATCAACAGCACCAAGGGGGGGTGCAGTAGCATTAACAAAGGAAAAGAATGTTAATAGTATGTAGCTGCAGTTACTAAACAACAACGTAGAAAACTAAAGTATAAACTACATAAAAAACTAAAGTATAAACTGCATAGCACCATCAGTATACTTACTATACTCTACAATAAGCTGAGTTACTAACAACAAGTAATACATTACAATTCTACGTCGTAAAAAATTATATAATATGCTTCCATCTAAACTTTATTCTCTTACATCACACGAGCATACACCGTACTATATACTGCCATAGATAAACCCAACATTACATTACACCAGGTTTACAAGTGTAGCAAGTTGATGGCACTATTGCACAAAATATCTGTCATTAAGTTAGTATTTTAAGAACATTTGGTTTATTCCAGGTCTGCGGTTTAAAAAAATAACTTTTGTTTCCATGCAACAAATACTGCAATACCAGGTACCTTAGAAGTAGTTACGTGATGTCATCTCCTAGAGGCCACGCTCTAACGTGAAGGAATATTACACTGGTTGTGCAAGAGTTCGAAATAAAAATGACCCCATCTAATTATTTGACACCAATGGTACAATTGGTATGTAATTGGGAGGATTAAAACTACAGGGACCTTGTTTGCTACAACCGATGAATCTGTCTCTGTGATACCTGTGGATGTTTGTTGATGCAGTGATTGGCTTGAAGCTAAAGGTGTGAATCATTCCAGTGGAGCTCGTAGTGTCCAACCTCATCTATTGGGATCAATGCTTTTGTGTGCTTTGTCTTATAAATAAAATGTTTGAAATTATAATGGTGCACCATGACAAATTAACGTTGTCTTTCATTGACTTACATATATCAGATTGCAGTTCTTGAAAGTAATGTTCCCCCCACATTGTGCAAGGTTAAATCACCCAGAATATAGCTTATCTCGTCAGATCTGGGAAGTTTAGAATGCTTGAGCTTGAATATTCTTCGGTTCTTTCGGTAAAGTCACGTAGGTAGAAAACAACAAAATAAACTCACGACGTTTCGATCGCAACACAAGCGGTAGTCATCAGGCGGAGAGAGAAAAAGCTTGACCCTGAAGATTCCTCAACTTGGATGTGCCACCATCATGCTTTACCCCGCACCTCCATTGACCACAGTTGGCTACGGACAGTGCAAAACAAGTTCCACACAACGTAACACGCTTGACATAGGCTGCAGAGGTTAATCGGTGACCATCAGAGGGTTGTGCAGTACAACCCGTTGTATTTTACTTGTTTGCTCTCGCATCTATGCTGCCCTACAGTCACTTGCTCTCGCCAGTATGGTGAGGTAAGATCAAATTCGACCCGCACGGCATGGGGCTACCCTCATTCACCAGTGCACTGACAAAAGGCTGTAGATGTGCAAGGCTAAATGGGGATCCGTTTAACACGTAGGCTTTCATGACCGACGTCCAAGATATAGAGGTCGCGTAAATATAAATGCTTCATGAAACCCGACGCAGCCAATTAGTAAGGTTTGTCACGTAATCAAAACATGCACATTCGTTACTTGTACAGCAGGTTTACTCTCCAACACACCCACACAACATTTACAATTCGAGTACGACGTTTCGCCAGTAATTACAACAACCAGCATCATCAGGCGACAGCCAGAGTTGTGGAGAAATCCTCCTGTTTCGGTCTTAGAGGGAAATGATGTGATGTCAAGTTCATTTATTAGGTATAGCCCTGTGATCCATTCGGCTCTTCAATCGGGTGCAACCGTAACAAACAGAAAACAAAAATATGAACAAGAAAGCATCTTAAAGTGACTATGTGCAAACAGAAAATCCAAGAAAAGACAGCAAAATATTGCAGAAAAATTAACCCGTAAAAACAAAGTTTTTCACTATAAATCCTTTATATGCGTGGCGGCTAGAGTCCTCTCGTCCTCTGGCTTGAGATGGCTGCCACCTATGGGTCAGATGATTGCCAGAATTAAGCAATTGGTAATTAAATATTTAAATATGCTTCCCTAAACAGTGTAAAATTTTGGAAAAAATGTTTCACGAAAATTAATTGTCACGCACAACGAGTCTGTGTGGAAAATGTCAGCTCGATTGGATCACGGGAAGTGGGTTAAAAAACGACCGAAAGATTTGCACGGTCGTAAGCAAGCACGCAAGCAAGCGAACTTAATATAAAGGATTTAAAAAGCACCGTACACCAACACTGTAGGGGGGTCGTCGTATTCGTCATTGTGATTGTGTACATGTGAGCTCGTGCACCTTTTTTTTCCCACTTCACTTCATTAAGTGTTTGGATGCACGGGAATATTTCGTCATCGTGATTAATACAGCAACTTATTTCAGGTGATCTGTCAGTCATTCTCAGTGTTAGGGAAGAGAAAGCCAAGCATCTTGCTGATTTGACAGAACAGGTGAAAACTCAGGCTTGGGTCCACGTGTGTGTGTGTGTAAACCTATCCGAGTGCGTTCCACCAGCTGCTAAATTTATCATGTTTAAAGTCTTGTGGCTGCATTTAGACAGGCCACAAAGTCTGCTACAGTCACATTAACCACATTTACAACATTCTCTCTTGCCGTGTGGGTCTTCCGAACTGCCTGATCATTTATATTCTTGCCGAAGATGTTGCCCTAGATTGCTTTTTGGACATGCAAGTAAAGAAACGACCTCGTGTTTTTCCACTTGAAGCTTGATTTATGAGATGGGGGTGGAGAATCTTCAAACACCAATCGGCTGTGGATTTAAATATAGCCTGCGAGGAGAGGCGTGGGCACTTGACTCATCCCCTGCTGATGCCCTCGACTTCTCTCTATCTCTCTTGCTATCACTTGCCCTATATTGCTCTCGAACCGTCACATCACTGTCCATTATTTCTCCATTTAACCAATTTCACCGGCTGACATTTCTAACTCTTTTCCTCCTCGCTACGCTGTGTGTGCATTTTCCGTGTCTCTGCTATTTCCTCTCCTTTTTTTACGTTCCAATAACTTATCCCTCCTTTGTCTCCTCATTAGTGTCTTTCCCCGTATCCATAACTCCCAATCCCTCTCTCCCCCTGCCTGCCCGCTCCACCTAAGCCTGTCCTAATAACCGGCTCGCTCCCCCACTTGCGTTCGACATGGTGAAGTGCCTGGTTCGCATCCGCACCAAGGTGCCCGTCACCCTGCGCATGGCGAACCATTGCACGGGCGACCTGCGGATACGGGTGCTGAACCTGGGTCCTCTGGTGCGGGGCCCGGCTCTCCCGCCGACCCCTGCCCTTGCAGCACCAGCCTCCTCCCAGGGTCACGCGTGAGAGCAGGTAAGACGGACAGGTGTGCGCGTGCGCGTGCACGTGCGCACGTGTTCACGCGCGGAGATGCAAAGATAATACTGCCACAATGACCGCTCCACCTCGATCGAGCCTTCGTGGACTTTGGGCAAGTGCTTGTTTGCACAAGGCATCGGGCGCTTGAGTTGACCTAACGGGGGAAGCTGGGAACCGGTTCAGCTCTCACTTGCCACTGATTGTCACGGCCAGGAATCGACTGCCCGTTTTAACATTCACGTGCGCATACGTAACAATACACGCGCACACCAACTGTGTGTACGCAACAATTGCCCTTTTCCACGAACTGGCCATCGCCACGGCGTCTGTGCTAAGCTAGGTGAACTTTGAGGACACACATGAAGCGTCGAAGGGCTTGGTGGTAGGAGGCCAGATGCCAAATTCTCTATCCAAGTGCGCTAGTGGAGATGTAGAGAATTTCAACTAGACTCACACGTCTGCTTTGTTAATTTGGTCAAGGCCTATGATACCACAAAGGGCCGGGACTTTTGGTTTTTCATCCCGTATGTTAGACCCTCTGCTCGTGATCATCAAGGACCTTCCTGATGGTGGACATGCCCAGGTAAAGCTGTGGCTGTAAATCTTGTGCACCATAGGGTCTAAAATATATATATATATATCCTCTGGCTCGTACATGATTTAACACATTTTGGCGACATCGTTTATGAAAGTATTTTATGGCTGTACCACAGAAATCTCAATCTGTTATGGATACATTGGGAAGTTGATTGATGCCTGGATGTGGTAATGGCCTCATTTCCTGCTGGTCAACAATGTTATGTATACTGACAGTAAAACATGGTAATTGCTCATAATCAACGATTTTTGGGTTTAGATCGCGTTTATTTATAAATGTGTCGTAACCCTCCACCACCCGACACGGCCAATCAGTAAAATGTGTCACGTTGACAAAGACAAATAGTTCACTGCTTTAGCCCACCGGTGTGTTGAAGCAACAACATTTACAATTTGAGTACGCCGTTTCGCTGGTAATTGCAATCAGCATCATCGGGCAATTCGCCAGAATGGTGAGGCTCTCCTGTGTCTCCCGTTCTTATATAGAGCAGCAGCAGGGTGACGTCATCATTAACTCATTAACTCATCAGGTGCAAAGATTCAAGGGGGGAGTTATTGTAATTATATACTAGATTAGTAATCAGGCTATTGTTACAATGCGAGTTGTAGATTAGTAATCATTTGGAATGTGTTTTATTGTGATTATGCTACATTAGTAATCAGTTAGTGGTTGTTTCCCTTATAAGTAATTGTAATGTATCTTATTTAATAATACGCTTCCAGGCCGCACTAAGCCTATAGCTGTCTGAGCGATTAAAGTTATTTCTGTTTCTCTCAATTTCAATCGATTCTCTAATTAGTCTTTGCCAGTAGTAACTAGTTTTACACAACACTTCCACGTTGTCAAAATCAATTGAGTGTCCCTGTTGGCATGCATGTTCTGCTACTGCCGACAGTTGTGTTTGTGATAGTTTAATATTTCTCTGGTGTTCTTTTAGTCTTACACTAACGTTACGCCCTGTCTGTCCAATATAGCATCTGCCACATACACAATTAATCCGATATACACCTTCTGTTGATAATTTAGGTAATTCGTCTTTAGTGCACGTTACTAGTTGTTGAATTTTGTGTACTGTACCAAATCTTACTGTAATGTTTTGCTTTTGCAAAACACGGGCTAATTTATCAGTCACTCCTGAGATAAATGGTATTTTTATTGTTTTAATAATCTGATCGCTTTCAGCAGTGTTGCTTTGCGATCGTGATTTGGCTTTTAGTGCTCTGTTAATTTGAGCATTATTGTAGCCATTCTGTCTTAGTGCTTCTTTAACATGTTTAATCTCTCTCACTAGACTTTCACAGTGTCAGATGGTGAAAGTCTAGTGAGAGAGATTAAACATGTTAAAGAAGCACTAAGACAGAATGGCTACAATAATGCTCAAATTAACAGAGCACTAAAAGCCAAATCACGATCGCAAAGCAACACTGCTGAAAGCGATCAGATTATTAAAACAATAAAAATACCATTTATCTCAGGAGTGACTGATAAATTAGCCCGTGTTTTGCAAAAGCAAAACATTACAGTAAGATTTGGTACAGTACACAAAATTCAACAACTAGTAACGTGCACTAAAGACGAATTACCTAAATTATCAACAGAAGGTGTATATCGGATTAATTGTGTATGTGGCAGATGCTATATTGGACAGACAGGGCGTAACGTTAGTGTAAGACTAAAAGAACACCAGAGAAATATTAAACTATCACAAACACAACTGTCGGCAGTAGCAGAACATGCATGCCAACAGGGACACTCAATTGATTTTGACAACGTGGAAGTGTTGTGTAAAACTAGTTACTACTGGCAAAGACTAATTAGAGAATCGATTGAAATTGAGAGAAACAGAAATAACTTTAATCGCTCAGACAGCTATAGGCTTAGTGCGGCCTGGAAGCGTATTATTAAAT